AGCATTAACACAGTATTGCAGAACAATGTAATTAATATACTAGTCCAGTGCATTATCGCCATAGATAATCACCCGTAGATAATTTGTCCAACTGTAACTAAACACAATGCAAATATCACGTCGTCATATATTGTGTACTCTGAGGTCCGCGCGTGAAAGCGCTTCTGATTGGTTCTCATGTTTCTGGTTGCATGTCTCGACGGTAACGCAATATGTTTAGAGTACTCTTGTAACAGGTGTTTACCAGAATGTTTCTGCGTGTCATGTGTATACATATCATGCAGGTTATGCATCAGCGTGTGAGGATCTATTTCTACAAAACGAAGATGAGGAAATTGTCAATGGAACAGTCTACACTACAAGAGGGGCGCTTTTGATCCTTGTGTGCGATGGGACATGTCAGGGAGCCGGGTTCACCCCTAATTTAAAATGGTACACTCCATCTGGAGAGAAAGTCTCAACATTTCCTGGAAGGTACCTGTTCATTGACAGACTTTAACGTGTTCATGTGACGTGGTTGGGTATATGTGTCATGGCTTGATATTCCCATATGATATATGCGTGGTTGTTATACCTCACTTCGACAAAGGTGAAATTACTTGAAGCCAACTATTGTTGTTTGGCATCTGTTTGTTGTTTAACGCCACACTCAGCAATATTCCAGCTACATGACGGGGCGGTTTGTAAATAAATCTGGTTCAGACAATCCAGTGATTGACATCATGAGCATCGATCCACACAAGTCAGCGAGCCTGACATCTCGATCCCGTTAATCGCCTTTTCTGACAAGCACAGTAACCACTTAGTGTACGACAAGCACAGTAACCACTTAGTGTTCGACAAGCACAGTAACCACTTAGTGTACGACAAGCACGGGTTGCTGAAGCCCTATTCTAACCGGATGGTCACGGGTAAACGCGTTCATGAGAAGACACGTAGATAGTAAGAAATGAATGAGGTAACTCTGGCTGCATGGGAAACATATAATGTAGGAGAAGATCGATGGTAAGAAATGTTTGAAATAGCATTGACTGCCATTGATATAGTACTGTTACAGATACTGCTGTGAGCTAGTGAGTTTGGGTTAACGCTGAATTCTACAGTAATACCCTGTGTATCATGTCAATATGGAACGTGGATCAGGTCTTTGACGTTAAGGGTCCTACCATTTAATCCTTGGGGTAGATAGGGGATGAAGCATGAAAATAATGTTAATAATAAAAGATATACTAATATTATTTTTCTGTCGGTGAAATCCGAGGCAAGGTAATTGTTAGAGTATGAGTTTTGAAAAAAAATAAAAAATTTAAATAGCAATTGGTCGTTTCCTTTGTGTTTGGCACGAGTATGCTTGTTTGTTTGTTTGTTGTTTCACGCCGCACTCAGCAATATTCCAGCTACATTGGGGGCGGTCGGGTAGCCTAGTGGTTAAAGCGTTCGCTCGTCACGCCATAGACCCGGGTTCGACATGGGTACAATGTGTGAAGCCCATTTCGCCGTGATATTGCTGGAATATTGCTAAAAGCGGCGTAAAACCATACTCACTCACTCACTCCAGCTACATGACGGCGGTTTGTGAATAGTCGAGTATGAAGGAACGGACAGATCCAAGATTGTCAATCATAATAAACCTCAGCTCTGATTCTATGAAAATCCTTGACCAATTCGACAGAAAGTCATGTAATAATAACAATATTAATGTATTGAATTACAATAGCGGACCTTTCATCAAAATGTTTGTGAATTATGGGCCGATGGCCTCCATTACCGAAATAAATGTCATATGTCAGTGTGATTCTACTATGAATATAGCTACCACTGGTATTTAAAAAAACAACAACAAAATACAACAATATTTCAGCTGTCGTTCGTCGAGACTTTGGTTGATTCAGTTCTTGTGTTTATAACGTTTACGTTTTTTCCGTCAAGGATTATGTCAGTCTATCAACAAAGCAGAAGGAGCCGGAAGTTGTATGTGCAGCGATTCCGTTGGCGCGACCAGGGCACTTACAGCTGCGAGGGCCAGATCCACGGCGAGTTCCGGAAGTCGTCAGTGAAAGTCCTCATTAGAGGTTAGTGCTTCGTCCTTGAACCAGGAGTACGCACCGTACACAATCCGTGATAATACGTTATTGGTCGCCACACGTTGAAATGAAGTCCATATTTGAAGGTGAATGATAAAATCATCATAAATATCATCATGGCCAACTCTTTCCACTCCGGGACGTAGGTTACGGAAAGATGACAGTGGTGACAGATGATCATTTCCGTTACTTATTGTAAACTTCCGGTACGGTTGCTCTAACGATGTCCCATTGTTCCATGTCATCAATGGCACAGTGTTCACGAGAGATAAGTCAAAAGACAAAACCAAAAAGCTGGGGCCCCACCAACCCTTTTGACAACTGCTAAATACACTGTTTATTCCTGATACAGGATATTTACCATCGAATGCATCCCCTGTGATAACCTTTACACAAATAAACAGATCATTTCCGTCATAAGTGTGTACGTGCGTGCTTGCGTGCGTGCTTGCGTGCGCGTGTGCGCAATGCATGTATACTATGTATGTATATATATGGATTGATGGGTAATGTATGGCCTTGTCTGCTGTAGGCACTTCAATCCGCCCGGTCAGCCAGCGTTCAGACAGAGAGACAACCGAGACACCTACAGATGTGGCGGAGGAACTGCCGTTACTCCCAGATACCATTGTTCAATGATGACTCGCAGTTACAGTTTGTAGCTTTCCGTCATCAAATAAAGGTATCCAGGAAACACAGTGTTTGTCGATCAATCGCCTGCTTAGGAATCGGAGTATAATATTTCAAAAGTTCTAAAACCATTATTAGTTACGTTTCCAAGGGTGCTTTTGTCTGTCTGTCTGTCTGTCTGTCTGTCACTCTCCCCCCCTCCCCCCCCCCCCCCCTCTCTCTCTCTCTCTCTCTCTCTCTCTCTCTCTCTCTCTCTCAGAGGGAGGCGTCCGTAAAATATACCAATGCGAGCATCTAGCTGGGACTATTTCTGTCTACGATCCCCAGTCTGTTTAATGGCCCGTGGAGTGAGTATCAAGTATACTCTGTCAGCCTTTGTGTATCAGTGCATAATTATATTACTACCATTAGGGACAGTAACTTATCAGTTGAATTTAGACGTAGTGTGGACATGTCATGCAATGAAGTCAGTTTCGTCGGTAGGCATTGTCCATTAGAATGAATGCATACTGGGTCGTTGATGTAGACTAAATGGTTTGTTGCTAGAATTCAAACAAACACCGTGTGATTAGGCGATTGTACACAATTCATTTCTTCTCACGCAACATATTGCCAAATAGTCGACCTTACATCTCCGTTTTCACAGTTAAAGTCTTTCAATACACTTGGTTTATAGGGTTAGAATAGATCTTCAGCAACCCATGCATGCTTATGGTAAGAGGCAACTCACGGGCTCGGGTGCTCAGGCTCGCAGACTTGGTTGATGCTTGTCAGCACGGTATCTCAATTGCGTGGATCGATGCTCATGCTATCAATCACTGAATTGTCTGTTAGCGACTCGATTATTTACAGACCGCCCCGTCATACAACTGGAACATTGCGGCATTAAATAACAAACAAAGGCCAAACAACGATAGTCACGCAATTTGACCTTTGTCCAAGTGAGGTATAAAAAACACGTCACTTGAGTCCAGGCATATATCCTGTGTGGAAGTCAAGCCATGACACATATACCCAACCACGTCACTTGTGTCCAGGCATATATCCCGTGTGGAAGTCAAGCCATGACACATATACCCAACCACGTCACTTGTGTCCAGGCATATATCCTGTGTTGAAGTCAAGCCATGACACATATACCCAACCACGTCACTTGTGTCCAGGCATATATCCCGTGTTGAAGTCAAGCCATGACACATATACCCAACCACGTCACTTGTGTCCAGGCATATATCCTGTGTGGAAGTCACTGGTGTCACTAATTATTGACCTTTCATGAGGGTTATATATATGTCATGTTCGATATCTGTTTCTTGGGCCCATAAAACATATTGCTCGATTTGTGGTGATCACTGTACCACATGCAATTGGTTTTTTACACACTGACTGTCGAGAACATATTCATCTAATAACATCTAATCGTTAATTCGGGTATAAGTTAGATACGGGACTGCCCAAATAGCTGTCTATATAAAAGTGAAATACTTTGGACTCAACACACATCTCAGACTGGGATGGTGAACTCGGAAAAGGCCCAAGAGCGCCTCAGGTTGCAGGATAGCAAGTCAGCAACCATTAAGCACCGTGTCCAAGAATGCCCAACTTTACTGGACATCATCGCCCAACATGCACCCGACCCACGACCGCCCCACTTTACTGGATATTAGCCAACATGCACCCGGCCCACGACCGCCCCACTTTACTGGATATTAGCCAACATGCACCCGGCCCACGACCGCCCCACTTTACTGGATATTAGCCAACATGCACCCGGCCCACGACCGCCCCACTTTACTGGATATTAGCCAACATGCACCCGGCCCAAGAATGTCCAACTTCACAGGACATCATCACCCAACAATGCACCTGGCCCAATATTTACAGTTCCTATTTGACCGGTATAATCCAAACTGTACCGCCCGCCCAAGCGCGAGTCAGTCGTAAGACCGATATGATGCAAACATTCACCAGTCCAAAGTATTCCTCAAATCACAGGTATGACCCAGTGATACCTGTCTTCATCACTCGGCTTCGACCAGTCACTGGGCGCAAGGACACCTGTCATACTCAGGTTCATTTCTAAACTACAAAAATAATAATTGCTTTAATAAAGTATAGGATCTATTCCAAGCCAAAGTACACACACTATAGTTCCATGTCTGCAGAAGTGGTATCTTAGACCAATTGTGGGGATCAGCGTACGCTACTGTACTGTACTCTCAGCCACAGTGTACGATCAGCCGCCTGCAAGAGCAGCAGTGCGGCCCGACTGGGTATGAGACGGAAGGAAGACTAGAGTTCCTGTACAGCATGCAGGCGTCGCCCCTCGCCATCAGCACACTTCTCGACACGCCTGACCCAAACAAGCACGTCTGGCGTTCTGGACTGGACATAGTACTGGAACATGCTACGATTAACGCTTTTTGTTCTTTTTACTGTCGGAATAGGTAAGTTTTAATTTAAAGTTTTTAATTTTGATAATAACTATACTTTATCTATATCTTACGAATTTCGTATAATTATGGTTTTAAAAATAAGATTGGGAATATCATCTAATTATCGTAATATTTATCATGAAGTTTGATTATATATTTTTTAATTCATGCACAGCCTTTAACATTTAGCATGATCTCTTTCTTCATGCTTATGTTAAACCCATACTCTGATGGTTAAGATAAGAAACAAGTACGGAGACATACCCAGTGTTACGTCATTGTCAGTATCCCTTGAAAGATTTCCAGATATTTGATGAATACTTACTAGTATTTCATACAGGCGGACAATGAATGGATGAATGAATAAATCAATGAATGACCGAATGAATGAATGAATGAACGACCTATTATCGACCAATTTACTAATAAGGAGACCCTAACAGAAAAGAGAACCCATATGTTCTAAGTCATTTCTCAATGTACCCGTGCTTCACAGTAGATAATCTGCACGTACTTCACATACACAATCCACACGTGCTTCACAGACATAATCTACACGTGCTTCACAGACATAATCTACACGTACTTCACATACACACTCTAAACGTGCTTCACAGACATACTCTACACGTGCTTCACAGATTTAATCTACACGTGCTTCACAGACATAATCTACACGTGCTTCACAGACATAATCTACACGTGCTTCACAGATTTAATCTACACGTGCTTCACAGACATAATCTACACGTGCGTCACAGACATACTCTACGCGTGCTTCACAGATTTAACCTACACGTGCTTCACAGACATACTCTACACGTGCTTCACAGATTTAATCTACACGTGCATCACAGACATAATCTACACATGCTTCACAGACATAATCTACACGTGCTTCACAGATTTAATCTACACGTGCTTCACAGACATAATCTACACGTGCTTCACAGATTTAATCTACTTGTGGTTCTCAGACATAATCTACACGTGTTTCACAGACATAATCTACACGTGCTTCACAGATTTAATCTACACGTGGTTCTCAGACATAATCTACACGTGCTTCACAGATTTAATCTACACGTGCTTCACAGACATAATCTACACGTGCTTCACAGATTTAATCTACTTGTGGTTCTCAGACATAATCTACACGTGTTTCACAGACATAATCTACACGTGCTTCACAGATTTAATCTACACGTGGTTCTCAGACATAATCTACACGTGCTTCACATATTAAATCTACACGTGCTTCACAGACATAATCTACACGTGCTTCACAGACACAATCTACACGTGCTTCACAGACATAATCTACACGTGCTTCACAGACACAATCTACACGTGCTTCACAGACATAATCTACACGTGCTTCACAGATATACTCTACACGTGCTCCACAGGAAGAGGTGAGCTGTAACGTTGCGTTCAAGATTATTGCACTTATATAGCGACGTGCTTGCACGCGTGTGTGTGGCTGCTAACAGTATATGCCGCTTTTATAGAGCAAACCCAGGTACCATGACTCAGTTTAACATGGATACGCAACTCAGAGAGGGAAGTCAGTAAATGACTTTCTGAAAGTATGCAAGACTTAAAAAACAAAAACATGAACGTTTCTTCCTATTGTCAGTGTATTGTGAAGGGAATTTTGCACAAATATGGTTTCTTGTTTAAAATGCCTCTTAATAATGTATCACGGCAAGTCACTTAAATGTGGGGCGGTCGGGTAGCCCAGTGATTAAAGCGTTCACTCGTCACGCTGAAGACTCGGGTTCGATCCCCGACATGGGTACAATGCGTGAAGCCCATTTCTGGTGCCCCCGCCGTGATATTGCTTGAATATTGCTAAAAGTGGCTAAAAACCATATTCACTCTCTCACTCACTCACACACTTAAATGTGGGAGGAAGGGGCGTAGGCGGCAGACGGGGAGAACCTGGGTGAAACAAATGAGCATGCGTATTACACGCCAATGTTAAGAACCAGGAATCATAGTTCACGCGACCACCGGGTCTTTCCTTGTGTTCATCCATGTGAAGTTTATCATGACATTAAGCAAGCATCAGTTAAGCCAAAGGTGTTGGGTTCTATACATCCGGAACAACTGCGGCTGCAAGGACCTACACAAACGCATCCATGTAGGCCGGTGCGATATGCCAGAAATGTGCGTTCTTCCGGTTGGTCCCTCAGTAGTCATGTGTTTGTCAGGAGATAACCTATTTGTCTCCGTAGTAGCTACAATTAATATGAGAAATAAAATATTATCATTTTTCTCATTATCCATGTGTTTATCAATCCTTCGGACGAAATTATACACAGACATTTGTGCATGAAGATCTAGGTCGTGAGAATCAGGATGTCGAAATATAGGAATTGCGCCCTGATTAGATGATTTCATCTCGTACATGGAACACCAATCTGTAGCATGGAGGTGTCAGCGTGTGCTTACTGTTGTAGGGGAGGTGTCAGTTTGTACTTCCTGTTGTAGGGAGGTATCAGTGTGTACTCACTGTTGTAGGGGAGGTGTCAGTGTGTACTAATTGTTGTAGGGGAGGTGTCAGTGTGTAGTCACTGTTGTAGGGACTGTGTCAGTGTGTACTAACTGTTATAGGGGAGGTGTCAGTTTGTACTTCCTGTTGTAGGGGAGGTGTCAGTTTGTACTTCCTGTTGTAGGGGAGGTGTCAGTGTGTACTCACAGTTGTAGGGACTGTGTCAGTGTGTACTAACTGTTGTAGGGGAGGTGTCAGTGTGTATTTACTGTTGTAGGGGAGGTGTCAGTGTGTACTTCCTGATATAGGGGAGGTGTCAGTGTGTACTTACTGTTGTAGGGGAGGTGTCAGTGTGTACTTACTGTTGAAGGGGAGGTGTGTACTAAATGTTGTAGGGGAGGTGTCAGTGTGTACTTCCTTTGGTAGGGAGGGTAGGTGTCAGTGTGTATTAACTGTTGTAGGGGAGGTGTCAGTGTATACTAACTGTTGTAGGGGAGCTGTCAGTGTGAACTAACTGTTGTAGGGGAGTTGTGAGTGTGTGCTTAGTGTTGTAGGGGAGGTGTCAGTGTGTACTTCCTGATATAGGGGAGGTGTCAGTGTGTACTTCAAGTTGTAGGGAGGAGTCAGTGTGTATTAACTGTTGTAGGGGAGGTGTCAGTGTTCACTTCCTGTTGTAGGGAGGTGTCAGTGTGTAAACACTGTTGTAGTGGAGGTGTCAGTGTGTACTAACTGTTGTAGGGAGGTATCAGTGTGTACTTCCTTTGGTAGGGAGGTGTCAGTGTGTACTAACTGTTGTAGGGGAGCCGTCAGTGTGAACTTACTGTTGTAGGGGAGGAGTCAGTGTGTTCTAACTGTTGTAGGGGAGGTGTCAGTGTGTACTAACTGTTGTAGGGGAGGTGTCATTGTGTACTAACTGATGTAGGGGAGGAGTCAGTGTGTAAACACTGTTGTAGGGGAGGTGTCAGTGTGTACTCACTGTTGTAGGGGAGGTGACAGTGTGTACTCACTGTTGTAGGGGAGGTATCTGTGTGTACTTCCTTTGGTAGGGAGGTGTCAGTGTGTAAACACTGTTGTAGGGGAGGTGTCAGTGTGTGCTTAGTGTTGTAGGGGGGGTGTCAGTGTGTACTTTCTGATATAAGGGAGGTGTCAATGTGTACTAACTGTTGTAGGGGAGGTGTCAGTGTGTACTTACTGTTGTAGGGGAGGAGTCAGTGTGTACTAAATGTTGTAGGGGAGGTGTCAGTGTGTAAACACTGTTGAAGGGCAGGTGTCAGTGTGTACTAACTGTTGTAGGGGAGGTGTTCCGTGTGTATTTTCTGTTGTAGGGGAGGTGTCAGTGTGTACTTCCTGATATAGGGGAGGTGTCAGTGTGTATTTACTGTTGTAGGGGAGGTGTCAGTGTGTACTTCCTGATATAGGGGGGTGTCAGTGTGTACTAACGGTTGTAGGGGAGGAGTCAGTGTGTAAACACTGTTGTAGGGGAGGAGTCAGTGTGTACTTCCTGTTGTAGGGAGGTGTCAGTGTGTGCTAAGTGTTTTAGGGGAGGTGTCTGTGTGTACTTCCTGATATAGGGGAGGTGTCAGTGTGTACTTACTGTTGTAGTGGAGGTGTCAGTGTGTACTAAATGTTGTAGGGGAGGTGTCAGTGTGTAAACACTGTTGAAGGGCAGGTGTCAGTGTGTACTAACTGTTGTAGGGGAGGAGTCAGTGTGTAAACACTGTTGTAGGGGAGGTGTGAATGTGTACTAACTGTTGTAGGGAGGTATCAGTGTGTACTTCCTTTGGTAGGGAGGTGTCAGTGTGTACTTACTGTTGTAGGGAGGTGTCAGTGTGTATTAACTGTTGTAGGGGAGGTGTCAGTGTGTACTAACTGTTGTAGGGGAGGTGTCAGTGTGGACTAACTGTTGTAGGGGAGGTGTCAGTGTGTACTTACTGTTGTAGGGGAGGAGTCAGTGTGTACTAAATGTTGTAGGGGAGGTGTCAGTGTGTAAACACTGTTGAAGGGCAGGTGTCAGTGTGTACTAACTGTTGTAGGGGAGGTGTTCCGTGTGTATTTTCTGTTGTAGGGGAGGTGTCAGTGTGTACTTCCTGATATAGGGGAGGTGTCAGTGTGTATTTACTGTTGTAGGGGAGGTGTCAGTGTGTACTTCCTGATATAGGGGGGGTGTCAGTGTGTACTAACTGTTGTAGGGGAGGAGTCAGTGTGTAAACACTGTTGTAGGGGTGGAGTCAGTGTGTACTTCCTGTTGTAGGGAGGTGTCAGTGTGTACTTACTGTTGTAGGGAGGTGTCAGTGTGTACTTACTGTTGTAGGGGGAGGAGTCAGTATGTACTTCCTGTTGTAGGGAGGTGTCAGTGTGTGCTAAGTGTTTTAGGGGAGGTGTCTGTGTGTACTTCCTGATATAGGGGAGGTGTCAGTGTGTACTTACTGTTGTAGTGGAGGTGTCAGTGTGTACTAAATGTTGTAGGGGAGGTGTCAGTGTGTAAACACTGTTGAAGGGCAGGTGTCAGTGTGTACTAACTGTTGTAGGGGAGGAGTCAGTGTGTAAACACTGTTGTAGGGGAGGTGTGAATGTGTACTAACTGTTGTAGGGAGGTATCAGTGTGTACTTCCTTTGGTAGGGAGGTGTCAGTGTGTACTTACTGTTGTAGGGAGGTGTCAGTGTGTATTAACTGTTGTAGGGGAGGTGTCAGTGTGTACTAACTGTTGTAGGGGAGGTGTCAGTGTGTAAACACTGTTGAAGGGCAGGTGTCAGTGTGTACTAACTGTTGTAGGGGAGGAGTCAGTGTGTAAACACTGTTGTAGGGGAGGTGTGAATGTGTACTAACTGTTGTAGGGGAGGAGTCATTGTGTGCTAAGTGTTGTAGGGGAGGTGTCAGTGTGAAAGCACTGTTGTAGGGGAGGTGTGAGTGTGTACTTACTGTTGTAGGGAGGTGTCAGTGTGTGCTAAGTGTTGTAGGGGAGGTGTCAGTGTGTAAGCACTGTTGTAGGGGAGGTGTGAGTGTGTACTAACTGTTGTAGGGAGGTATCAGTGTGTACTTCCTTTGGTAGGGAGGTGTCAGTGTGTACTTACTGTTGTAGGGAGGTGTCAGTGTGTGCTAAGTGTTGTAGGGGAGGTGTCAGTGTGTAAGCACTGTTGTAGGGGAGGTGTGAGTGTGTACTTACTGTTGTAGGGGAGGAGTCATTGTGTACTAACTGTTGTAGGGGAGGTGTCAGTGTGTGCTAACTGTTGTAGGGAGGTGTCAGTGTGTGCTAAGTGTTGTAGGGGAGGTGTCAGTGTGTACTTCCTGATATAGGGGAGGAGTCAGTGTGTACTAACTGTTATAGGGAGGTGTCAGCGTGTGCTAAGTGTTGTAGGGGAGGTGTCAGTGTGTACTTCCTGATATAGGGGAGGTGTCAGTGTGTACTTACTGTTGTAGGGGAGGTGTCAGTGTGTACTTACTGTTGTAGGGGAGGTGTCAGTGTGTACTAACTGTTGTAGGGAGGTGTCAGTGTGTACTAACTGTTGTAGGGGAGGAGTCAGTGTGTAAACACTGTTGTAGGGGAGGTGTGAGTGTGTACTAACTGTTGTAGGGAGGTATCAGTGTGTATTAACTGTTGTAGGGGAGGTGTCAGTGTGTACTAACTGTTGTAGGGGAGCTGTCAGTGTGGACTAACTGTTGTAGGGGAGGTGTCAGTGTGAACTAACTGTTGTAGGGGAGGTGTCAGTGTGTACTTCATGTTGTAGGGAGGTGTCAGTGTGAACTAACTGTTGTAGGGGAGGTGTCAGTGTGTACTTCATGTTGTAGGGAGGTGTCAGTGTGAACTAACTGTTGTAGGGGAGGTGTCAGTGTGTACTTCATGTTGTAGGGACGCTCTCAGTGTTTGCTAGGGATGTATCAGTGTACTTGTGTACTTCCTTTTGTAGGGAGGTGTCAGTGTGTATTAACTGTTGTCGGGGAGGTGTCAGTGTGTACTAACTGTTGTAGGGAGGTATCAGTGTGTAGTTACTCTGGTAGGGACGGTGGCAGTGTGTACCTACTGTTGTAGGGACGGTGTCAGTGTGTACCTACTGTTGTAGGGACGGTGTCAGTGTGTACTAACTGGAAGACAAACATGCGGTACTAGGGACTGTTCTGCCCGGAATCCCCACCGGGAGACACACATGTTGAAAGGGAGAGTTGTACTGACACATCTCCTGTCCTTTTTGGAAATGGCAGTGACATGAGACCCTGTACGTTAGAAACCAGTTAGGCCGTCGGTATTTTATGTTGCTGACAAATAAGCATGTTTCTGCATATCGGGTGCCAAAACCTTCGTGGATTTTCAACAAATCAAAAATAGAGTGTAAACAAAGAGTAATACAATTGTGAATGTGTTTTCTTTATTTCTATAGATCCGCTTGTTGGTCAAGAGTGCAGCTTACAACTGGTGCCACAAGTACCCACCATCCAGGTTGCCAGGGGCAACAACGTCAGCATCTTATGTGACGCAAGTTGCTATGGCCGACTCTCAACCAATCGGCTATCTTGGTACGACCGGTATAACCAGCCAATCGGGATGTCTGGCAGGTAACTACATCAGCATGCTAGGGTTAAACTCACCTGACTCAAAAGCCAATGAGTGTGAAAAATGTGTCCTTGTCGGTGATCTCTGGAAGCGCTTGATTGACGGCAGGTTTTTTTTTTGTGCTATGGAAAGAGTTTGTAGCTTTCATTATTAAGGGATGTTCCTACAGGGTCTATAGATGCTCCATAAAGTGAAGGGTGATTTTCACAGCTCCTTCCGAACCTGTCATGTTTTTGCAGACCCTGCTGACCCCTACCATCCATATAAACACCGCATACCTTTTACCAGGTCTTGTCAAAACCAACTCATCTAGCGGTCCTGGTGGCCTGGGTCTAGCGGTCCTGTTTGTCTGGGTCTCGCGGTCCTGGTGGCCTGGGTCTAGCGGTCCTGGTGGCCTGGGTCTAGCGGTCTTGGTGGCCTGGGTCTAGCGGTCCTGCTGGCCTGGGTCTAGCGGTACTGGTGGTCGGGGTCTCGCGGTCCAGGTGGTCGGGGTCTAGCGGTCCTGGTGGCCTGGGTCTAGCGGTCTTGGTGGCATGGGTCTAGCGGTCCTGCTGGCCTGGGTCTAGCGGTACTGGTGGTCGGGGTCTCGCGGTCCAGGTGGTCGGGGTCTCGCGGTCCTGGTGCCTGGGTCTAGCGGTCCAGTTGGTCTGGGTCTAGCAGTCCTGGTGGTCTGGGTGTCGCGGTCCTGGTGGTCTGCATCTAGCGGTCCTGGTGGCCTGGGTCTAGCGGTCCTGTTTGTCTGGGTCTCGCGGTCCTGGTGGCCTGGGTCTAGCGGTCCTGATGGCCTGGGTCTAGCGGTCCTGGTGGTCGGGGTCTCGCGGTCCTGGTGGCCTGGGTCTACGGGTCCTGGTGGCCTGGGTCTAGCGGTCCTGGTGGTTTGGGTCTAGCGGTCCTGGTGGTCTGGGTCTAGCGGTCCTGGTGGTCTGCATCTAGCGGTCCTGGTGGTCTGCATCTAGCGGCCCTGGTGGTCGGGGTCTCGTGGTCCTGGTGGCCTGGGTCTCGCGGTCCTGGTGGTCTGCATCTAGCGGTCCTGGTGGCCGGGGTTTCACGGTCCTGATGGACTGGGTTTCGCGGCTCTGTTTGTCTGGGTCTCGCGGTCCTGGTGGTCTGCATCTAGCGGTCCTGGTGATCTGGGTCTAGCGGTCCTGGTGATCTGGGTCTAGCGGTCCTTGTGGCCTGGGTCTAGCGGTCCTGGTGGTCGGGGTCTCGCGGTCCTTGTGGTCTGGGTCTTGCGGTCCTGGTGGTCTGGGTCTCGCGGTCCTGGTGGTCGGGTCCAGCGGTCCTGGTGATCTGGGTCTAGCGATCCTGGTGGTCGGGGTCTCGCGGTCCTGGTGGTCTGGGTCTCGCAGTCCTGGTGGTCGGGGTCTAGCGGTCCTGGTGGTCGGGGCCTCGCGGTCCTGATGGTCTTGGTCTAGCGGTCCTGGTGGTCTGCATCTAGCGGTCCTGATAGTCTGGGTCTTGCGGTCCTGGTGGTCTGGGTCTAGCGGTCCTGGTGGTCTGCATCTAGCGGTCCTGGTGATCTGGGTCTAGCGGTCCTGGTGATCTTGGTCTAGCGGTCCAGGTGGTCTGGGTCTAGCGGTCCAGGTGGCCTGGGTCTCGCGGTCCTGATGGTCTGGGCCTCGCGGTCCTGGTGGTCTGGGTCTAGCGGTCCTGATAGCCTGGGTCTTGCGGTCCTGGTGGTCTGGGTCTAGCGGTCCTGGTGGTCTGCATCTAGCGGTCCTGGTGATCTGGGTCTAGCGGTCCTGGTGATCTTGGTCTAGCGGTCCAGGTGGTCTGGGTCTAGCGGTCCAGGTGGCCTGGGTCTCGCGGTCCTGATGGTCTGGGCCTCGCGGTCCTGGTGGTCTGGGTCTAGCGGTCCTGATAGTCTGGGTCTTGCGGTCCTGGTGGTCTGGGTCTAGCGGTCCTGGTGGTCTGGGTCTAGCGGTCCTGGTGTTCTGGGTCTCGCGGTCCTGGTGGTCTTGGTCTACCGGTCCTGGTGATCTGGGTCTAGCAGACCTGATGGTCTGTGTCTCGCGGTCCTGGTTGCCTGGTTCTAGAGGTCCTGGTGGCCTGGGTCTCGCGGTCCTGGTGATCTGGGTCTAGAGGTCCTGGTGATCTTGGTCTCGCGGTCCTGGTGGCCTGAGTCTAGCGGTCCTGGTGGTCTGGGTCTAGCGGCCCTGGTGGTCTGTGATTCGCGGTCCTTTTGGTCTGGGTCTCGCGGTCCTGTTTGTCTGGTCATAGCGGTCTTGGTGATCTGGGTCTAGCGGTCCTTGTGATCTGGGTCTAGCGGTCCACATCCAGTGGTCATCTTTCCGTCCTGGTGGTCTGGGTCTCATGGTCCTGTTTGTCTGGGTCTAGCGGTCCTGTTTGTCTGGGTCTAGCGGTCCTGGTGATCTAGGCCTAGCGGTCCTGGTGGCCTGGTTCTAGCGGTCCTGGTGATCTAGGCCTAGCGGTCCTGGTTGCCTGGTTCTAGCGGTCCTGGATGCCTGGGTCTAGCGGTCCTGGTGGTCGGGGTCTCGCGGTCCTGTTTGTCTGGTCTAGCGGTCCTGGTGGTCGGGGTCTCGCGGCCCTGTTTGTCTGGTCTAGCGGTCCTGGTGGTCTGCATCTAGTGGTCCTGGTGGTCTACATCTAGTGGTCCTGGTGATCTGGGTCCAGCGGTCTTGGTGGTCTGGGTGTACCGGTCCTGGTGATCTGGGTCTAGCAGTCCTGATGGCCTGTGTCTCGCGGTCCTGGTGATCTGGGTCTAGCAGTCCTGGTTGCCTGGTTCTAGAGGTCCTGGTGGCCTGGGTCTCGCGGTCCTGGTGGTTTTGGTCTAGCGGTCCTTTGGGTCTGGGTCTCGCGGTCCTGTTTGTCTGGTCATAGCGGTCTTGGTGATCTGGGTCTAGCGGTCCTTGTGATCTGGGTCTAGCGGTCCACATCCAGTGGTCATCTTGCCGTCCTGGTGGTCTGGGTCTCATGGTCCTGTTTGTCTGGGTCTAGCGGTCCTGTTTGTCTGGGTCTAGCGGTCCTGGTGATCTAGGCCTAGCGGTCCTGGTGGCCTGGTTCTAGCGGTCCTGGTTGCCTGGGTCTAGCGGTCCTGGTGGTCTGCATCTAGTGGTCCTGGTCGTCTTCATCTAGCGGTCCTGGTGGTCTGGGTCTACCGGTCCTGGTGATCTGGGTCTAGCAGACCTGATGGTCTGTGTCTAGCGGTCCTGGTTGCCTGGGTCTAGCGGTCCTGCTGGTCTACATCAAGCGGTCCTGGTGGTCTGGGTCTACCGGTCCTGGTGGCCTGGGTCCAGCGGTCCTGGTGGTCTGGGTCTACCGGTCCTGCAGGTCTGGGTCTAGCGGTCCACATACTGTGGTCACCTAGCCGTCCTGGTGTTCTGTGTCCACCGGTCCTGGTGGTCTGGGTCTACCGGTCCTGGTGGTCTTTGTCCAGCGGTCCTGATGGTCTGTGTCTACCGGTCCTGGTGGTCTGTGTCCAGCGGTCCTGATGGTCTGTGTCTACCGGTCCTGGTGGTCTTTGTCCAGCGGTCCTGATGGTCTGTGTCTACCGGTCCTGGTGGTCTTTGTCCAGCGGTCCTGATGGTCTGTGTCTACCGGTCCTGGTGGTCTTTGTCCAGCGGTCCTGATGGTCTGTGTCAACCGGTCCTGGTGGTCTTTGTCCAGCGGTCCTGATGGTCTGTGTCTACCGGTCCTGGTGGTCTGTGTCCAGCGGTCCTGATGGTCTGTGTCTAGCGGTCCTGGTTGTCTGTGTCTAGCGGCCACGGTTGTCTGTGTCTAGCAGCCCCGGTTGTCTGTGTCTGGCAGCCCCGGTTGTCTGTATCTAGCGGTCCTTGTGGTCTGGGTTTAGTTGTCTGCGTCAGAGCTGCCCTCTTGTAAATAATCAGTATCTTCTTTGATTTCTGAGTACTTTTGGAGAGGAACCATTTTAGTTTTGGTATTGACGAATTGTGACAAAACTATCCTAAGTTTAACCTTTCAAGTTGAAACTGCAGACTCCTGAGCATGATTGTTGCATATCTCCAGCCTTCATAAAGGCAACTGTTCTCAACACCACTTTACACTGATCTTTCTATCGTTTGTTTGTCTTTTGCTAACACCGCAATATTCCAACAATATGACAGCTGCTTGTAAATAATTGAGTCTGGACCAGACAAGCCAGTGGTCGATTTGGGGGCAATGATCAACGCCGTCAGGGTACGGTAACACGATCAACCAAGTCACGATCCATTTGGTCGCCTCTTACTACCAGATAACGAGGGGTGACTATTTAAATTCTGAGCATCACATAGAAAGACTGGACCTAAAGACATTGAAGACAGTTCGTAGCCACACTCGTGGCTTGTAGCCATGGCAATGGCTGATTTGTGCACTGGCGAAGCACAGCTTTTTCTCAGCTTCCCGGGATATCTTGGATTCTCTGGATCATCTCTTGTGTTGCGGACGTCACAAGCCCTCCGGGACAAGAGTCATCTTCAAGACGCTCCCTGTGACGCTTAAAGGCTGCTGTCCCCTTCTTTGGTGTCATAGGAACAGCATCCCCCTAGTGTTGTATCATCGTGGATGGCTTTTCTGCAAGTACTTCATCACTGCACGTTCCTCAAGTTTGACCATTTTCCAAAGGCCACAGACCTCTGCGTATATTACTGATTTGTCACAGCTTGGACAAGTTATTTGTTTCGATAAAAGCCCAACCTTCATCGGGTCTTCATACTGAAACAACACGCTGTGCCTTTGACTACAACCCCACTCGCATTCACGTATTTTATACGTAACTAAAGTATTGTCATTACATGTATAATTATACATGAAACGTCAATATAGGAGAAACAGATTCCATTTAGCGTAAAGGGCAAAATAGCTGTGAAAATTACTTGAATTGACGCTAAATGTCCGCCCGCTAACCTTAAGGTGAAAGTTGAGGTTATAACGCCCATTACTTTTGGACGGAAGCACAAGAATATATGTTACAGGGGGTAAATACGCGCACGCGCGCACTCACACGCATGGAGCAATTCTTCTGAGAACTATGCATCACATTTAACACAGAAAATAGCAATTCATGGTATACAATTTATTGAAATACGTTGCTTGTTCTTTAGTTTCCCGATCTGTTGGTTTGTCAGCACCATGCTCCTGCTCGTGGGTTTCGCCAAAGTGGCAAAACTCAAAGACCTGCATCACTTTGGACTTTCCTTCCACATTAAACTTCCATGCCGTGATATATACAGCCGGGCAAAAGGAAGTATGCTCTTAAAAATACCCGCTTCACTCAGCTCATTTCCATAAAATTGCGACCCCAAGTTTCTTGGGACGTCATGTGCACGTCACCTGCTGTGAGATACTCATTGATATGATGCATGTAGTATCGCATATAATACGGGTATCAAACAACATCACCATCAAATAACTTTTGCCTTTTTGTTTCGTTTTAGCCACTATCAAACATGGTTGTATACTTTCTTTTATCCGGCAGATTAACTGAAGTACTGATGTAATCTTTTGGTAAAGTTCATTCACTCACTCACTCATTTCTTGAATGGATTTTTGGACTGAAATATATTGAACAACAAAAGTTCCCGTGACATTGAATAAGATTTAATGCAAAGTTATGTTTTTTACCAAATCTGAAACAATTTCGGTTTGCAAAAGATTAAAGACTCCTGTAAGTGTTCAAATGGTTTAATCTGCCATACTGACTTTAGAAAATGCGTGATTTCATAAAAAAACATGAACATGCCAAAATGTCAATTTACAAATCAATAGCGTGTGTGTCCACCTCTGGTTGCCAAGCAAGCAACACATCTTCGTCTCATGGAATGGACCAGGTGTCCTGTGGGATATCTGCCCATCACGTGGTTGACGTCGAAGGCGCCGATCCATCTCATCCAACAAGTGCTCGATTGGTGAGAGATCAGGGGAGCGAGCCGGCCAGGGGGTGACATTCACGTTGTTTTGTTGATCCTGAACAAGTCGAGCAATATGAGGCCTTGCGTTGTCATGTTGAAAGGTAATGCCTGGGCCATGACGACGCAAATACGGTAGAACAACAGGGCCGATGATCTCGTCGCGGTAGCGCTGCCCATTGAGATTTCCCTCTACCACTATCAAACGGGTCCTCTGTCTTTATGTAATCCCAACCCATACCATATCGCTGCCGCCCCCGAACCGATCTTCTTCCATGACACAATGATTGACGTAACGTTTACCTCGACGTCGGTACACTCGAATACGTCCATCGCTGTGGCTGAGGTGAAAACGAGACTCTGTCTGCACCAGTGTAGACGTGCTTGACGGTGGTTTCCTGTCAAAATGGGACGTCTGGTGGGTCTTCTGGCGACAATCCCTGCACATCTGAGGCGACGACGTACGGTTTGTGAAGATATTCGTCGAAGGCCAGGGATGCTTCTTGCAGTCACTGCTGTGCTGGCTGGAATCGTTTTCGTAGGTGTGTTGTTCGAATCCAGTTGTCTTGTCAATTATTGGTTACGCGTGGCCTGCCACTCCGAGGATGGTCTCTGACTGCATTCGCCTGTTGCCAACGTTGCCATAAACACCAAATGGTGTTTCTGTGGACGTTAAATTGTCTTGCAACGTCACGTTGTCTCGATCCTGCTTCAATCATACCAATGGCTCGCAGACGCTCATTTTCGGACAGGCGTGGCATTTCGTAATGTTGAATAATTGCGTAATTGTGTTGTTTTTCTGAGTGGTTGTTGTCAGCACGATGGTAAACAATGCATATGGAATCCCGTTAACGCACATGTTTTTATACCCATTCTTGGGTAGTACAATGCATGGGGCTTGCATAAAAGTCAACTTTTGCATGGAATGCATGTTTTTCTGTAGCATTTGCGTTTTTTGTGACTTGATTTCATACATGTACTACAATATTGAAAACAAAACTTTACTTGTTTGAAAAATACACTAAAATATTGGTGTCACAGGAACTTTTGTTGTTGAGTATATATTGGTGCATGGGTCAAATCATATTACCCCTGTAATATAATTACAAGCAAAGAACTACTGTGTTTTGACATCAACTTAACAAACGTTTTTTTTGTGTAGGGTATTTTCCGTACGGTACAACAGAGGGATGTTCGCTCGGCTGATCCTGCTCACTGTTGACTTCAGTGAAACCGGGCGCTACACATGCGCAGGGCTGGTCGGCGCTGATGTGGTGCAGAAACACATCGACATCAACGTGATAGGTAGGAATTAATCATTTAACTCAAGGGTGTGGCGATTTGTCACAGTAGGTGAGGTGGGTGGTGTTGCGATTTCTTTGACGCCCAGGGATCTTTCTATTTCGGTGGAATTACAAACACGGCGATCCAACGTTAGTGAGTCTAGGGTAAGTGAGATGGGCTTAACGCCGCTTTGAACAGTATTCCAGTTATATCACGGCGTGTCAGCTTAATGTGGGAGGAAAGCCCGAAGTGATGCAGGTCTCAGACCTTTATCACTTGGTGAAACGCACAAGCACGGGTCTGGTGCTGACAAACTTATAGTGAGTGAGTGATTATGGTTTTACGCCGTTTTTAGCAAATTTCCAACAATATCACGGCGGGGAACACCAGAAATGGGCACCACATTGTACCCATGTGGGGAATCGAACCCGGGTCTTCAGCGTGTAGTGCAAGACCATTAACCACTAGGCTACCCCACCGCCCCGACAAACCTAGAAACATAAGCCTGGCGAACATGGATTCGAACCCACAATAAGAGGTTTCTTGTGTGCCCAAGGGACGCAACTCTGCAGGGTGAAATTCGGCGCCTTAGACGACTGGGCCATCCAAACCACCAGTGGGTCTATGAAAGCAAGGTCACTCGATTTAGTCGTATAAAACAATATCGTGGTGTTGCTTGGTTAGGAAGGCTGTCACTGCCATGTTATGTGTAATCATAATTGTATATGTGACCCTATCTGGTATTGGTTTACAGAGAGAGATTTCGAAGTTGTTGAATACGTCGACGCGGAAGATGGACCTCGGAGGGGAGATGTGCGGGTTGATGAACCGTTCTTACCAAAACGTCGGCCCGCCAGAGATGCCGACAATCCAACAAACCAGACTACAAAGGTATCGTACACTTCAGAGTTAACGACAACGAACTATTCAGACAGTTCTGAGGTGGGATCTGGAACTGCTACTGATCCGCAACTGGCGAGTGAGACAGGAGGGGCAAGTACAACATCTAGAAGTGACCCATCAACAGCGACATACTACTCGCCCGGAAGTACTATCCCGTCACCCAGCGGTACCCCGGCACCCTCTTCAAAAGGTCGGACAACTGATGACCAATCAACAACGACAGAAACTACTACAGCTGAGCGTCCAATAACCTCTTCAGAACCACTGCCCAGCCCTGAGATACAATCGACTGCAGCTACAGATATTCGAACATCAGAAATAACTACTGAAACCGGAAAATTTGAAAATGGTTATAAGGGCAGACACAAGAGGGATAAAACAGCCTTTGGGAAATATGGAGTTTTAGCATTTGCTTTGGCTTTAAGTGTGGCGATTCTTCTTTTGTACACACTCATCCTACTGAATGTCATCATTCCACGATGCTGCAAGAACAAGCAGTCGGTCAGTTTCAGGGAAGCGCCAGACAGCAAACATAAAGAAAATGGACCTTCTGCAATAGACGCTATTGCCATGAAACCTTTAGCGGTTGTACCCTGTCCAAACAGTCCAAATGATGGATTTACGACAGTGGACTTGGATGACAAAGATGGTCCCAAACCTAACTCAAATACACCCGGGCAAAAAGAAACAGATGCACCAATATCACCAACGTCTGATCCAGGGAGTCCATCCAAGTGAGTATGACAGTTCTTATCATCCACCAGGACATGAAATATTGATGACGAGAATATTGTTTCTCCAGCTACATGACAGTGATCAGTGAACATCCTCATCACAAACGTATAACTTCAACCCTGAACACACCCAAAGCACACTGAACACAAGACAGAAGTCTTGGCTTCAGATCTGTGGATGTTGTAAATGTATCCAATCAATTGAACTTGTAATGTATGTCTGTGGCATAAAGATTCACGTGTGATATTTCTTATGTTGCAGATATGTAAGTACGTTCCTGATTGGACGGAAGCCTTCAGAAAGCAGTCCCCTGGGAGTGTATCTGCATGAAGGCAAGCCAGTGGACTCGGAGACTGGCAACGAGGGGACCTCTGATCCCACACCTGAAGTGAAAACAGGAGAAACCACAGTTTCAGATGGAAAGGAGGCCGGAGGCGAGGCTGCCGGTAGGGCAGATGTGGACACCAGTACTGAGGTTGACACCAGCACTGACACAAGAGACACATCAGCCAGCAGCTCCGACATAGGGGACCTGGGCGTATCAGGTGCAAAGTCCTGAGCTTCTACGTGGAAGTAGTTAGTACTTTCAGCTTGCAGCTTTTGACAGCTCATTTAGGGCTATCTAATTCTATACTCACACGCAAAAGAAACGCAAGTCGAGTATGCAGTATACATGTTTTCAACAGTAAAGACAAGAATACTAATAGGGCTAATTTGACAAAAATTTGACTGAAGACAGTTTAATGGATTAAAATGCAGATGACATAATTGTTTTTTCAAATGTTAAGGGCTTACACAGTTTCGGGTCAATACCCAAAATGTCAGTCAATACCTGGTGTGACCACCATTAGCATTGATCACTGCCACACATCTCCTGTACATTGAGTGGATCAGACGATTTGTGAAGGCCCAAGGGATCCTCCTGCACACATCCAGACCAGCTGTGCGTAGTTCATCGGCAGTTGTAGGGCCTGGGCGCACATTGTGCAGACGCCTTTAAACCTCATCCCACAAGTGTTCGATGGGGTTCAAATCAGGGCTGAGGGCTGGCCACGGTAAAACACGGATGTTGTGTTGTTGCAGAAAGGCCATGGTAGCTCTGGCAACATGGGGACGAGCGTTGTCCTGCTGGAAAATGTGTTGGTGATGTTGTGCAAAAAAATGGAACAACGTGGGGTCTGATCACCGCTGAGCAGTGACGCCGTGTCCCTGACCAACATTTAGAAAGCACATGGGTCCAAGTGTCGCATTAAGTCCAATCCCTGCCCATATCATGACGATAGGTCCAACCCATGGATCCCTTTCCACAACGTTTCTGTCAGCGAAACGATCACCTCGACGCCGTCAAATTCTGACTCTTCCGTCTGCATGGGAGACACAAAAGCGACTTTCATCAGGGAAGATGACACGCCTCCACTCACGATGACGCCATTTGTGATAACCCTGTGCCCACTGAAGTCGTGCTTGTCGATGCCGTGGTTGGAGAACAGGACGACATCTGAGGTTGTTGGAACGGAGACGTCGGATCACAGTGTCCCGGCTAATGTGTCGATTATGTGTTCCTATGGTCTGTCTAGCACTTTTACTTGCAGTTAGGAACGGGTGTCGCTGGTGTTGACGGGTAATCTGCCGATCTTGTCCAGGTGTGGTGACCCTAGGACGACCGCTCCGGGGAAGGTCATCTGTGGTCTGTGTAGCATTGTATCGATGCAGGAGACGGTAAATTGTGGTTATGTTAACGTTGAAATGACGGGCAACATCTTGGACAGACTCTCCAGCTTCCAAACGTCCGATAGACTGGTTTCTCTGAATTTGAGTTAGGCGTGGCATTGTTGACCAAGGAGTGGTAGGTCCAAGAATCGGCCACAGTTTTATACCCACTACAGTTCGTGACAGTTCGTGCATTTTCGATTTCGCGAGAAATGGGTTCGTGATACCCACATATTCATTGAAATGGTGCGTTTTGGCGATTCGTTTTTTATGTTGCGTTTTTACTCGGGGCTTCCAAAATGCAACCAAAAAAAAAAAATAACACAATCAGGCTTCACTACATGCTAAAACTCGTATCAATTTATGGTTCCGTGTTTGTTACCTATTTCCTTAAAACCACTTGCGTTTCTTTTGCATGTGAGTATAGATTACAGTGTTCTTTTTACATCCTCGCCTCGCTACAATTTATTTCTGAATTACAGCTTAATAATGCAGCAACACCAGGTCAACTAACTTGACAATATTTTAAATTATTTCCAAAATAATTATTACAAGGGTTGGGAACTGGGTCAGAGGGAATCGGTGGAGCCATCCAAAAATATGACCAGCATGAGGGGAGGGTAATTATTTTCATTACATTAGAGCATCAAAAACCTCTGACCCACCACCCCATGTAATAATTGACCGACCCCGTGGGAGGCTCACATTTGAAGCAAATATCATACCATTGTTTAATGAAATGAACCATAACATCATTCAGTAATAATAATAATAATAATAATAATAATAATGTGCATATTCATAATTCGCCAAATCCACACCCTAAAGCATGCTCAAGCCGCTACATTATTACCATGGTCAATGGGTTAGTGTGCACTCGATTTTCATTCTCAGCTCCCTGGGAAGTATACAACGCAAGCTTCCTCTAAGGCTCTAGAAGACTAACATCTCTTCGCACTGGGTGGTGTAGTTTCATTGAACTTGAAGAATTCATCTTGTACATGGGAAATGTATTGTTCTTGATCTGTATTAATTTAAAACTTTATGCACATGAATTCTTCAGGGAGGAGTTCCAAAACGAACGTGTAAACTGCTGAGGCACATGTACACACATCAGAAGTAGTTCTCGGAGAGCAACTCACCGCAATTTTACAGTTGTTTAACTTATTATTTTGACAAGAAATTATAGCTACAAGCGTCATGTCATCAAACTATTGAACATGTATTTTGATACAATACATGAATCTAACCTGAGTGAGATGAGGTGAGGTGAGGGAAAATGGGGTTTAACGTCGCGATCAAGATTATTGCCCCTTTTTAGCACTGTGTGTGTGTGTGTGTGTGTGTGTGTGTGCGTGAGTGCCTGCGCGTGCTTGTACTAGTCCGGACTAATGCCGATTTTACAGTGCTAGCCAACTGAGATACCATGACACAGTTTAACATGAATACCCGTCAGACACAGAATACTGACTCCAAGCCGACCAGTCCTTGTTTTAGCCCCATAATGCAGAGCGCCAGACAGGGTATCAAGTACCGTCTTTTAACGTCTTTTGGTCTTTTCGAATCCCGGACCTTCCGCTCGCCAGGCAGACGCTCTACCACTAGACCATGGAGGCGGTCCTGAGAGAGTGAGTGAGTGAGTGAGTGAGTGAGACAGAATTGAGTTTCAGACCTGGCCCTTCCACTTGTAGCAAGGTCATAAACAAAGACTACAGCTGCAAGCCTGAACTAGAACTGCATGGACAATGAAAACATATTTCAAAGGAATTACTCCAAGAAGAACCTGATGCTCATCTTAATTTTTGAAAAATTAGATAATGTATAGCTTATCACTTATGATTGACCATAGGGTGAAAATGCATTGTTGAATATTAATGGGTATAGTTAGTGGGTGAACTTCTATGGCACTTTTAGCAGTATTCCAGCATTATCACGGCAGGGGACACCAGAAATGGGTTTCAAACATTGTACTCATGTGGAGAATCAAACCTAAGTCTTGGGTGTGACAAACCCATAAACCACTAGACTACCCCACCACCCCTTAATTGGTGTAGATATAAAGAATGTTGATTGCTTGGTTTGTACATTGTATAGAATTGTAATATATGAATAGAATATGTTTGTTATGATGTTATTTTTGAGGGAATACATTGTTTTGTACAAGTTTGTTACAAAACAACTTCTAAGACAAGATGTCTCACTATAAGAAGCCACAAACTATAGGTTTCAACATTAAAGCATGTTTATCACAGTACTTTGTAATATTCATCGACATCATTTTTCTTGAAGATTTGGATGAAAATCTAATCCTTTACTGTGGCCCTACTGCTTATTCTAGTTCCAATCTGTTTCCTTTATTTTGTTTTCTTCCAGTCACCATGTGAACATATTGGATAATATTTTTATGAGAAATTATAATATTTTATTTGTCTTTTCTCTGCATGCACAGGCCAAACTTGATTTTCACTCATGTCAAATGTGTAGATGTTTGTTTCCTGTGCAAAAGAATACATAACTAAAGATACCATATGTATCTACTCCCATGTTGCCAGTTGGCAGACTCTTCACATCATGTTCGTTTTAAAACAGATAAACAATTACACATGGCCTAGGATTTTTACCAGTTACTTTCATATTTTGTTTCAATAAATTGATCAAATATCAAATATCTTCCTGTCTTGTTATCCCCCGCCCAACGAAGTTGGCGGGGATATAGAAACGGGCTCCGTCCGTCCGTCCGTCCTTCCGTCCGTCACGTTTCGTTTCCGGAACATAACCCATAAACCGTTCAATATTTTTTCATCAAACTTTGCAGTTCTGTCAGGTACATGCTGAACTGGTGCCTTTTGCTATTGAGAAATTTTAGAAATTTTTATTTTTTACGTTTCCATGGCAACAAGATGGACTTAGGTTCTGTGAGGGTATGGTTCGTTTCCGGATCATAACTCATAAACCGTTCAATATTTTTTCATCAAACTTTGTAGGTCTGTCAGGTACATGCTGAACTGGTGCCTTTTGCTATTGAGAAATTTTATAATTTTTTTATTTTTTACGTTTCCATGGCAACAAGATGGACTTAGGTTCTGTGAGGGTAGGGTTCGTTTGTTTTTTTACAATTTCCATGACAAGTTCCACCTCGGTTAAAAAAAGTTAGGGTTTGTTTAGATTTAATTATGTCATAAATTCTGCAACAGGGGCGGGGGATATAGCCACGTTAGTAGCAAACTCTTGTTATTTATTATTTCTTCATTGCTGTAATTCTGAATTCAATTTGGAAAAGTGAAAGGATCTGAAGATAAAGGAATAGATAGATATATATGTCCTACAACATACAAATGGAATTCTGGGGTTTGAATTCACCCCTGTGGACCCCAAAAATACCTCATTTTTAAAATAATTATTTTAAGTCACCTGCCCTGTACTGAAAGGTAGAATTCTTCAACATGGCTGATTGTGCCTCACCAGACACTATTGGCGTTACATGTTGATCATACTGTCAACCACTTCTTTGCCAATCAAAGCAAGATTGAAAAAATAACAACATTCACTCACTTGCCCCCCCCCCCCCCCCACACACACACACACACTCACAATAGCTTCCACATCAATAAAACCTGTGCTGTGTGTATAAGTATAAAAGGCCCCATTTCTAAAAATTATTGATTAATGGTAGTTTTCAGATCAGCCTTGCCCCCTGACTGATGCCATTGTGTAGGTGGTCTTGTGCTGCCAGTCCTGGCATTTTTAACTCATCAAGTGTAGGAAACCTGAGCACATTAACATAGTATCACCCATGTGTGTGTGTGTGTCAAAATTTAACATTTTCCCATGACCCCCTTCCAATAATACATGACCAGTGCATGAATAATGTTCAAATTCATAACTTTTTTATTTTGAAATACTAGACCAGTTTTCCAAGTTATAGGATGGGAATGTCGATTTTAGACATTTGAATCTTCCAGATAAAGTGAAGACATACACAGAATAAGTGCTGAAATGTTTATTAATCAGCAAATGAAGTTGTGACCATCTGAGTCACAGTACTGGAGTGTGGAAGGGTGGAATTATCCCACAGTTGAACATGTCCACCACATATACATGTCCCTCATGATCCACAAATCCATGTTGTCTCGAGATGTTTATGGTCAGTTAACATGCTGCAACAGGAGACCCATTTCACATTTACCAGACATTGTACTCCACAGTGATGACAAAAAGAGGTCAACACATCTTAAAAGACAACAAACGGTAAATGACTTTAATGACTTTGATGATGTTAAATTAATCATGTGATCCTCCTAATTGTATGTCATGTATCTTGGTGTGGCGCTGAACTTGGCATAAGCTTTGATGACTTTATTGACAGCCTCAAGGAAATCCTTCTCAGTTGCCATCTTCCTCCGGGCCCTGATTGCGAACATCCCTGCCTCTGTACATACACTGCGGATCTCGGCACCTGCAGCCACAAGATGTCACAATCAACATCAAACATGCTACAACACAGCACTTATAGCCACAAGATGTCACTAAAACAGACATGCTACCACACAGTGGATATCAGTACCTGCACACAAAACTAAATTATTGAACAAGAGTGCAAGATTGTTTCAAGTAAACATTTCAAGACATATGTTGCATCATATAGTCCAACATCCTGAGTTAAATAGTTTTAAAACATGAAAGGTCGATTCAAATGACTTTCAATAATAAAGAGTAAACACACACTACTTCAACAGCCACCATTCAATACTGTTTCATCACAACAAACCTTATCCGATATGTTCATGAATACTCTTGTTCTAAGAAAACTTTCAATTAACAGTGTGATGTTTTGACACAGACATAATAACGATAAAGTGCATAACATGTGCATCAATTTTCATTAATCATATATGTGTTCCAGGGTGAGAAGCGAGTTGAGTAATGACAAACCAAGCTCCGCATCTGTTTTCAGTGCTGGACGAGGATGTAAGTACAGGCTATCAGGTGACAGTGTGTTACACAGGGAAGTAGTACTGGGCAAACTAGGACTAAATCTGACCCGTATATAATATACTGAGACAGTAGATGCTGCAGCAGGAAGGTGTCCTATCAAGACAAACATGACTGATATCATGACAAGGCTCTTGTGACATGGTTCTTCCTGGTACTGCAGTGGGGACAGCATTGGCTATTATATTTCTCACATTTTGATAGGGGCAATCAAATATGCCATTTAATATAAATATATACTGTTGACATATTATGAGGATCAGTTTTGTATGTCTATAAAAAATAATCCTATCAACAGTAAAGTAGCATATGTCTTGAATGAAGAAAATATAGCGACCTGTTTCTCAGCTTATCTCTCACTAGCAACTTTCTTACCACATTTTACTCAAATATAAGATGTCTATGTGATATATTGCAAAGAACAACGAAAGAACGAAGTGGTTTATTTCATGATAAAACATTGTTCTATTATGACGTCATTTTTGGAGATTTGAACATGTTCTCGCAACTTGACGTCGAAAATTGGACAACGTTATTTTTGAGAGGGAAGTGTCTAGTGAGTTGTTCCCCATAGATGTAGCTGGGCAACTTAGTTAAACGCAATGGTCAAACCATTGAAAAATGTGAAAATATCTGTGAAATACCAAACTTCATAAGTTCATAAAATTGTTCATAAAATTGTTCATAAAATGGACTTGTTCGACATTGCTAAGGTTGGATTGTATTCAGGCAGTCATCATTATATAAATACGAGTAAATATTTATAAAGCTTGTACATTATATTAACATTCTCAACGAGGATGTTCATAATTTTAATATCTCATATAAGAAATAAATGACTCATAGACATTGTTTGTCATTCAATAAAACGCTGCAGGGAGAATAAACCACACAGGGCTGCCCCTCATGCTTTATTCTGCCTCCAGTGTTTTATTGAATGATAAACAACTCTTACTCATCGTTTATTTCTTAAATATATCATCCTAACATTGACAACAAATGTTTGATGTTTAGCAAATTTGTATGTTTTGTAAAGTAGCAATATTCTACAGTGTATGACACTCGTGCTGAGGACAAGTAAAAGTCTCATGATAGTGGTAGTCATCAATATAAACACACAGATAATGATCTTTACTTCTGATGAGTTAACCTGGTAGACAAATTAAATCAATAATTGTTTTAGATAACTCTGGTTGTTTATGTATGGATAGAAGTTTTAACTTGGAGGTTTCCTGTTATGAAGCCAAAGGGTGGAGTGGTTAGGCCTATCAGATACATGCAGGAAAACAGCACTTGAGATCTTTCTACATCCTTGTAACTATGAAGCAAGGGGAAGTGTGTGTGGTAGCAGCATCGCCTTGAGGCAAGGCTATATAATGAGCAGTTACTCATGTTGAGTGCTACACAGCAGACTACTGTATCACTGTGTTTGAAGAATTCTACACCACTTTATGTTCAATGTATAGCCAGTGGAGTTTATGAAAACCCTAATAGCATGAATACAACAAACATTTACTGAACATGTTGAAAGGAATTAATCTGTTATTTACTGAACATGCTGAAGGGAATTAGCCAATCTGATCATTTACTGAAAATACTGAAGGGGATTGACTGTTATTTACTGAACATGTTGGAAGGGAATTAGTCAATCTGTTATTTATTGAAGGGAATTAATTAATCTGTTATTTACTGAACATGTTGAAGGGAATTAGTCAATCCCTTATTTACTGAACATGTTGAAGGGAATTAGTCAATCTGTTATTTACTGAACATGTTGAAGGGAATTAGTCAATCTGTTATTTACTGAAGGGAATTAATTAATCTGTTATTTACTGAAGGGAATTAATTTATCTGATTATTTACTGAACATGTTGAATGGAATTTGTCAATCTGATTATTTAATGAACATATTGAAGGGAATTAGTCAATCTGATTATTTAATCTGTTATTTACTGAAGGGAATTAGTCAATCTGTTATTTACTGAACATGTTGAAGGGAATTTGTCAATCTGTTATTTACTGAACATGTTGAAGGGAATTAGTCAATCTGTTGACAAATTGTTTTGAAAAAACCCAGAAGATACTTTACATGGCCCTGCCATCAACCCCAAATAATGAAACTGTCATAAACCATTGTAAACACTAGCTGAAATGAAAATAAAGTCTACCGAACTCTAGTCTTACATTGAAAGCATAGTGATGATCAAAGCTCCTCGAATCCCAGCTCGCCCCGATTATGTTCTAGGTTTGTGAGCACCATACCCGTGCTCGTGGGTTTCACCAAAGTGGCAAATGTTTAAGACCTGCATCATTTCGGGCTTTCCTCCCACATTAAGCTGACACGCTGTGATATAACTGGATTACAGTTAAAAGCGGCGATAAACATAACTCACTCACTCAAAGCTCTTCAATGACTGCATCCTTAATATGTTATTCCTAAAATACTATCATACACAAATACTCCAGTGCACTTTCTTTATCATGAAATAAACAATGACTTGCCACACATGAGACCATTGAGAGTAAGGAAATGCTTCTACTTCATTCCATAACATGACATGTTTTTATGTGTAATAGGACACTTGACAAGCCCTCGTCAAAGTAGGGTGTGTGCCCAATGTTATATTACACTGTGTTCTCCAATAGCACAGCCTGGTTGCTGCTTTGTGAATATCAACAATGTGACAATCAGTTATAATAAAGAGATAACTGACTTCTTTACACTAATCAACCTTTGCTTTGGATCACACCTCTGACCAAAGATGATGACTGTTTTGGTAAAAAGCAGATGTTGAATAGTATATTTTAATATATAATTAAGGAAATAGGTTTTATAGTCGTAACCGATTTGTGTGGCAATAATTTTCTGACTTAATATACAATACAATCATAAATAACCTTGAGTTATGATGATACATGTTATATAATGAAAATTAACACAATTAGTAAAATCTAAATATTTTTTACATTTGTATACTTATCCTGCATTACTCCTTAATGCATTCACTGCCTACCTTACGACAACAAAAAGAAGCGGAGGTGGAAATAGCTCAGGAAAAACGCCATTACGTAAGGGTCGTTCAATCTTCTTACAGAAGGAACATAGGAATTAAAGAGTAGTTCCCTATGCATATTTAGTAATAAAGAAAATGTTGGCTAGGCAGCTAGTTCTTTAGTAACTATGTCATAGAGCCAAGGCCTGACAAAAGAGGTTGTCTTATTTTCTTCCACTGGCCAAATCTCAGCGACTTGCGTGGGGAAATAGACTGGCTCTGTACAGGGCGAGTTCAGTATTTGCATCAGGGGTTGGTAACCTGCTTGGGCTACTACCAGAGGGCCCAAACTGCGCATGCCTTCAATGTCCTCGAGAGTCACATCGCGAAGATAATGACTAGCGAAAAGTGTTTCGGACCTCTAAAAACATCCTTCCGTGATCGTTCGAATAGTCGAGGCTAACGCCCTGATATCGTGAGGATTATTCGCTCTTGGAGGATCTAGTTTAGCGATCTCGTAAGCCTGAAGGATGACTGCGTGTAACCATAGAGATATTGTGTTGCGAATAACTTCAGTCGTGGACATAGGATATATGGGTTTAAATAACTGCCTCCTCGAACCACGCCTAGTTTTGGAGAAGTTCACCCTCATCTTCCGTTCCTACAATGGTCAATATTGGTGGGATGGTGAAGGAATGATCGGGTTGGCCTTGTAGTTAATTTGTGTTATAAAATCCCAGAACAAACCGGGATGTACCGCTCCATGCATCCCATGTTCAAAACAAACCCGGGTGATACTGATTGCAAGTAGCTCGCTCACCCGTGCCACCGTGGCTAATGCCAAGAAAAATATTGTTTTCTTGGTGAGGTCATAAAATTAGGATGCATAGAGGGGCTCGAAGGGGGCCCTCGCAAACCTCGAAGTACCATGTTCAAGTCCTAAGCAGGGGGGTGGAACTTGGCCTTCTGATCCTCAAGCCTGAATGAGGGTAGTAGGGCCTGTAGTCCCCAGACCTTAGTCATCTTGCGATTTTCTGGAATGGCCAACACTGAGTTAAGTGCAACCAAATACGTAGTAATGGTGCTACCTTTCAAGTGTTTTTGGGTACGCAATTGTAGGAAGTATTCGGCTAGGAGTTGTGGTGGTGCAGTCATGGAGTCTTGGTGTTTTCGCACTTAACACCTTTTAAAGATGTAAATTGTAGTTCCGGATGATACACTAGATGGAAAAATCTGAATGTCTGTTGAAGCAGGGAGTGGGAGGGCGTTGTTCCCTGATTGCACCACAGTGCTGATGTCTGTGGATATTGCGAGTTGGGTGGACTGTAGCTGATTCTGCCAAAGAGATATGGCCAGAATTAACGCTTCCAACACCAGATTATTTATGTGCCACTTTTGATGAGCGCCAGACCATAGCCCTGAGGCTGTCTGGCCTTGTGGAGAGCACCCCACCAGTGGAGAGAGGTGTCTACGAAGAGGTGCAGTATCGGGGATAACCTGGATAAAGAGACTCCTCCTAAGACTTTCGACTCTACCCTCACCAATTGAGGTTAGGTCTTAGATGGGCCCGTAGAGTGATGGCCTTGTGTGGATCCTGACTCTTGATGTTTGAGTTCAGGAATTATTGAATTGGCCGCAGTCTGCTGGTTAAGTCCTGTGCCGAAGTGAGTAACCCTAGTAACACTTGCCATTGGTGAAGCATGCGTGGTTGGTGTAGTTCAGGTGACATGAGGCGTAAAATCTTTAGCCATCTGTCCCTCGGTACTGATAGGAGATCCTGGTCTGTCTGGAACAGGCCTCCTATGAACAGGAGCCGATAAGATGGAGTTAACTCCAACTTCGCCTCGTTGATTATCCATCCCAGTTGATATAGTATCCGTCTGGTAAATTCCTGATGGCGTACAAGCGTTGGTTGGATAGGTATATGCAGGTAGTCATCCTGCAAGTCGAGTGTTCTGAATTCGGTCTCAATGTGGTGAGGTGGTAATAAGGTGGATGCTTCAGATAACATTCGTTGAACACGGACAGATTGTGGATCATATCTTCTTGTCTGAGTCCTTCATGGGTACCAGGCAGATGTGAAAATAAGACCCCAGTGTTAACTATGGCGTGTGAACCAGCTCTACAGCTCTTTTCACCAACAGTATGTCTATGTCGGATTTTAATATCAGATGTTGCTTTCTTGGATATTTCCAAAGCGGAGGAGTTGTGGACAATGGTGGAGTTACCTCTACATCTAGACGGTAACAGTGACGTAGGACGTTGAGTATGTAATCATCCTTGAGAATGAATCTGTTTTGGGAAAACTGGACCAGTCTTCTGCCTACGTGAGGCAGGGAGTCGCTAGACATGACTGTCCAACACTTCAGTGTTTACCCCTCTTATCACCTCCCCTGCCTTTGTATTTACCATGAAGGGATTGATAAGAACCTTGAGGTTGATTCTGTCACGCCCATTTCCCATGAAGGGAGTCCTGGTCTTGGCCTTCCTTTAGAGATGCGCGTCTAGGCTTATAACTGCCTGACCTGTCAGCCCGCAGGGATAGACGATGAGAGACGTTCTCTAGAGCCTTGAATGCGGTCTCATCCCAAGCGTCATTGGGAACTTTGGTGTGCGTGTCTGCAATCTGTTCATTGAACAGGGAAGAAGATGACTAAGGTTGACGTAGAAGCCTGCGCTTGAACTCAAGAGTCCCAGTTGGAAAACTATGTTGGAAAGTATGTGTGTGAGGGTAATCTCTGCCAGAGCGGCCTTAAGATGGTTTCTCATATGGTCAATCAGAAGCTGTTGGAACTTCACCATAGTCTGGAAATGATGCCTTGACGATGTTTCAGTACACGCCTGATTTCCGTTTCTATAAACGCAAATCTGGGACCTTGTACCTTAAGGGTGGTTGGTCCTGACGATCCCATCATCCTTTGAATGTTTTCATCTGAACTATGAGCTTGGTCTGCGATAGGAAAATCATCCTTCCTAAACTTGGGTAGTTTGACTGACGGAGCAAGTGTAAGCTTGGAGAAGTCCTTGTCCAATGACCTAATCATGTCTGTCACCGGCAACGATGTAGAATGTGACCATATGGTGTCCCTTTTATCCACCCCGTTACCAGGGGAGGGCGCCACTGACAAGACGGTCTGCTACCCAATCGGGTACTTGCGCTAAGCCGAGATGCGTATTCCATTCCACAGAGGAATCGACTTCCTCGCCATTTGATAAGTCAGACGAGTCAGAGCGATGTTGATGCACTAGCCTAGACGGCGATGGGCTTCTGCTCCGGTGCATAGCACCCTCTTTTAGAATGCTTTGATGACCCTCCTGGTGATAAGGAGTTATGCGCCGATGTCCCCGTACACGCTGGCATACTAGCGCTGCCTAGCCATGTATGCACTGTATGAGAACGCATATTAGGTGTTTGGTATACGTTAGACGCCTGTGTAGGCGTTAACACTTGTGCCATAGATGTAGCTGACGCAGGCGTCTGATACATAGGCATAGGCGCAGGATACAGGTGTGCCATAGACTGCACATGTTTTGCATCCTAATAGTGTTCTGGAACAGTGCTTAGGCCTGAGCGTACATCTGCTGCGCTGGATAAATTGTTGGATCAGCGCTTAGCTCATCATTTGTTGCCTACGTAACAGAGTACGCTGTAAGCCCTGGGGCTGATGTCATTGTAGAGGTGGTTGGTTGGTAGACAGACGCTGCACTCGGCGAAGGTGTATGAGAAGCAATGCTCATCTGTGATGATTGGATCATTGTTGAGGCGCCTGGGTGGTAGGCAGGCACTGCCCTCAGCGTAGGTGTATGAGATGCAATGCTCATCTGTGATTACTGGGTAATGGCTTATGCCTGCGCTATCCCCATCAAGGCATCTTGAGATGTGAGCGCCAACGTCGATTTCGGTGGAAGATGCACATCTTCAGTCACAATGACGGATCAATATTAGCCACCAAAAATAATGGCTGGTTAGTAATGACAGAAGCATGTCCATCGCTAACCTCTAGCGATTGTGACATCTTCCTCGCCACTCGAGGGGATTGCTGCAAAATACATTTGAGAGTAACCTGTCAATAGATTGCAAAACTCACTTGAGAGTGAGTTAACCAAACAATTACATTTAAAGTTTGGAGAGCAAATCTGCGTGCATGCCAAACAACATTGATAAGTATCTTGGAAGATTTTATCCACGACAATTAGTACAATGCGCAAACATAAGTTACGCAAAATATAGAATGGTTGATGAAACGGTGTGAGAATATTGCCATAGAATTAAACAGTATTCTATCAGCAGATTTGAAAGTGTATACATATTATTGATACACGCAAACTCAATGTAACGCCAAAGCTAGTAGTATTTAAAAACACATGACTATGTTATACATACGTAGCTGAGAATTGTAAACAATTTGACTACCTTTGCAGGTAAATGATTGTAATAGAAATTCAAAATGGTGGGAAACAACGAGTATGTGGTGGGAAAAATGACAAAGTCTTTTTACGCCTAAATCACCCACATAAAACAACACAACTTGGTGAAAGTAATATGAAAAGAATACATCACCCATTGCAGATGATATTCAGAATTATAACCGAAGCTGAAGGTCTAAAATGATCCAATTTGAATGAGTGAGTTGGGATTAACGGTGCTTTTAACAGTATTCCAGTTATATCGCGGCATGTCAGCTTAATGTGGGAGGAAAGCCTAAAGTGATGCGGGTCTAAGACATAAACCACTTCGATGAAACCCACGAGCACAGGTATGGTACTGACAAACATAGAAACATAATCGGGGCGAACCGGGATTCGAACCCACAATCATAGGTTTCTGGCGTGCCCAAGAGGTGCAACTCTGCACAGCGAATCGCGGCACCTTAGACGACCGGGCCACCTGTGCTCCCTTATCCAATTTGAAGAGCTCTGCTGAGGCACGTCCTTGCTGTAGCACAACAGGCAGTGATGTGAGGAAGGTGACTTGTCATCAAGGTCACATGACAGTGGCGATGGTCGAAACGAAAAGAAGGATTGGGACTTTGAAACAACTTTATTTCTTCACCCAAGACCACTGCTGTGCGCTGTCTTTTTGTTGTCGTAAGTTTAGCAGTGAATGCATTAAGGAGTAATGCAAGATAAGTAAAAAATGCCATTTTTATAAAAGTCTCGAGAATAATTTTACAAAACATGCTATAAAGGTTTTTGAAAGTCTGGCCAGGATAAAACAGTTAATACGACTCAGGGTACATTGACCCACAATCAACCCATTCACAGAGACTCTTACAACAAGAATCGTAAACGAGCGACATATTCTGGCCCTGCATCCTCATATGAGATTCCACTATATACCAACTATGCATCATTAACGTGATTAAGATTACACTTGTCAGAGGGGTACACAAATATGTGATCTCGACTACCAGTTGTCGGACTTCCATTTTTGTGGAAGCCTCGGTGGCTGAGTGGGTTAGATTGTGGACTCAGATTAGGTGCCTGACTCTGAGAGTGTGGGTTCGAATCCCCCAAAATACTAGAATCTGAACTCAATATAATGCTTGTTACATGATAAGAAAAACAAGATTCAGCAAAACTGCAGTAAATATGACAGCAATTTACAAGCCCTTAAACATGTTTCCAAAACTAAACATTTCAATTTAGTTCAGGATCAAAATGGATATCCTGAAACTACTGCACTTATCACTGATTTAATTGTATAACTTTTTGAAAGGATTTTGTCCCAATTGTCTTTGACATTATATAGGCACGATATCCTCAAGGGCACCAACCACTGATCCAACATGAGTTAATTTGTTTGATTTATATAAATATTGATGTATTTGGGCCGAGTAATCGCAACAAACCTGTGCTGTTGGGGCAGAGTCGTGCGAGGAGCTCATATCTGATGTCCTTCTCCACACTCATAGATCTGGCATGAATCTTGAATATATGAGACCTTCCCTGGAACAGATCAGAGTGAGAGATGCAGTTGTCATCTAGATCATAGTGATATGAAACAGTGAAGCCTGTGAGTTTGCATGGTTAATAACACATTTCAAATCCCTACTATATGCAGTCTGCGACTTTAGCCACTAGTCCAAAGCCTGAGTCTACATTGGTCTAGTAACATTCTGTTCTCTATAGTAACCTCAGCTCACAATAATCTGAGAGTGTCAACATTCACTGTCAATAAATTATTGATTGATGTCAATTATCATTCATAAATGTAGAGGTAGATTCCCAACACTATTTCGAACCGTATTCTTTACATTCATCATGATTCATCAGCTTCCACTCGACGAACATGTACACTGGAGTCTTAAACACTTCACCTACATCTATGCTTGACATGCTTAATCAAATGGCCAAGATTCTATATCTTTTGAAATATGTTGTGAACAGGAGTGTAGGACCCCTTAAAAAATCTGCCATCTTATTCTGTCTGCATCAGTGTCTTTTTATCATGTTGTAACCAAAGCAAATACATTTTTTGAGAAGTACAGTTCATCTACAGAAATAAAACAAACATAACACTGAACCACATAAAAAATATGGAGTCAAAGCACATACCTCTAAGTCTGGTAGACCAAACTCAATCTTCCGGTCAAGACGCCCCGGTCTCATCAAGGCAGGGTCTAAGGTGTCGGGTCTATTTGTTGCCATGAGAACCTTGATATTTCCACGGGGGTCGAAACCATCCAGCTGGTTGATGAGCTCCAACATAGTTCTCTGGACCTCATTGTCTCCCCCAGCTCCGTCATCGAATCGTGCACCTGAACACATATGCAACAACACTAAACTACTGCACATAGGACACCTGAACAGATGCAGCAACACTAAACCACTGCACACGGGACACCTGAACAGATGCAGCAACACTAAACTACTGCACATAGGACACCTGAACACAGATGCAACAACACTAAACCACTGCACACGGGACACCCGAACAGATGCAGCAACACTAAACCACTGCACATGGGACACCTGAACAGATGCAGCAACACTAAACCACTGCACACAGGACACCTGAAGAGAGATGCAGCAACACTAAACCACTGCACACGGGACACCTGAACAGATGCAGCAACACTAAACCACTGCACATAGGACACCTGAAGAGATGCAGCAACACTAAACCACTGCACATAGGACACCTGAAGAGATGCAGCAACACTAAACCACTGCACACGGGACACCTGAAGAGATGCAGCAACACTAAACCACTGCACATAGGACACCTGAAGAGATGCAGCAACACTAAACCACTGCACACAGGACACCTGAACAGATGCAGCAACACTAAACCACTGCACACAGGACACCTGAAGAGATGCAGCAACACTAAACCACTGCACACAGGACACCTGAACAGATGCAGCAACACTAAACCACTGCACACAGGACACCTGAAGAGATGCAAAAACACTAAACTACTGCACATAGGACACCTGAACAGATGCAGCAACACTAAACCACTGCACAGGGACCCTTGGTTTTAGCCTGTGCAGCCTGTGCAGCCTGTGCAGCCTGTGTTGTGATAGATTTCATCACAGGTTAGAATGTGAAGAATGAATACAAAGGTTTTTCTATCTTGCAATAAGGTTGACAAGGACTTCTACCACAGAAAACCCCACCTAATGCAAAGACCAGCATCTCCTTGAACTTTCCTCCTACACTAAGCTGTCACTGTTAAAAAAAGTGGTAAATTCAACTTATTCAAATCGTGCTCAATGACAGCAAATTAATGTTTGTTCAAAGTTCATAAAGAACATTACTGATTTGCAAGACAGTTTCAAACTAACCTCCAATAGCATCGATCTCATCAAAGAAGACAATACATGCTTTCTTTGACCTTGCCATTTCAAACAGCTCTCTGACCATCCTGGCACCCTGAATAACAAAGAAACTTACATGGACAAATGTGTACAGTACTGTTTAATGGTGTTACAATACAATGAGTTGTTTGTTGTGTAATGTCGCACTCAGCAATATTCCAGCTACATGATGGCGGTCTGTAAATAATTGAGTCTGGACCAGACAGTCCAGTGATATGGTGACATGCATCAACGAAGTCAGCGAGCCTGACCACCCAATGTCGTTAATCGCCTGTTCAGTGTTAGAAATTGGCACTAGTCCTAAAGTCCTTACCGAAATGCCCAATAGTTAAGGTATCAGAAGGACTAGTAGAAATTTGCCATTTTAAAGGGTTTTGCTATCTGTTATCGTTGTAAGGACTAGTGGACAAAAACAGTTAGTTTCTATCGCTGCTGATCCGACAAGCATGAGTTGCTGAAGACCTATTCCCCCAGGGGTGACACAAGAACACTGATACATCATCATGTGATACAAAGCTGCCCATATGCACAGCATTACCTGTAGTGCAATATGAACATGCCAAATCTAATCAATTCACACTGAAAATACTAGAAAAGATATCAAAGCATGTCATCTTAAATTGCTTCCTATTATACATCTGTAAGGTTATCCGTAGATCTGTATTTAACTTTATTATTTAAATAATCTAGCTAATTTAACTTTATTATTTAAATAATCTAGCTATTGTGCTGGGTGAACTGCCATGCCATATTCACAGTTTATTTTGTCATTAATAGCATTAAACTTTCAAAAAGATTTTAATCACATATGGATAAAACGATAATCTATAAGAAAACATCACAATTTCTCTATATTGGTGTGCAAATAGATAAAATCCTTCAGCGACATTGTTGAGGTCATACAGTGGTTTGACGCCATGCATCGCAGATCCACTGTACTGAGGTCATAGTTTATTGAATGTTACTGCACTTCTCTCATTCCCTTTTGCCAAAAGGAATATGCAACATGGGAATTAATTCACTTTTTATATTGTATATTATGCCATATACAGTATAGTACCATTAATCCAACATGGTTGGTTGCATATGATTATGTTGGATTAACAAGTATGTCGGATAAAGGAAATTAGTGAGTAAGTTGGGTTTAACACCGTTTTAACAGTATTCCCTAAACCAAATTAAGTAGTATCAACATTCATGATTGAAAATCAGATAACTACACAAAAGATATTGATACAAACAAGTAATAAAAAAAATGAAAAAGGAACTATTCATATTGTTATGTTAAATTAACATGCAACCTCTAAAGCTTAACACTAAACAACTGTTATGGACTGTATGACTGATTCAACTTCCTGTTAAAGTACTCATGGAAATGGAAAAACCTGTTTTTTCAATCTCAGATTTTAAATAAATGCAGCTAATATACAAAATATATAAATATTTAAACAACTCAATTAGTACTAATTGGGCCTTGGCACAAAGGTTTTTATGTCTTTTTACATGTAAAAGTGTGTAAAAATATGAACAAAACAGACTATTGTGAAACTGAGCATAACCAGGTGTTAGCAGATCAAGGTGAATGTCCATGACCTATGACACCTTGACGACAGGTGAAAACAGTTGCTTGAAACCCACGTGCATGTGATTTGTGAGTGGTTAGTGATTTGTGAATGGCATTGTGGGATAGTGAATCATCGTCAAAATATCAGAACGTAAAAGTAACATATTCCCTTCTTCAACAACAACTTACATGTCATTATTATTATGTACATAAACATAGCTGTTATTTTTATTGTTGTTTTGATAACTTTTTTCCAGGCTAATTTACATAATGCCTATAGCCTGTTTCTGCCATGTCAATTTGGACTTTTATTTTTGAATGTTGAAAGTGCCTACAAATTACCTCCTGTAAAGTACATTTTGTATTGAGCACCGAGATAAAACTAGCAAATCCAGACTAGTACTTTTCCAGTTGTTTTGTTAATTCGTATTTACATCTACGTAATGCTTTGTGTCGATTATTAAATCCAGCAAAACAGTTTATTTTCATTTCCATGAGTACTTTAGTCATTTCATTGGTCGGTTATAGTTCGCGAAAGGTCGTTCTGTAATGGGATGTCCTCGGCGATAGTGAGAACTTGTATCTGATATTAGTGAGATTGAGGTAATCTAAGCATGTGATTAATCTTCTCCTTTTTTTTACTGCATTAATTATTTATTGTTAAGCAAGTTTATCCTTGCAGCCGTTGTAATATGCAGCTACCAGTCAACTCGTCTCGTGGGCAGATGACCACAGAGTAAGTGGATCTTTGTGTCAGATTAACAAGACTGTTTAATGAGTGATTTCAGCAATTCATTCAGCATAGACTGTATTTGACAGTTTGACTTTCATCAATTATTCCCAGCTCCATCACTTCAGATTAACTTAAACTAAATCATATTCCAGATACACGACAGTTCAAGTTGTGCAGTGAACAGAAATCATACCAGCAGATATCCAAAACATTCAATTTATGTGCATCAACAAATGCGTCATATTGCAAATATATTACGACTTGGCAGTTTACATGGTTTTGATAGGGGTGATCAGAGATGTCATTCTATTTAAATATACAGTTGACATGTGAGAATCAGTCTTATGCATCATGGAAAGATAAAAACATCCCGATTAAAAGTGGAGTAGCATATGACGACATACCTCTCCCACATATTTCTGTACAAGTTCTGATCCAATGACTCGGATGAAGCAGGCGTCTGTCCTGTTAGCGACGGCCCGGGCACACAAGGTCTTCCCTGTTCCTGGGGGCCCAAACAACAACACTCCCTTGGGGGGCTCAATACCAAGGTTGACAAACCTTTCAGGCTGGAACCAATTTGAAGACATTACTATGCAAAACTGATGATGATGACAAAAAAACTTCTACATTAGAATGTCTTGTGTTCATATTTGTTGAAATGTACTTATACTTTTGGCAAAAAAGTAACTTCCTCTTGAATTAGTTTTTTAGGTAATCTTTGCATGTCTGCAATATTCAGATATCTGGACAAAAATGAAGAGAATTGTCTTATTTTGTCACAAAGATTACTACATAGTGAGTGAATGAGTGAGTTAGGTTTAACGCTATTTTGAACAGTATTCCAGGTATATCAGAGCGTCAGCTTAATGTGGGAGGAATGCCCAAAGGAACACAGGTCTCAAATGTTTACCACTTTGGTGAGACCAACCAAGAAACATAATCAGACTGAACTGGGATTTGAACCCACAATCATAGGTTACTAGTGTGCCAAAGGGATGCAACTAGAAAATACAACTAGTTCACTTTAACTCAGAATGCAAGGATGTTTTCATATTCCAAACAGGAGCTAGTGTTCATAGCATGACAGTCAGATTTAATTGGAGATCTGTACATGTGGCAAGTGAAGGCAACCGATGGATTGGTGTTACTCAATGCAAGGATATTGATGCTGAAACTGAAGTCGCCAATCTGTGCCTCCAGTCAGGCCCAGATATCCTGATATACTCATATACAGCAAACAGAGAGGTGTCGACAGTCCAGGTAAACACTGTTTCACTCCTCTCCCCGAGGCAAGGGAGTTAACTGACAATATAAGTCCAGTTTCCACCAAGGCTTGAATTGTGGCTGGACTAATGAATCTATGCATAGTCCAATCAAAATTGCCCAATGAAATTGACATCTGGTTCGTAACATGTAGTGCAGATTTCGGTCGATTGCAGGATTTACAAAGCATGCGTACCATGAACTTAGTTCTACAGATATTTAAAAAAAATCTTTTCATGTTTTTTTATCAAGGTGCTCACATGTTTTGATGTACTACGTGAAGTAAGCCCTATTTTATTACAATACAGATCTTGATTATCGATTAGATCGCCCTGACTGGGCACCGCCATTTTGTTTGAAGCAAATGTAAGTGATATCAGAGGTGGAAACTGATTGGTCAACAGGAGGGAAATGGTTGGACATAACTCATAATAGCCACTGGTGGTGCTACGATTGAACCTAGAAATTCCAGCCAGTTCGGCAATGGTGGACACTGCTTTAACAGTCAGTTAACTCCCTTGCCTCGGGAAGATGTATTTTACAAAACACTCATTCTACATGACCAAAGACCAGTCAGCCCAATACTTTGATCTAATCTCTTTTTTTGAATATGAACAACATTAACAAAAGAGCTTGATAAGTATGGCAATAATTACTATTCAAAAAGAATCCTACCAGCTGCAGACTCAACACAACAGCAGCTTGTATAAAATTTCACAGGCATCACAGAATTCAAGAGTTATCTTCCTTGAGAATATCATGTCTACTCAGTACTGTGTGTGTATAACACCACACTCAGCAGTATTCCAGCCATATGATGGCAGCCTGTAAATAATCGAGTTGTGATCAAACAATCCAGTGTTTGTCATTGTGAGCAATGATTCTCACTGTTGGGTTACACTGACATGCCATCAACCAAGTCACCGAGGCTGACCACCCATTTCATCGCTGCCTCTTACAACCAGCATAGCTTGCTAGAGACCAGTTATAATACAGAATGCCCATGGGTTGACCTCTTAGAGACCAGTTATAATACAGAATGCCCATGGGTTGACCTCTTAGAGGCCAATTATGATACAGAATGCCCATGGGTTGACCTCTTACAACTAGCAATGAGATGCTGGGGACACATTTTCCTGGGTCCCTACAGAGTACTTAGTACTAAGTATTGTATGCTTCAATCTTATCAATCAATTGGCAGTATCAGCATGTCAAATATTTTGTTTATTAATAGGAACAGAGACCATGGTTTGACTTCAATAGCTAAATCCAAATAATTTACAATAACCAATATATGATAAGCCTTCAATAACCATGATAACATCGATTCAAAAGCTGCTGCTGGTGTTGATATTTATTATCTTCATGTTGTGTTTGGCATGGATATCAATAAAAGTTTTCAAATGATCTAAATTCCAGAAATCAGGCGAATACTGACATGTAAGAGAGGTGTCTCCACAACTTCTCGTAGTTTCTCTATTTGCTCTTTACAGCCACCCACATCGCTGTACGTCACATCAGGCTTTTCTTCAACCTGGAACAGAATCAACATACTGAAATCATCACAGAATAGAGCTAATACAAGGAGGAACAAAGTATCTGTCTAGAACAAATCAATACCAAGCATTTGCAAAGGACTGGCTACAATAGGTGAAGTGAGGTGAAATGAAATGAAGCTTAACGTTGCGTTCAAGATTATTGCACTCCTAGAGTGATGGGCATGCACATGTGTGTGTGGCTGCTTGTACTGTCCAAACTAATGCCGATACCATGCCACAATTCAACATGAATACCCGACTCAACACACAACATACCGACTCTGAGCAGACCAGTCCTTGCTTTAGTCCCTTACTGCTTGTACTAGTTCGAACTAATGCTGTTTTTGTAGTGCCAGCCCACTGAGATGCCATGCCACAGTTTAACATGTATACCCCTCTCAGACACAGTATACTGACTCCGAGCCAACCAGTCCTTGTTTTAGCCCCTTAGTGCTGAGCACCAGGCAGGGTATAAGTACCATCTTTTAACATCTTTTGGTATGACACGACCCGGGATCGAAGCCCTGACCTACCGCTCTCCAGGCAGACACTAGACCATGGAGGCGGTCTTTGAAGAACAGATAATTAGTAACTGTAGAACTTCATATCTGATTACCCACTGTTATTTCAAGGAAAAAACTGCACAAAAATGAATGAAATGTTTCCAGTATAAAGAAGTTTTGTAATGTCAAAATAATCAAGGTGTTAGTTATTTTCATTTTCCCTCAAGTTGGCTTTAATTGTTTGGAGAACAAATAAATTTTCTGATCAAGCAATAGGAAACTGGAAAGTGTGTGAGACAAGACAAACCTGCATCATGGTGACAGTGGGGTCAATCTTCGGGGGGAGAGGAATGTGAATCTGGTACTTGTTGCGGTCAACTCTGAATGAACAACATGCAGGGCATCATTGCCACATACAGACATTATTACAAGAAACAGTCCTAAAATCACAGGGATGTTGATAACAATTTGTTGTGTATGTTGGCAACAGTGAGTGTGGTAGGAACAATATTTCAGTTATTATACCATGTCATGTCAGTATGATCATTGTTGATGTGAGAGAAAAGCCTCAAGTTATGCAGGTCTCAGACGTTTACCACTTCAGTTAAATCCAAGGGCAACAGTATGGTGATGACAAACCATACCGTTTTAGAATATTAATCAGAAACATAATCAGGATTCAAACTATGATCATGGGTTTCTGGCATGCCCAATGGATGTAACACTACACAGCAAATTGTGGCACCTTAGACAACTGGCCCACACATGCCACAGTGTTGGTACAAATATCTTTGATACAATACAGAGGCCATATTACCCAAGTTTGACAGAAGAATATTATGAATAAAACGATGATAATGTGATATAAGCTTTGAAAAAGTCAATAATATTGTTATCAGCGATAGAAACTAACAGTTTTAGTCCACTAGTCTTAATAATGATAACACATAGCAAAACCTTTTAAAAATGGCAAATTTCTAATAGTCTTTATGATACCTTAAACATTGGGCAGTTTGGCAAGGACAATAGAACTAGTGCCAATTCTAATGCTGTAAAAGTTATGCTCATTCACTTCCTGACAGTGCCAAGATTCTTATTTTCCATAATATTCTAAAAACAAAATTCTTGTACTATCCATCATGTGTATTCCACTCACCCAACTCTCATGCCTTCTTCAATATCTGTGGGGGCCACCTGATCTCCAAGATCTACTACAAATTTGGCAAACTGTTTCACATTGATAATGTATTTAGGGTCGTCTGAGTCTGCATTGATGATCTTGGTACACCTCGCTACTTGTAGGGGCTGCTCACCTGAAATAATAATGTATCAGTAATCTGGTAATCGAGGGCCTCAGTCCTGTGTGGGTTACTGCACACACATCAACATGACAAAATGTGATAGCAAGTAAGTACAGATGAACCTCATTTTGTCGACTTGGATGTGTGCCATTACGGTTGTCTCGAAATCACATTTAGGTCCCTGAGAATTCCTGACATATTTATCATCATGTATACTCAGATCAGTCAAAACAGATGTGTCGAGTTCCTGGTTGTCTCAAACTAATTTGGGAGTCCAAATTATCCAAATTAAGCATAACATTTAGAAGTTTTAACAGACGGGTTATCTGGTGGTCTTCATGCACTGTATTAACATGACGCACAACCTAATACTTCAGAGTGTCTCCAAACAATATAGTCATGATAATGTGTTGTGCTGGTTTCAAATTTCCAGTTTCCTCATTCACACACGTCAACGCCTGGTTTACTAAACATGGAATTTTGTAGAATTTTCCTATTCAGAATATTCTATAAGTAATACGTTACCACTGTTATACCGAGGCTGTTGTCTCCCACAACTGCTGCTATAGCGAAATCTACCACAGAGATCTCAATTACCTCATGCAGCCTGTGCGTAGCCACCTAGCTGCCATGTGACACCCTTCACTCTTGTCTCTCGCGAGAGCAAGGTGCTCAGGGGACGGACGGGCGGGCAGCAGCCCAGTTGTAACGTATTACTTATAGAATATTCCGAATAGGAAAATTCTACAAATTACATTAAGTAATACGTTACCACTGTTATACCGAGGCTGACTACCACAGTAGGCGGTGGGGAGCACCTACAACCCGAATCCTGACTGCTAGCGTTCCTTCCGACCAGCGGAAGTAAACACCAAGGTGGAAGCACTCGATGCGCATGCACCTAGCTAGGCGTTACCCTATAGGAATACCAAAGCACTGTCAAGCGCATACCATAAGGCTCAATCGTCATTGCCAAAACGATTGGTGACTCCAAACGGCCCCACTGGATAGGTATTTCATCGCCGCAGCGGATGAGAACACTGTATCTGCGTGAGCTAAATCATAGATCAGGTTAAACAGTCGAAAGAGGGAAATTAATTTCATTCAGACCGTATATCCCAGAGCAAGCCTACTTAACGTATGTATTAGGCGCGTGACCTACTTCCAGTATTCGTAAGCATGTATCACAAGGATGGAATACACGACAGACAATTAAATGCATAATTGTCAAACACAAATAAGGACAAAACACACAAAAAGCCAGCCTCACCTGTGGTGTGAGTGCGCTTGGTTTGCAGGACCCCCACTCCTGTACCTACGGCGTGGGAACATTGGAGACAACCCAGATTGACAATCGTGCAAGGACTGACGACTGCAGAGTTTGGAATTGCGCTGGACACACCCCCTAGATGCCTGCTTGTGCCCCGATCAGCGGCCCAAGACGGTGCATCCCCTCCACGTCTTCATCAGAAACCTTTCTGAGGTAATGATTGGCAAAAACCGAGTCAGAACGCCAGTAACAACCTCGTAATATTCTGTGAACAGAGATATTCGAGTGTAGGGCAAATGTTGCCACTAGCGCCCTGATCTCGTGCGGGTTTGACCCCGTTACCGGTAACCCCCGAGACCGGTACGCCAGATTGATGACAGAACGAAGCCACAACGCAATCGAGTTGCGAGTTATGTCAACCGTGCGATTAGGGTTACACGATATGAACAGACGGTCACGTCCTTGTCTACGTTCATTCGAAGCCTTAAAATAATACTTAAGGGCCCTAACCGGACACAGCGCTCTGTCCCCAGTATCAGCAGGATGTAAGATTTCTTTGAGTGATCTTACAGTGAATTCTCTCTCAGTTTGCCCGATTCTCTGATTCTTGGCGACGAAGCCCATGAGCAGGCCCAGGCGGACCGCTCCTTCATCACCTCTATCGAATCGTACTTTGGCGACATCGAGTGCATGAATTTTGGATACACGTGCCGCCGTGGCAAAGGAGAGGAGAAATGCTGTTTTCCAAGTCACATGCCGGAACGAAGCACTATGCAAGGGTTCATACGGAGCTTCCGTAAGTGATTTCAACACTAGGGAAAGATCCCCGGCCGGTGCCCGAAGGCGGCCCTTCTTAAGATCTTGCTGTTTGAAACCCTTGATAATACCCCGTATCACCGGCTCTTTGGAGAGACTGGTACCCATAGCAACGTCCCGTACCGTAGCAACGGACGAGACATAGTTGGCAATGGAACCCCCGGAGAGTTTCCGGGTCTCTCGCAAGTGAGACATGAAACGAGCCATATCCTGCACTGATACCTTATCTGGCGAATGAATGTGATGTTTACAACACCACTTCGTGAAAATAACCCAACGTGCATTATACACCTTCTGGGTAGAATCACGATGCATACTAACGTATGCCCGAGACGCCCAACGAGAAAAACCTTTACTCCTTAGATGCTCGGTGACAACATCCACGCGTGCAAATTGAACTGCCCTGCGTTTGGATGAAGCTGACTGGTGTGAGGATGGATCAAGAGATCTGGTCTCACAGGCAGTGGTAGTGGCGACTGCGTGACCTTGGTCAGCAAGTAGGGGTACCACGATCTGTTCGGCCACATGGGCGCGATCAGTAACATTCGACAGCAAACTCCTCGGAGCCGGCTTAGAATGTGTGGTATCAACGCTGTCGGCGGGTAAGCATAAGCGTCCAAGCCCGTCCAGTCTAACGCGAGAGCATCGTGATCGATGGCCCTCGGGTCCGGGACTGGTGATACAAACAACGGGAGTTGATTGTTGAACCGTGTTGCGAACAGGTCGACCATCGGACGACCCAAACGTTCACACAGCCACTGAAACACTACTGGGTTCAGCATCCACTCTGTGGGGCTCGGGTCCTGAGGCCTCGATAGAGCGTCGGCCAGTACGTTCCGCACAACTGGGATGTGACGGGCGCGTATCTGGCACGGGACACTGTCCACCAGAGCGAAAAACTCCAACATGAGATCGAGTAGCGAGTGACTGTGGGTTCCCCCCAGTTTGTTCACATAGGACACTACCGTTGTGTTGTCGGTTGCCAGCATGAGCCGGGCGTCGATGAGACGATGCTTCCAGTGATTGACTGCGTTGATCACTGCCTTGAACTCGAGACAATTGATGTGAAGGCCTTGTTCATCTACGCACCACAGCCCCGAGCTCACCTCCCCCTCTAGATGGGCGCCCCAGCCAACTAGAGAGGCGTCTGTATACAGGTTCAATGTGGCCCGGTAGGGGCGCATAGAGACTCCTGATAAGACATTGTAAGGGACCGTCCACCACTCCAGATGTGGTCGGAGCCAATCCGGGAGGGAGACGGTCGCACTGTTCTCCTCCTGTGCTAACAACTGGATTAAAAACCGTTGCAGCGGGCGGAGTTGGAGACGACCCCGTTCGGTGCGGTCCTGGGCTGACACAAGTAACCCTAACAGCTGTTCCCAAAAGTGAACAGTCTGTTGCACCGCTAAGACTTTGGCAATCATCGCCTGAATCTTGTGCCACCGGTCTGGGGGGACAAAGAGGCGATGGATCACCGTGTTGAACCGACCTTCGATGAACTGAAGTTCTGAGAGGGGGTTAACTCGCTCTTGGGGAGATTGACAATCCACCCCAATTGCTCAAGAGCCGAAGTGCGAAATTGAGCTGCTGAGACAGCGTGTCCATCATTCGATTTGCTACTAGCGAGTCGTCCAGGTACGCAAAGTACCGGACACCCCTCCGGTGGAGGAAATCCACTATGGGGGTGGTCAACCGGGTGAACAGCCACGGAGCGGATGAAAGACCGAATGGGAGTACAACCCACTCGTAGTGCCTGCCTTTAAAGACAAACCTGAGATACTTGTGATGATCCGAGTGAATCGGAACATGCAGATAAGCATCCTTCAGGTCGATCGAAGCTAGCCAGTCGGCCGGCATGATCAGAGCTTTCAGGTCCGCCAAGCTCAACATTCTGAACTTGGGCGGCTTGTGCAGGTAGAACTCGTTGAACGATTTCAAGTTGTGAATCATTCTGAGTTCAGCAACGGTGAGCGGCAGACTCCCTTTGAGATCGAGCCGATAGCCGTACCGAATCGTGTTGACCACCCACGGGGCGTCGAAAACTTGTTCCCAATTCTCCCAGAAAGTCTGGAGTCTGGCTACCACTGGGGAAGGAGATGGGGGCCTGACAGGCTGCGGCAGGCGCAACTGTCCAGGGCCAAGTGACTCGGGTTCACCTACGGGCCAACCGAAGTTGGCGCTGTCGGCATACGAACCCCTCCAATAAGAGTCACCTGGAGGGGCCCTTGCCGTCCTTAGAAGACTTGGGCTTCCCCCAGTTCCCCTTCTTCCCGCGAAAGGGCTACTGATGGCCCTTACCGGAGCCCTCAGGGCGGGGCTTCCTACCGGAAGAAGAAGAACCCGACCCTTTAGGCCTGTCGGCCGCAGCATCCTGGGGCACGCTCCGCTTAGGAGCTGCACCCAGGCGCCTATGCAAGGACCCCACAAGATCCAGTGTGTGCCGAGAGGCCTCGGCAGACACAGCGGCCTGTTGTTCTTTCAGAACCCCAGGGATCTTGTTATTAAACAGGGTCCAAGCAGACCAAGGCTGCGAAAGGAGCACCTCCTGATTAGCAGCGTCCAACCCTGAGGCAACCAGATACGACTGGCGCCGGAGAAAATGGCACGTGCCGGAAATAAAGGCCAAAGCCCCGGCAACGTACTCCAGGGAAACATTTAAACCGAGCAGGCAGTTATAAATGCGCTGATCTCGGTCCGTGGGAGAACCTTCGACCAGACTGGCCGCTGCAGCCAGGTATGTGTCTCCATGAGACATTGCCAGCATGGAGTGTCGAGCGAGGGTGTCCAGCTGTTGCAAGGTACTTTGTGGTACCGTGGAAGCCGGTGGGGCACGGACACCCAAACGCTCAACATGGGCTTCCGCGGTAGGACCAGCCTCGGGAAAGGCAAGGTCATGCACCGGGAAGGACCCTTTTCTCCACGACGGTGGAGGTAACGGGGACCCCGACCGGACGAGCCGGCCACCACAGGGGTGTAGACAGACTGGACGTACAGTCGGTAACGCTCAAACTCTGCAGGCCCCAGACCTTCGCACAGGGTGCACCGGGTGTCCCCGCAAGGAACCCTGCACCGAGGGCAACGTGGGGATCCCGGGACGACAAGAATTTGCGGCACACCCCGCAACTCCGAGGAGTAGGGGTAGAGGGGGTTGAAACCGGGGACATTTCCATGTCAGACATTGTTTGATTCTATGAACAAAGAGCAAAACATGGTTACAACCCACGCACCACAATGATTCACAAACGAACATTTGCACAAGAAAATAAACGAGCAATGTGAACATATAACATACACATATAACATATAGAGAAATAAGTGATGTTAACCCCAAAACATACAAGAACAGGGGAAACGTGCATACGTGAACCCCGCAAGTCTAGAGAAAAAAGGGCGGGAAAAATTCTCCGTTTGGCGGGAAAATTATATCCAAGCGTAGCTACCGCAACGCCCCATAAAAGCACAGTTTATTAGAGAAAAAACTATAATAAATATCACCGAATATTCGAGGAACGCTTCAGCAGTAGGATACACGTCTTGCTAACGCAAGCGAAGGAGACAAGAGTGAAGGGTGTCACATGGCAGCTAGGTGGCTACGCACGTGCTGCATGAGGTAATTGAGATCTCTGTGGTAGATTTCGCTATAGCAGCAGTTGTGGGAGACAACAGCCTCGGTATAACAGTGGTAACGTATTACTTAATGTAATAATCATGAAATCTGTGATGAAATACTTTTGCAATCATAACAATCATGTCTGAAACAAACAGGGGTCCTGGGGTACTTGAGGTTTGCTCATATAGGAATCTAGAGACCCCCCAGCTTTTATAACAACTAACACTAGGGTTATGACAAGGACCTCTTGACATTCATGCTTAATTTCGAACATTGTAGTGTACATGTTGATGATGGAATAACTCTGTCTCGATGGACTGTTTGGATGACGGGTAACCAGATAGCAGACATAGTAGAACTTGGCTTGTGTACATCATGTGTTCTCTGTCTGACCTTATTCAAACTTGCAAACATTGTAGTTCATGCACCCCCATTCAGACGGAGTTGCAAAATGTGGATCAGGGGAGATAATCTGGCAAATTTACGACAAATGTACACATGTTCATGATCATGCATACATGAATCCTTCCAGATATTAACACATCTAATATATACCACTAATCATGGTAATAGTAGTAGTACTTGCCATTCTACTGACCACATGCTGATAATTAGGACACTTTGTCATATTAACATGATCATGATGATATGTTATTATCAGTGTCCAAAATTCACCATAGAAGTCATGGGGATCAATTAAAAAAGCTTTAGTTAATAGTTAAAGATTAAGGTGTCCCATGATTGAAGCACTCCTGGAGCAAATAGCCTGACATTCTTATTGCAATTAAATTCATGTATTGCGATACTTACAAGCTATAACAGGCGTTCTTTCATCTATTATTTGTTATGGACATAAATAAAAATAACTCACATTTTTGACAAGTTGTAGTGATCCGTCAATTTGTTGCTATGGTCATAACCCATGCAAAATTGACACATTAGATCATGTAATATATAGGAAACTGGTTGTGAATAATTTAACATTTTTCGATCACAGGAATCAGCTGCTCATTTCCAGATATGTGTTCCACTTGTCACTTATGTGAACTTTGACTGCTCACAGGAATCTTAAGCAGTATGAGATATAAAGTTGTATGAATGACTTACTTTGCAATGTCTGTTTATCTGCAGCAAGATCCCACAGGGCCGGTGGCGCCAGGCCTGTGTCGGACTCCTTGATACCTGAAGTGGTATCAAAGTGTGGCATGTACATGATGTTAGAAGTTACATCAACAGTGACGAGTTTGTTTACTGCATCAAGTAGTTTGCACTAAGAACCTGAATAGTTCTGTGATCAGAGATGAAGTTGCAGCCTTCCCTCTTGCACGAGGAAATGCAATTTTAACAGAATTTGGGAATAATTTACTATCATGATTGTCATGAATAGTACTCAACATTTGCTCAATCAATGTTTACATTGATGGCTAATCTGTTATGTGGCTTACAGAATAGCTTTCAGGATTTCAAAAATCTGACATGCCAAGGGTGGTAAAGGGGCCATTTATAACCTCAGGGCAGGTGTTGGGGCATTCCCCAAACGGAAAAAAAATCAAAATAATCACAGACACTATTTGTAAACCAGTATCCTTTAACAATCAAATCAACATGTTGTCCTGGTAGGCATTGCTCATACAAAATGTCAACAAATCAGCAGACTATTACTTTAAGTCCAACTTGATGAGAGAATTTCTATCTAATCTGTCTGTCTGAGTAGTTATTGAGCTATATTGAAACAATACCATGGAACTGGGATTTGGAACTTTGTATTTCTATGTCAGGTACACACAAATATGAAGAGATTCAAAGTCAAACTTGTTGTTGCCATGGAAACTGAAAAAAATATAAAATTTAAAACTGGTAAAATCCTAGATATTTTTTATATATTTGTATACTTATCCTGCATTAGTCCTTAATGCATACGACTGCTTGTTTCTTGACAGAGAAAAGAGCTGTGTGAGGGTCTTTGCTTGAAGAAGTTTCTCCAACTAGCTGAGAGGCATGCCCATCAAGCTGCTCCCACGTGACCAAGGGAAGTGACGCCACGGATCCTCACATTACTCTGTAGTCCGAAACATCAGAAGGCATCGTGGGGAGGTAGATCTGCGATGGGTGGGTCCCTTTAGACACAGTAATGCAGGATAAGTATACAAATATAAAAAATATCTAGGATTTTACTAGATTTTTTACTTATCCTGCATTACTCCTTAATGCATCTTCATCGGACGGAACCGGAGGTGGGCATACCTTCAGATGTGGACTTTCATCTGTTATTTCCAGACTCCATTCCCTAGCCAATCCTTGGCTGTGTGGTCGGCATCGGGTGACCACTCCATGTATAGGAAACTCTGTTTCCCTCAGCCCGTCTTCGGCTGTGGTCGGCCTGGATGACCATTACATGGAAGGGAAGAGTCAGGTATGCGTTGTGTCCTGGTACTGCGCAGCCTGACAATAACGCTCGGTAAGGTCAAACTGGAGCACCGAGCCGTATGTAAATGAGGCAAGAACCTTCTAGTCCAGGGCTCATGCCAGGGGAGGACGAATGGCCAGCTCTGGACTGGGAGTTGTGGTCAATGATGTGTAGTAGTGGTGACCTGCTGTGCCACTACTAACGGACCAAAGCTGTGCGTGCCTTGCACATCCTCCAATGAGACGTCTCGCAGGTAGTGACTGGCGAAGACCATGTGGGACCGCCAGAAACATCCTTCCATGATGGCGCGTAGAGAGCAGTTGCTGTGTAGCGCCCGCCCGGATCTCATGCGGGTTGTTGGAGCGTGGGGGGTCAAATTCCGCTGCCTCGTAGGCCCAGAGGATGAAGAGGCGTCGTTGTTGTCTACGGCGTTCCTTGGATCGTCGGATGTAGCAACGAAGCGCTCTAACTGGACATAGAGGAGTTCTAGTTCATCTTCCGCGCCCACAATCGATGAAAGAGGGGGGATGAGGAACGATCTATCGGGCTGGCCAGGGAGCTGACTCTTTGCAATAACGTTCAAGCCCCAAGCTGGTGTACAAGAATTCGCCTTTTGGTCTTCCAGCCTGAATGAGCGGAGCAGAGCCTGTAGTTCCGGGATTTACGTGATGTGCCGATCTTCCGGAACTGCCAGGACGGAGTTGAGCGCCACAAGGTAGGTCATGATGGTACTGACCTTGAGCTTACACTTGTGACGCATGTGAGGCGATGCAGATGTGGGGGTCTAAGTGCTTGCCCCTGCAAAAGCTCTCGAAGGATTGCCACTTGTCATCATAGAGAATCCTGGTGGTTGGGCTATGTGCCATTGTGATGGTCCAGGCCGCTCTGGCCAAGTAGCCTTTGGCATTCAGTGCTCTCTGTAAATGGACAAGACGTGAAGACATAACCTGTCTGGTCCTGGATGTGGCTGTCTGCTGTGAGGGTGGATCAGCAGATTTGGCCAATCTCGGAGTGGCAGTGGGTTGGCGTCGGACAGCTCTCTGAGGTCGACGAACCAAGCCCTTGCTGGCCACCAGGGCGTGACCAAGGTCAGATTGAGGTTCCGTGTCGATCTGATCTTCTGGACGACTTTGGGAAGGAGTACAGGTGGCGGAAAAGCGTACGTTTTTAGTCCCTCCCAGGGGACACTGAAAGTGTCGACTGCCCAAGCCAATGGATCCGGCACCGGAGATATGTAGGTCGTGCATCTGGTAGCTCTGGCTGGTGTCAAATAGGTCTATGTTGGATAGACTGTGGTCCTACAAACAAGATCGAAGGCATCTGGGTGAAGTTTCCACTCTGTGGGAGCCACTTTGCCTGGCTGAGAGAGGGCATCCGCTAGGATGTTTCGGCAGCCCGGGATGTGGTGGACCTGGAACTGAATCCCCAGATGATCCACCAGGTTAAACAATCGGAAAGTCTGTTGAAGGAGCGAAGTCAAGCGTGTCGTTCCTTGGTTCCGAAGGCACCATACGACAGTGATGTTGTCCGTCGAGATGGAGAGCCGGGCGTGTCTGAGGGCCTGCTTCCAGTGAGCGATGGCCAAGATAAGCGCTTCCAGTTCAAGGTTGTTGATGTGTCATAGGCGCTGATCGGCGGACCACAGCCCCAAAGCAACCTGTCCCTCCAGGTGTGTGACCCATCACTGCAGGGGCACGTCTACGAATAGGCGCAAGGAGGTCGTAAGTCCTGTCAAGGAGACGCCGCCCAAGACATTCGATTCCACCGTCCACCACCGGGGATGCTGCTTGAGATGATCCGGGAGGACGATGGAACATCTGAACTGGGCGCAGTTGGAGCCTTCCTCTGTAGGTCTCTGGGTACAGAGAAGAGATCGAGGTCCGTCTGGAAGAGGCCCCCGATGAACTGAAGGCGATTTGAGGGTGTCAACTCTGACTTCCTGAGATTGATCTTCCAACCCAATAGGTACAGGAGCCAGGAGTCCCTGCAGCGAAGTAGAGTGACGGTGTCCCAATGATTCAGGAGACAGTCGTCTATGTATGCCTCAAACTGAATGTCCCGGAGATGGTGGTAAGCTGTGTGAGTAGCCACGGTGCCGAAGAAAATCCAAATGGGGGAACCGCCCATTGGTAATGGACCCGGTTGTCGGGATGTATAGGGACATGTTCATAGGCGTCCTCAATATCTAGGCTGATGAATACATTCTGTTCCTGGGTCCGGGAGCACAGCAGCCTGAGGTGGTCATCCTGAATAAGGTGGACGCACCAGGTAGCGTTTGTTGAGTAGGGGGGTAGGTGGCTATGGGCAACGACGTGAGCAGCAGGTCGTCTATAAGCCCCAGCTTGTACCCAAGTAGCGGCGGGTCGTCTATAAGCGCCAGCTTGTTTCCATGTCGTATGATGTTGGTGACATATGGGTCCCCCCGGATCACACAATTCTGCCAGCAACGACCCAGTCTCCCACATACTGGAGTGTTGACAACTTAGACGGCTGGGGGTGGAAGTCCCAGTCGTGCTTGTCTGGCTATTCACTGGAAGTCCCTGCAGTCGGCGTTACCTTTGAGGTGGTGCCGCGACACTGGGGCTGGAGGGTGTTGCGTCGCGGCTGGTATGAGCCAGACTGGGACGCCTCAGCGAAGGCTGGCTAGCCAGGGTCTTGAGAATTGTCTCGTCTCGGGCGAAGGCTGAGACTCGGGATAAAGTCATTGATGTACAGCGACAGGCGTCTGGTCGAGTGGTTGCAGTGTGGCGCATAAGCGATCATGCAAGCCAGTCTGTACAAATACACTGGACGGATCCCATAAGGTCGATTGACCTGATTACGGTCGATGATGTTTACAGTCGTAGTTTTTGACATGTGACATGTATGTCGTCCTGCGCAGTAAACTGTAACCCATATGCTGAGTGGAATAGTTCAAGCTCCACACACGGCCAATCCCCTGTGAACCCTGTGGTTCACAGACCAGTGGTGTGTCCGAGTTCTGTGTAGTACTGTGACGTTGCCGGTGTAGAGGCAAGTTGATCCCCATGATAAGAGTGACGCCTGGTCCGGTGTTGGGAACAATGACTCAGTTGGGTACCCAGAAGCATATGACGATTCTGTTGAATACCGAATCGGTCATGGGGTTGTGATCGTCAACTGTGGTGTAGATAATATCTACCAGACGCCGTTGAGAGTTTGTTCGCTTTCTCCGAGGATAGGTTCAACCAACGTTGATAGACGAGGAGAATTGGCGGGAGATTTCCACAGAACATTGGGAAGTGTTGGAGCGCCGTTGTATGGATGCCAATCAAGTGTCCAGCGACCGCTCTGGTCTCCGTAGGTAGTTGACAATCTCATAGGCCCGTAGAATCATCTGTCTGCGCGGTTGTCCCGGGTGTGCGTCTGTAGGATAGGTGCAACCAGAGATGCCAGGATAGAAGCATTTATGGACGCTGTAGACGGTGCTTTTGTAAAGGCATCTGTATAGGCGTCCGACAAGGCGCTGGCGTCTGTATAGGCGTATGACGAGGCGTTGGCGTCTGTATCTGAGCTGTTAAGGATAGGCGCTATCTGTATAGGCGCTAGTAGAGGCGTCTGCAGAGGCGCTATGGGGGGGGGCGCTTGTAGAGGCGTCTGTAAAGGCGCTGGCGTCGACGGCTGTCTGGCCTGTAACTACTCAATGTACTGGAGGAGGGAGGCATCTATCATGGCTGTCAGTGCCGTAGGCAGGGGCGCCTGTGGGAGACCGAGCGTCTGTGCCGTAGGCGGGGGCGCCTATGGGAGACTGAGCATCTGTCCGGAAGATAGTATAGGCGCCGTCTGGTACCTGAGCGCCACACCGGGCGACACGGTGGTCACCTCCGTAAAGATAGTTGCTGTCGTGGTTGTCAAAGTGCTCTGGGTAGAGACTGCTTCCATGGGGTCCGACATCAAGGTAGCAGTTGAGGTCGAGTGGTGGTCATCCGAGAGAGCCGATCTGGAAGGCGAAACCTCAGAGTAGTCTGACATCGTGTGCCGGTGTTTCCTGGTCTGCTGTGTTCTGCGTTTTTTACACACACGGAGGTACTGTCTGAAAGCTGTGGGTGAAAGCAGTAAACAGTCTTTACATCGGTGACCCTGGAGGCATTGAGATGTACAATTAAGGCACAGGATGTGGGGATCCCACGCCGACATATTACGCCGGCACTTTGAGCAGGAGGGCATATCTGCAACGAAGCAGTGTAAAATCACAATGTGTCCCCGCCCGATTATGTAGGCTATAATTTGTTTATCCCACTGTGTGGGTTTATGAAACAAATATTACGACAAACGTAAGACAACATACAACAAAACAAACAATACTTGCGAGGATATGCCAATCATGGGGTACCAAGCAAAAGAATATAGAACGCAAACCAGTTCACAAACTGCTGGCTACACAAAATATTCAAGATGGCTACTTGGAGCAACAAGACACCTGGCCTATGTTTTCTTTTGAGAAAACACCAGTAAGTGTCTAATAACGTTATGCACATGTTTATCAAACATAGAATGTACAAAATACAAACCATAGGCACAACACAAAGACAAAACAACATTAACTCAGATAGCAAACACGTGAGGGTTTGAATCAGTTTTATGTTACAGCCAAAAAACCAGGTCTTCTCTCATCAAGTGACAAAAGTAATGTGAGGATCCGTGACGTCACTTCCCTTGATCACGTGGGAGCTGCGTGATGAGCTGGCCTCTCAGCTAGTTGGAGCAACTTCTTCAAGCACACAGCTCTTTTCTCTGTCAAGAAACAAGCAGTATTCTGCATTAAGGAGTAATGCAGGATAAGTAAAAAATATCCCTAAATATTATATGCTGGGGGGATAAAAAGGGTGGTGGTGGTGGTGGCGGTGGTGGTGGTGGGACCCCCAGAATCCCACCTCTGGATTTGCCACTACATGCACTTCTTATTTCCCATGTCGGGTGAATTTGGTGGCAATCTGTAAACATGACAGTTAACATGACAGGTGATAAGCACAGACCTGTACAGCAGTCTTCTGAAAAATTTAATGGCACCTACCTGCCAGTTCATTAACTTTCTTGAGAACATTTTGAATGTCTTCTTCTACTCCTTTGATAGCTTTGCTGTATTGACCAACACCCTACAAGCAAAGAAACAACAAAACACATGGTATCTATGATCATGATCGTGTACAATATGCTGAACAGAAGCAAAGCTGACATATGACAATTCTGTATTTTAAATGTTTAACACCTTTTTGGGTGATGCACACTTTTTAAATGTTAGCAGTTTAACAATGTTTGATAGATAACCTTACCAACTATTGAGAAACTACAAAAACGCTTTGATTAGAAATGACAGGAATACAATTCAAAACATGGGCATGTTATAAAACCTTTTGTTCTGGCACTTCACCATGGCCAAACTAGAATTTTAGAATGTGTTCATTGAAAAATCTGTAATATAAGACAAGCAAATGTGAACACTGGTCAATATTACACAGATACTTACATAGGTCTTCAACAGGGCAATGTCCCCTTCATCAAGAGCTTCAAGAAAAGAAAGTCAATGCAATACTTTTATTGTAAAACATGGATATCATTCTATATCTTTGAACATGTTATGCACAATTTAAAGGGGCGCTGATCTAAAGCAATTCCCCGGGACTGGTTGTTGCCTTTGTTATTGTTTTTTTCCTACGAGTACCCGGATGATACGCAACGCAACTGAGCGTGACAAGAGACTGGACTACCGTCTGCAAGGACAGCTAAATAAACCTGGAGGCAATATTTGTTTTACGCATTTTGGATCCCTGATTGGTTAACCGTGATCTATAAAGATTTAAAAAAGGGTGCATTTATTGTCTTCAGCCTAAACAGACAAAAAGAACGGCGGAGCTCATCGGATGTCGTCATTTGGAAATACCCCAGACGGTTATAGTTTAATCATAAAAAAAGCATCCATGCAGTGAAAGCATTTTCGGATTTCGGATTGCTTGGATAATACGATTACTACTCCCTTGTTGTCATCCACGTTTTCTGGTATAACCCTACACTTGTGTAGGGTTATACCATTCACTTGATGCTCAGTTAATGAATTTATTACAGGTATAATTAGTGGTAGCACCACTCCGAATACCTGAGGAAGCTTTCCATTTGGCATTTATTGTGTCTTGGGTAATTATTCAATCAAAATCCAGGTTTGAAGTGAGGTGAAATGTGTGTTATGTAATATACATGTGGCAGCCCAGCAAGATATGAATATCAGTAGATTTACTTTTTTTGTAAATCAGCGGAACGTTTGTAGTCATCAAAGGATTAACAGAAAAAGAAAATACATCGATTGATTAATCACTGTTATCTTGCACAGTGGATATGTCAAAAGTGAGTGTTTACATGTCTAGGTTTACTAAAACAAAGGGCATACACTCATATCATGGCGTGAAGTGCTGATATAAAAACAACATACTTTGTTCAAAGGGTTAACTGATAATACGTTGATTAATTGCTCATTGTTATCTAACTGAATGGATTTTTTTAGGAACAGTGGACGTTATGAAAATAGTTGTCATGTGGGCTTTCTCAGCCGACCTTTGAGTCTTGACACTGATGTGAAACACCTGAAACAATCTAAGTCATCAGTTGAGAAACAAAAAATTATACCCATAAATTTGGTAGGTTGTAATTATGATATTTGCCTTTTGTTTTCCTTCATTTGCTGTATTATTGGACAGATTCATTCTTGTTCCTCTTCGTCTTGGTTGGGAAATTCTTCGATGCGCGATAGACGTTGTTTTCACAAGTCTTTTTTTTGTAAGCGTGTATATATTACAGACAATTTGTAAAATGCGACTCTCTCAGGCAATTTATAAAAATGTGTAAATATTTCAGTCATTTTGACTGAAAAATCTGTCCATTTCTATAACAGATTGACTAAAATTGATTAAGATGATCAAAAGGGCCTAAAAACATCACAATAGATTATTATGTAGGTTGGATTATAAGCCAAACAATATAGAAATGTACTTTTCATCGTAACATTTAGTCTCTTGGTGATGATATTAAACAAAAATCTTTGGAATTCATTTTATAATAATACAGATGGACATATTTTTCAGTCAATTTGTAAAATAACTGAATATTCAGGCGTTTAATAAATTTCCTAAGTGAAAATTTTCACATTTTGACTGTAAAACATGAACACGATAAAATAAGCAATACTCAGGAGAAATATTTGCTTTGTGTTGCAAGTCAAAATAGTGTAAACGAAAATCGCACAATTACCAAGCAAGTGACTTATCAAAACTTCGCCACCAATACCGATGCTACCCACAAAGATACCTACATTTCCTTATTATTTCCAAAACTGTATTTCATTTTATTGCTCAATGTGACCATATGCCGTTATACTATCAACAAAAGTGACAATTGCGCTTACCAATTGCGCAGCACAGGTCGAATACTAGTCTAGATTTCTACTGTATCATCCGGGTACTCACGGATGAACAATAACAAAGGCAACAACCATTCCCGGGGAATTGCTTTTAGATCAGTGCCCCTTTAATGATACATTGCTCTTTTGATAACTATGTACAACAATCATTCAACATGGCAAAGGCAGGTGTGATTATTGCTCTGGATCACAGAAGTAGGCATATCCGAGATGTCGTATTTGTGAATGAACATAATAAAGGGCAGTTATCATTATTATCATATTAAGAGCAGAGACAGAGACGTTTTTTATCCTCACTGTGTCATTTGAGGAGAAATTCGGGTGATTAAAATCTGAGCTCGAATAGAATAAAATGTGACGTTTACAGATAATCACCATGATCAGGTCGCTCAGTTTCATTAAATTTTTATGCTTATTGAACCTCGGTTGTAAGATGAGTGTCTAGTCTGAGAGTTCACGACTAGTTTATTCTTTTTTACGGTACATTTTAGAAAATGACAATGCAAATTTGAAGTGGTAATTTCAATCATTTCTCCAGTATTTACCCTGAATGGGCTTATCTTCTTCTTTATCATCCTTCACTTTCCTCTGGTCAGATCCTAAGTGATCAGGCATGATGAAATAAAATTATAAACAACAAACACCGTCGAAAAAGACCTGCCAAATAAGTGTTTGGGGATAAAACTTGTCTGTAATACCGGAAGTAACGTTTTCACGCTATGTCTCGCGAGATTCGGTCCATTCACTTCCGGTGATGTCATCACCTTGGAAAATATGACAACAAAGTTGGCCTAGCGATCGAACTAGAAAATAGAAATGTTACTGTACGTAGAAGATAAAGCTTTCCCCGTGAGTAAATCGTATTACGTTTACCGTCAGGTGATGTTATATAGCAGGGAACTTTAGGGTTAGAAATTAACAATAGCATGCTAGCCCCGGGAATTCCGCAAATTCATCCGGGCTAGTACAAATTTCCCATTTCCCCATTGTTTTAACATTACGAGGGCAATTATACCGGGCATCTTCTTACATTTTGATAAGGGATGTGCATGATCTCATTCCATAATAATGGTTTCTGTGTTTTTCAGACGCCATTGTAACATTTTAGATAAAATAATGGGGTGTGTAATTTGTATTAGTTTAATTACCAAACTAACTACACGTTCGCTGAAATGTTGCACCAAATGGTGACACTGATGAGGTTGTCGCACGACATTATGGAATATCCACACAAAGGAACAATATCCCAAACGTCTGCAGCTGTACAAAGAAACGTATTCAATGTAACATGTCTCTGTAACAATCAAATATTTTAAAATATATATATCGTTTCGGGGATATTATAACCCGTGTTCGTTTCTCAACTGATGGATTAGATTGTTTCAGGTGTTTCACATCAGTGTCAAGTCTCAAAGGTTGGCTGAGAAACCCCACGTGATAACTATTTTCATAACGTCCACTGTTCCTAAAAAAATCCATTCAGATAACAATGAGCAATTAATAAACGTATTATCGGTTAACCCTTTGAACAAAGTATGTTGTTTTTACATCGGCACTTCACGCCATGATATGAGTGTATGCCCTTTGTTTTAGTGAACCTAGACATGTAAATACTCACTTTTGACATATCCACCGTGCAAGATAACAGTAATTAATCAATCGATGTATTTTCTGTTAATCCTTTGATGACTACGAACGTTCCGCTGATTTACCAAAAAAGTAAATCTACTGATATTCATCTCTTGCTGGGCTGCCACATGTATATTACATAACACACATTTCACCTCACTTCAAACCTGGATTTTGATTGAATAATTACCCCAGACACAATAAATGCCAAATGGGAAGCTTCCTCAGGTATTCAGAGTGGTGCTACCACTAATTATACCTGTAATAAATTCATTAACTGAGCATGAAGTGAATGATGACAAATACACAAGTGTAGGGTTATACCAGAAAACGTGGATGACGACAAGGGAGTAGTATAAAAAATGTTATATTTGGGATAACACTTTCTTAGTAATGTACAGATTCTCGTACTTTTTTTGGTTGAGTCCCGTCCGGGATTCGAACTCACACTCAATTCGAATCCCGGACGGGACTCAACCCAAAAAAGTGCGAGAATCTGTACTTTACTAAGAAAGTGTTATCCCAAATATAACATTTGTTACATTTGACCACTTTCTAAATGGCATTGTGTATTCAAGGGAGTTGTAATCGTATTATCGATGCAATCCGAAATCCGAAAATGCTTTCACTGCTTTGATACTTTTTTAAAACTATAACAATCAGGGGTATTTCCAAATGACGACAACCGATGAGCTCCGCCGTTCTTTTTGTCTGTTTGTTTAGGCTGAAGAAATTAATTAACATGCGCCCTTTGTCGAAATCTTTATAGATCACTGTTAACCAATCAGTGTTCAAAAATGGGTAAAACAAATATTGCCTCCAAGTTTCTTTAGCTGTCCTTGCAGACGGTAGCCCAGTCTCTTGTCACACTCAGTTGCGTTGCGTATCATCCGGGTACTCGTAGGAAAAAAACAATAACAAAGGCAACAACCAGTCCCGAGGAATTGCTTTAGATCAGTGCCCCTTTAAACATGTTAAAGTTTCATGAGGACAAGTAGAAATTTGCCATTTGTAAGAGTTCTGTTAGATTCTATATGTTATCAATATAAGGACTAGTGGTCCAAAAATGTTAGTTTCTACCACTGTTATGCATTGTTTTGATATCCAAATTCAGTGTTTAATCCATTAAACCATGCAGTGCATTTATACTGCTTATTTTTAGCTTTATTGTCCTACTTTTCAAATAGTGATGCTGTCGCTTCAGGCTTTGTTAGTACCATCAAACAAACATGGCGGATAGGTGTCAAGTATAATGCATGTATACACCCTGTTACATTTGTCACCCTGTGAGGGTTACTTAAAATAGCGTCACAGAGTATGTGACGTGTATCTGTGACGTGTAGGTTTAAGGTTTATCAATGTTAGGCCTATAAAAGATTTGCAGTGCAGAATTGAAAGATCATTCTAAGCAAGACAGATATATTGCACTAACTGGCGCACATTTACCTGTTTTATCGTGCCTCTTCGATTATTAGGCATAAGGGTTGCCCCTTTGTGTAGAACCTGTGAAGATCCGGGGTAGAATAGGTCTTCAGCAACCCATGCTTGACGTAAAAGACGACTGTGCTTGTCGTAAGAGGTGACTTACGGGATCGGATGGTCAGGCTCGCTGACTTGGTTGATGCAGGTCATCAGTCCCAATTGCGTGGATTGATGCTCATGATATCAATCACTGGATTATCTGGTCCAGACTTGATTATTTACAGACCGCTTTCATATGGCTGGAATATTGCTGAGTGCTGCATAAAACAACAAACCAAACCAATTGCAACTGCTTTGTGTAGCCAAGAGCCATGTGTGGGCTCCAACAATCAAAACATGACCCTACCTCAAGCCTGAGAACATTACCTTTTTAAATCAACCTGGATTCCAGTGGCAAATTTAGGGTACCGGTACTGAAATTTCATTTTGAAATATTTATTTGGGAGCTGTTAAATGATCCTGTGCAGTGTGTAACTCGGTTGAGATGAACTGTGCAGTGTGCAACTTGGTTGTGATGAACTGTGCAGTGTGTAACTCGGTTGTGATGAACTGTGCAGTGTGTAACTTGGTTGTGATGAACTGTGCAGTGTGTAACTCGGTTGTGATGAACTGTGCAGTGTGTAACTCGGTTGTGATGAACTGTGCAGTGTGCAACTTGGTTGTGATGAACTGTGCAGTGTGCAACTTGGTTGTGTTGAACTGTGCAGTGTGTAACTTGGTTGTGATGAACTGTGCAGTGTGCAACTTTGTTGTGATGAACTGTGCAGTGTGTAACTTGGTTGTGATGAACTGTGCAGCGTGTAACTCGGTTGTGATGAACTGTGCAGTGTTTAACTCGGTTGTGATGAACTGTGCAGCGTGCAACTTGGTTGTGATGAACTGTGCAGTGTTTAACTCGGTTGTGATGAACTGTGCAGTGTGTAACTCGGTTGAGATGAACTGTGCAGTGTGTAACTCGGTTGAGATGAACTGTGCAGTGTTTAACTCGGTTGAGATGAACTGTGCAGTGTGTAACTTGGTTGTGATGAACTGTGCAGTGTGTAACTCGGTTGTGATGAACTGTGCAGTGTGTAACTCGGTTGTGATGAACTGTGCAGTGTGCAACTTGGTTGTGATGAACTGTGCAGTGTGTAACTCGGTTGTGATGAACTGTGCAGTGTGTAACTTGGTTGTGATGAACTGTGCAGTGTGTAACTCGGTTGTGATGAACTGTGCAGTGTGTATCTCGGTTGTGATGAACTGTGCAGTGTGCAACTTGGTTGTGATGAACTGTGCAGTGTGCAACTTGGTTGTGTTGAACTGTGCAGTGTGTAACTTGGTTGTGATGAACTGTGCAGTGTGCAACTTTGTTGTGATGAACTGTGCAGTGTGTATCTCGGTTGTGATGAACTGTGCAGTGTGTAACTTGGTTGTGATGAACTGTGCAGTGTGTAACTCGGTTGAGATGAACTGTGCAGTGTTTAACTCGGTTGTGATGAACTGTGCAGCGTGCAACTTGGTTGTGATGAACTGTGCAGTGTTTAACTCGGTTGTGATGAACTGTGCAGTGTGTAACTCGGTTGAGATGAACTGTGCAGTGTGTAACTCGGTTGTGATGAACTGTGCAGCGTGCAACTTGGTTGTGATGAACTGTGCAGTGTGCAACTTGGTTGTGATGAACTGTGCAGCGTGCAACTTGGTTGTGATGAACTGTGCAGTGTGTAACTCAGCCGTGGTGAACGGCATGTATAAATCAGCTGTGAAGAACTTTGTTATGTGTGTTGTTTCAGCACAAGACATTTGTGGTGGTGGTGAAGGGGGAGGAAAAGGTGGCTCGAGTCCGGGCGCAGCTGTTGCACATCCTGTACAACATTGGGAAGGAGACGCATCAGTTCCGCCTCAGACACAAGGGTCAGTTTCTCCGGGATGCCCACACGCTTGACCAGTATGACATAGTGGACAACTCCATCATCAAGATGATTCCCATGTCCAAGAAACCAGAGGTGATTATCCGATGTTGGCCTATTGCCTCTTAACTGTAACATTTGCCCACATTTTAAAGATTTGTTGTGTTTTGAGTGTTATTAAATGATAATTGAGCTGTAATATATTTGCAGGCCTCATTTGACACCATCTCGATCACCAGCAGCACAGTCAACCTGGACTTTAGCCCAGGGCAACCGCCTAATGTGAAGAAGGCCTTGTACTCAGAAATCAAACATTTGGACTGGAGAGAGAGAATTCTGAACGACTTCAAGGTAAGACAGAGTTTTGCAGTTCGGGCACATCTGAATAACACATGCATGATACTTCCAACTAATGAGTTTATGTTTCACAAGGGGTGTAAGGGCTAGATATTGCCTGCTGTAACATATTTTGTGACTAGATATTGCTTGTTGATTGTCCTGACAGATACTGTGACTAGATATTGCTTGTTGATTGTCCTGACAGATACTGTGACTAGATCTTGCTTGTTGATTGTCCTGACAAATACTGTGACTAGATATTGCTTGTTGATTGTCCTGACAGATACTGTGACTAGATATTGCTTGTTGATTGTCCTGACAGATATTGTGACTAGATCTTGCTTGTTGATTGTCCTGACAGATACTGTGACTAGATATTGCTTGTTGATTGTCCTGACAGATACTGTAAATAAATGTTGCTTGCTGAAATCATGGTAACAGGTACTGTGACAAGATGCTGCTTGGTGATTGCTTTAAGATGAGATCTTGCTAAGATGTTGCTTGTATTCCAGACTCTGTTGTTCCTCCACCTTTTGGCAATGGTGCTCTCCGTCTTCACTGTGCACTGGTATGCTGTGTTCTGGGTGGGAGCCCTGCTGGTCTTGGCGGCTTGGTATTCTCCATCATACACTAGGATCGGGGGCTTTGTTGGCAACTACACATACTAGTAAGACAAACTCTCTGCTCTCTGTTTATCATGAATTGTTGCTCCTGGTGCAAAATAAGTCTCAACATTCCCATGCTGTAGGAGGGAATGGAGGTTTGTGTCGTACATGATTACTGAAATCATATATACAAATCATACATATATGACCTTGATTAAGCAACCTTGAACTGTGATCCTACTGTCAAAGTCCTGTTAATCCGACTTAATTACACATAGTTTTGATGATAAAGTTAAGCAGTATCGAAAATCGAACTTTGATCTGATTTTAATGAAATTGAAGTAATCTAAACATGTGATTAATCCTGTTTTGTTTATTTTAAGGATTACTTGTTTTTTGTGAAGCAAGTTTGTTGTAATATACTCGCCAACTCATCTCGCATCAAAACACAGGGCTGTGTACTCGTGGGCAGATGACCACGGAGTACACTGATCACTGTGTCGGATTAACGAGACTGTGTAATGAGTAATTCATTGCAAATTAGGTGTGTCGGAGCTGGAGTGTGAAACTCTTGGGTTAACAGGTCTAAACAGCACTGATTTATTTATTTCCCACCATAAGTGTAGGAAAAAGCCGATTGTTAGATCAATGAGTGTCTGACAGTAACAAGACTTGACTGTACTTAGACGGCTGGGGTTCACTGCTTGGCAGGGCCTGTCCTCATTTCGCCTACACCTCATTTCGCCTACACCTCATTTCGCCTACACCCTTATCAAAACAAATTTACAGCTGACTGCACATAAGTCAAGTGCTGTGTTACCTCTAAAATAATGAACTGACCCAAAAGAAGGTTAAACAGACAAGACAATCTTGAAGCTTCATACATTGTTTAATAGCTGATATTTACATTATGCAGTAATAATAATAATGACTCATGATTACTGTAGCTTTAGTACATATCCAACGGCATCAAGAAATTGCATTACAGTTTTTCTTCTACTAAGAAGCTGTGTCTTTAGTCTTTCAATTCTTTCGTCCCTTTGTCTGTCAACACGAGCTCGGGGTCTGCATGATCCTCCAAGATCAATTTGTTTCCTGGAGCGTCTGTCTGCCTTTTCAATCTTCTTGATCTCCTTCAAGAACTGATAGATGTTAGGGTGAGATCGGGGCATTCTCTTTTTCAGTCCACAGTGGAACCCTTCCAGATGGTTGTTGGTTCGGGGACCGGTGTTGTCGTGCTGGTTCCAAATATGGCAGGGGAATCTAGCGTCGTCATCTACCCATGTGCTGGTGACATAGTCGTTAAAATCAACAATCTGTTGATCATCAGGTCCTTAGATAAATAATAAATTTACTAAACAAGATTTACTTGCACATTCAAAACAACTAAGGATTAACAGAATGACCAAGTCAAACAAGAGTTGTGAGAAGTTGTCATAGGTTGTAAAAACTTCACTTTGAACATCTATGCTGCTTGGATTAGATGAGAGCTTGGATTAGTTAACAGCCTGAGATGGACAATGCCCATTCATATAATAGGGGTGAGGCAATTAAGCATTTGAATTATTGTAGGCGAAATGAGGTGTAGGCGAAATGAGGTGTAGGCGAAATGAGGTGTAGGCGAAATGAGGGCAAGCCCTTGGCACAACTAGCCTCATGCTAAGTAACCTTGCAATAGCTGAGATAATTTTACAGTGTTCAATGCCAGACTTTACATACTCACTAGATAGTGTTCAAGCCAATTTGATTGAATTGCGTATATGTGTGTTTATCTGTCAGGTTAACGTGAAAGGATTATACAGTACTCTATATTATATTCTATTATATAAGCTTGACTTCTATCTCCAATACATATCTGTTTCCAGCAGGAACATCTTCTGCTGCAGTGCTGGAATCGTCTTCCTGACTTTTACAGCCATAGCACTCTACTTGGCTGCCGCGCAGTGGATAACTGTCATTGTAGGTATACTTCACATGACTACACGTGACTTCACATTCAAGATCTGCTAGTCTCACTCATTCTACTTTTTTAATAAAAAGCTAAAATTATGATGTCATTCCATTTTTTACTTATCCTGCATTACTCCTTAATGCATTCACTGCTAACCTTGCGACAAAAAAACTGGGACAGCGTACCGGCGATTGTCCTGGGTGAAGATAAATAAACTGAATCCCTCTTTTATACCACGCCATCGCTGTCCTGTGACCTCACGTGACCTTAGGTCACCTCTTCACATCACTGCCTGTCGCGCTACAGCACGGACGTGTACCAGCGCAGCTCTCGTTTGGGATTTATTTAGACCTTCAGTTTTCTTCTACTATTCTAAAATACATCTGCGACGGGTGATGTATTCCTTTCATATTTCTTTTAACATGTTGTGAAGCTGTATGTGATTTATTTAGGCGTAAAAAGGCTTCGTCTTTTTTTACCACCACATGCTATCTGTTCCCGGACATTTTGAATTGTGTTACAATTGTTTGCCTGTCAAGTAGTCAATTTGTTTACAATACTCAGCTATGTATGTATAGCATATTTTATGTGTGTTTTAATACTACTATCTTTGGCGGTTCATTGAGTTGCGTATATACAAATCATTGAATACACTTCCAACTCGTTTCAGAATTTGCCGATAGATTACTTATTGTCTGCAGCAGTTTTTTCCAAAGTATCTATATTGCATAACTTATGCTTGCTTACTAATTGTCGTGGAAAAAAAACTATTAAAGACCCCCATTCATGTTTTTTGGCATGTATGCAAATTTGTGCACCAAATTCTAAATGTGGTTTTTTTTTTAAATCTATCTCCAACGAGTTTCACGAGGTATAGGCAGGTCACTCACAAATATATTTTGCAGCAATCCCATTGTGAGACTAGGAAGATGTCACAATCGCTGATTAGCAAGGGACAGGGTTCGATCATTACGACACAATCTTTATCCTCGATGGGTAAAATGTCGGCCGTTACTGTCACTGCGGAAGTGCACGTTCTGCCGAAATCCTCTATTCCAGAGGATGTTGTGAGTATTATAACTGACCCTAATTTGCAGTCATCTGAGAATTCTACATCTGCTAAATCTGCGATAAGTGCGCCAGCGTCTCAAGATGCTTTGTCGGGGGTAGCGAAAACCCAGGCCACGCACAAGCCTACACCATTGAACATTGAGCCTCATATGCCTGCGCCAAGCGCAGCCACTGCCTACTACCCAAGTGCATCTACAATGATACCAGCCCCAGGGCTATCAGCGTACAATAATACGCAAGCAGTGCATGATCAGCTTAGCACTGTACCAGCATATCCAGTGCAACAGAACGCTAATTGGATGCAAAATCTGTTAGAATCCATGTGGCAGCAGTCCATGACACAATTGTATCCTGTGCCCACGCCTAGCCTATGTATCAGACACCTGCGTCAGTTACATCTACGGCACAGATGTATATAATACTCCCATTGTGAATCATAATACAGTGCATTCTTCGTTGAATAGTACCTGCATGTGCTTGGACATCAACTCGTGACTCCATTTCACCAGGCAGTTCATCTAAGCCCTCAGTCAAAGGTAGCACTATACATCGGAGTAGAAGTCGTTCACCATCTAGACGAACATGTCAACATTGTTCTGATTCGTCTGATTATTCTAATGGTGAGGAGGGTGATTCCTCGACTGAATGGAATACTTACCTTGGCCTGGCACAAGTACCTGATTGGGTAGCTGACCACCTCATTTCAGTACCTTCCCCGGGTAGCGAGGTCGATAAAAAATATACTATTTGTACACACATCCTACGTCGATTCCGATTGACCCTATGGACTTTTCCAGGCTGACACTTACGCCGTCATTCAAGCCTCTCAGGTTTAAGAAAGATGAATTTCCTATTCATGGCTTTGAGGCAGCTGACCAGGCACATAGTGGACGAGGATATACAGAGTATGACAGGCTCGTCAAGGCCTACTACTCTTAAGTTTCAGGATACCAGAGTTGTGTTTATTGAAACGGAAATTCGAAGGGTATTAAAACCTTTATCAGCACTAACATCCACAACACGTGCAGTAGAGCAGGATCTGTCAAAGGGTAACGCTAACCGACAAGATCACCTCCACACTTTAGTACATTTTGAACAGCGTCAGATTGACTATATGAGAAATCATCTTAAAGCCGCGCTGGCGGAAATAACTGTCACACAGAGACTTGGTTAATTAGCCCTTGGGCCTTGGAGTTTAAGCACAGGTTGTTACATCAACCCTGGTCTTTCACATCTCTGTTCAATGAACAAAGTACGGACATGCATGCCAAAGTGTTCCAGTTACACTAAGGATTAAAAGGCACTCAAGGCTTTGGAGCACGTTTCTCAGAGTTTATCCCAGCGATCAGGCAGGTCAGGCAGTTATACAAGCCTAGACAGGCGCAAGATTCCTTTCGTGGTAGAGGGCGTGGCAGAGGGAAAACCTCAAGGTTCCTATCAATCCCAATGTGGTAAATACCACAGTAAGGGAGGTGATAGGAGGGGCAAACATTGACATGTTGGACAGTCACGACTGGGATCTCCCACCCCCAGTCGTCCCAATTGTTGATACCCCCATAGGTGGGAGACTGAGTAGATTTGGAAGAACTGGAGCATCCTCAAGGACGATTACATTCTCAACATTCTACATCACTATACGTAGAGGTATTTCCACCATTGACCACGGCTTCTCTCCCTTGGAATTATCCAAAAAAGCAACATCTGCTTAGACTTGCTGTTGGAAAAGAGAGCCGTAGAGATTATACACACCCCGGCGTTAACACCGGGGTTTTATTGTCACATCTCTCTGGTACCCAAGAAGGGCTCAGACAAGATGAGAATGATTCACAATCTCTCGGTTTTCAACGAACGTTACCTGAAGCGTCCACCATATTTCCGCCTCATCACATTGAGACTACTCAGAACCAGCATAAAAGCGTTTGATTCCTTGATCAGTCTCGATCTGCAGGATGCATATCTGCACATACCGATCCATCCCAACGACCACAGGTTCCTCAGGTTCCAGTTCAATGGGGTTCACTACCAGTGGGTAGTACTCCGTTTTGCATTTCAGTTGCCCCGTGGCTACTTACACGAGTAATGAAGCCCGTAACTGCGTTTCTACACCAGAGGAACATTTGGTTCAAGTTGTACATAGACGACTGTCTCCTGTGTCATCAACACACACAGACGTTAGTGTGCCACCGGGATTTCTCCAGAAGGCTACTATACAAAGTCGAACTCCATAATTTCAACTCCAGTTCATAGGAGGCCTGTTTCGAACAGATCAGTACCTCCTATCAGTCCCGATATAGTAGGAGATTTTACGCCTCCTGTCATCTGCTCTTTATCAACCATGCACACTTCACCAATGGCAAGTGTTGTTAGGGATACTCACCTCAGCCCAGGACCTAACCAGCAGAGGCTAATTACAATTACGTCCAATACAACAATTCCTGAACCCTTACATCAGGAGTCAGGATCCACCTAAGGCCATCATGCTACCTACTCATCTAAGGCCTTACCTCATTTGGTGGAAGGTAGAGTTGAATGTCTTAGGAAGAGTCTCTTTGTCCGAATTGTCCCTAATCTACACCTGTTCATAGATGCCTCCCTTCAGTTGTTGGGTGCACACCTGCAAGACCGGACCACCTCAGGGCTATGGTCTGGCGCTCATCGAAAGTGGCACATAAACATACTGGTGTTGGAAGCGTTAATTCTGGTCATATCTCATTGGCAGAATCAACTACATCCACAGACTACAGCACTGTGGCGCGGTGTTTGCACAATCAGGGAACAACGCACTCCTGCTCTCTACTTCAACAGACTTCTAGTGGATCGTCTGCAACTACAGTTCATAGTTCAGTACATCCTTGGATGTCGAACGGATGCCTTATCGCGTCCAGACAGGGTAGCACCTACCGAGTGGAAACTTCTCACAGAAGCGTTCCAGTTACTGCTTCGGAAGTTTTGTTCGCAACTTGCCAAAATTACCAACTCAGGACATATGCTTCCCCATTACCGAATCTGAAGGCTTGGGCAGTGGCTTGGGAAGGACTAAAAGCGTATGCCTTTCCGCGGCCAGTCTTACTTCCCAGGGTAATGCAAAAGATCAAGGAGACAAGGATACTTGCTCCGACCTTGGTCACGCCCTGGTGGTTAGGGAGAGGGTGGTTCGTTGAGCTCAGAAATCTAGCAGAAAACAATCCACTACCCCTCCCACAATGGTCCAACCTACTTATCCACCCTCACAGCAAATTGCCTCATCCAACACCAGACAGATTTTGTCTGCACGGTTGGTTCATCTTAAATAGGCGTTAAGTGCATAGGGCTATTCGGTACGGGCAGCAAAAGCTATAACATTAGCTCACTTGAAAGGTAGCACCATTACTACGTATTTGGTTGCACTTAACTCAGTGCTGGCCGTTCTGGATAATTGTAAGATGACTAAGGTCCTGGAACTACAGGCCTTATTACGCTCATTCAGGCATGAGGATCAGAAGACCAAGTTCCACCCACCTGCATGGGATTTGAACGTGGTACTTCGAGGTTTGCGAGGACCCCCCTTTCAAGCCCCTCTATGCATCCTCTTTATATGACCTCACCAAGAAAACAGTGTTTCTTTTGGCATTAGCCACGGCGGCACGGGTGAGCGAACTACATGCAATCGACATCACCCGGGTTCGTTTTGAGCATGGGACACATGGAGCGGTGCATCTCAGGTTGTGCTGGGATATCATTGCTAAGAATCGATTAACAAATTTTCATCCACCGTTCCAAGACTAGGCGTGGCTCAAGGAAGCGGTTATTTATACCCGTATCTACTATGTCCATGACCGAAGTCAGTCGCAACACCATATCTTTATAGTTACGCGCAGTCATCCTTCAGGCCTATTCGATCCACCAATCTGGATCCTCCAAGAGCGAATAATCCTCATGAGATCAGGGCACTAGCCTCTACCATGGCCTTACACAGCAATTGTTCTATTAAAACAATCATGGAAGGATGTTTTTGGAGGTCCAACACAGTTCTCGCCAGTCATTATCTTCGCGATGTTACTCTTGAGGACGTTCAAGGTGTACAGAGTTTTGGGACGTTGGTTGTAGCTCAGCAAGTTACCAACCCTTGACGCAAATAATGAACTTGCCCTATACAGAGCCTTTCCCTTTCCAGTGCAGTCGATCAGATTTCACCAGTGTAAGAATATTAGACAAGCAATTGTCCACAGGTGACCTAGTGGTAATTTCATCGTGTCCAGATACAAGCACAAACATCCAGAATTAGTCTGTCAATAGTCTGAATCTCATTCACTAACTCACTGTACCTGTTTCAGACCACCTCCGTGGTGTAATGGTAGGGCGTCTCCCCGAACAGTGGATGTTTGGGGGTTTGATCCCTGGCGGCATCATACCATGAGATGTTAAGAGATGGTACTTGTTGTTACCCTGCTTGGTTCTAAGGGGCAAAAACAAGAACTGGTCGGCTCAGAGTCAGTATACTGTGTCAGAACGGGGTCTTCATGTTAACTGCAGCATGGTATCTGAATGAGCTAGCACTACAAAAACAGCATTAGTTCGAACTCATACGAGCACACACACATAGTGCATGCACATCACTATATACCGTATTCCACGTAATAAGAGCCCAGGGCGCTCACAAAATTAGAAATAGGGGGCTCTTATTAGAATATTATTTTGGTGGAAAAAAACAGAGTTGAAAGATAAATTTTGTGGTTTATGCTAACGGCCTGACTGTTTATATACGACAGATATATTTTTCCAGAATTTAATTGCCCATAATAAAGGGTGCATATAACACACGAGTGCGTATTATACATGAATAAATAAGTCTTGTGTACATTGATCAATCGGAAGGGGTGCTAATTGGGATTGTTCACTTGCCAATACATTTGCAAATATCGCCGTGGGTGCTTATTAGAGTGGGGTGCTTATTACGTCGAATACGGTAAGTGCAATAATGTTTCAGGGTCACGGCTGTGCTGACTGGAAGTTTGTGGATGAATGTTCCCCTCAGAAGGTGTACACAGCAGTGTTCTTCTCTGTCCAAGCCCTCCTGCTCCTGGTGTCCGGGATCCTGGCCTGGGTACTGCTGGTCAACTTTAAAATGAAGGTGGGTCAATGTAGCCGACCCTACCAAGTGGGTAACTAGATACTTGTGCTCAGAAACATTTCCTTTTCCTAAACCTTGTCTGTCCGGTGTTCATTCTCTTCTGGGTGACTTAACTTTCCTCATCAGCTTGTACACCACAGACTTTTGATATTATCTTTTTGAGAATTCTGATAAAGTTTTAAATTAAAAGCTAAATATTAATGTATGATTACTTGAGTTTCTCTGACAATATCTGTGTCAATATTTACTGATTCCTTTGATTCAGTGTGTTTTTAAGAAGGAAATGGTGAAGGATGTAGAGAGATGGTAGGATGTAGAGAGACAGTAGGATGTAGAGAGATGGTAGGATGTAGAGAGATGGTGGGATGTAGAGAGACAGTAGATTGTAGAGAGACGGTAGGATGTAGAGAGATGGTAGGATGTAGAGAGATGGTAGATTGTAGAGAGACGGTAGGATGTAGAGAGACGGTAGGATGTAGAGAGACGGTAGTACGTAGAGAGACGGTAGTACGTAGAGAGACGGTAGGATGTATAGAGATGGTAGGATGTAGAGAGACGGTAGGATGTAGAGAGACGGTAGTACGTAGAGAGACGGTAGGATGTAGAGAGACGGTAGGATGTAGAGAGACGGTAGGATGTAGAGAGACGGTAGTACGTAGAGAGATGGTAGGAGGTATAGAGATGGTAGGATGTAGAGAGACGGTAGGATGTAGAGAGACGGTAGTACGTAGAGAGACGGTAGGATGTAGAGAGACGGTAGGATGTAGAGAGACAGTAGGATGTAGAGAGACAGTAGTATGTAGAGAGACGGTAGGATGTAGAGAGACGGTAGGATGTAGAGAGACGGTAGTACGTAGAGAGACGGTAGGATGTATAGAGACGGTAGGATATAGAGAGACGGTAATACGTAGAGAGATGGTAGGATGTAGAGAGACGGTAATACGTAGAGAGACGGTAGGATGTAGAGAGACGGTAGGATGTAGAGAGACGGTAGTATGTAGAGAGACGGTAGGATGTAGAGAGACGGTAGGATGTAGAGAGACGGTAGTATGTAGAGAGACGGCAGGATGTAGAGAGACGGTAGGATGTAGAGAGATGGTAGGATGTAGAGAGATGGTAGGATGTAGAGAGACGGTAGGATGTAGGGAGACGGTAGGATGTAGAGAGATGGTAGGATGTAGGGAGACGGTAGATTGTAGAGAGACGGTAGGATGTAGAGAGACGGTAGGATGTAGAGAGACGGTAGGATGTAGAGAGACGGTAGGATGTAGAGAGACGGTAGGATGTAGAGAGACGGTAGTATGTAGAGAGACGGCAGGATGTAGAGAGACGGTAGGATGTAGAGAGATGGTAGGATGTAGAGAGATGGTAGGATGTAGAGAGACGGTAGGATGTAGGGAGACGGTAGGATGTAGAGAGATGGTAGGATGTAGGGAGACGGTAGATTGTAGAGAGACGGTAGGATGTAGAGAGACGGTAGGATGTAGAGAGACGGTAGGATGTAGAGAGACGGTAGGATGTAGAGAGACGGTATAATGTAGAGAGACGGTAGGATGTAGAGAGACGGTAGGATGTAGAGAGACGGTAGGATGTAGAGAGACGGTAGGATGTAGAGAGACGGTAGGATGTAGAGAGACAGTAGTATGTAGAGAGACAGTAGGATGTAGAGAGACGGTAGGATGTAGAGAGACGGTAGTATGTAGAGAGATGGTAGGATGTAGAGAGATGGTAGGATGTAGAGAGACAGTAGTATGTAGAGAGACAGTAGGATGTATAGAGACAGTAGTATGTAGAGAGACGGTAGGATGTAGAGAGACGGTAGGATGTAGAGAGATGGTAGGATGTATAGAGACGGTAGATTGTAGAGAGATTATGCTTTCAGTCATTGGTTTGTTAGGTTTATTATACTATTGCTGACTGCGGCATTAAACAATATTCACTATGTAATAACTCACCTGTATCAGACAAGATATGTGTTTTTTGATAGTTCTAGTTCAGAAATTGTTTCACTATTATATGTGCACAATTCATGTGACAGCGTGTTTGTACAAGGTTATCATAGTATGTATATGAACTCTGTAAGTATTATTCCAGATGGGTGATAGAATTGAGAAGAACTTGATACAGGAGAGAGACATTGACCAAGTCATTCTGGCTGCCAAAGATGGGAAGTATGTAGATATGTTGCACATACAAGTTTTCTCCCCTATAATTTATGGGTACACTCCACTGTCCCCTCTGACCTCATCGTGACTTGAATCATGGGGTTGAGATTCATCCTGCCAAACTCTGCTTCTCCATCTGAAATACTGTTCAAAGTAGTCTTGAACCTCAACCACACAGGGAAGGGGGTTGACCACGTCGTCTAAGGTGCTGCATGTCCCTGTGCGTCCCTGTTGTATCCCCTTGGCTCACCAGAAACCTATGATGGTTGGTTCAATCCCGGTTCGCCCCAATTATGTTTCTAGGTTTGTCAGCACCATACCTGTGCTCGTGGGTTTCACCGAAGTGGTAAACATCTGAGACCTGCATCATTTGGGGCTTTCCTCCCACATTAAGCTGACATGCTGTGATATAACTGGAATACTGTTCAAAGCGACATTAACCCAACTCACTCACTCACCACTCACACTAGATTACACTACTTCGTAAAATAATATTTGACAGAATGTTGTTTTTGTTTGTATTGTGGTAATGGGATGTGGGTTGGATTGGTCATTTAATGGAGACTGTTATTGTCCGATTATACTTGTTTTTGTTATGCCTCTTCAATATTTTAGTGTATTTTTCAAATGTCATCTACATTTAGTGTTGTACTTTTATATAATTCAATGTGAGATTCAGTGTATTTCACAAGGATGTGTTTGTTCAGATTGAACGAGAAGCGGCAGGCGTCGAGTGAGCTGGCGATCATGGCAGCTGCTAATGATGACAACAAGTTCAGGATTGTGGCAGAGGGAGGGTGAGGCTGTCATCATCTCATGGAGTCATGTCAGGGCCCTTCCACATCATCACCTCAGCACTACAACTGCTGTTGTCATGTCAGAATGATGAGATGTGATTGGTCCACGTGATTGTGATAAAATACTATGTATCCCGCCTTGGAAGGAAATAAATTTCTAAGCGAGAGAATAAATCTCTTATAGACAGGCTGCAAATGGATTTCGGAGAGGCAGGTTAAATCCCTTATTGCTTCGAGGCAAGAAGCCGCATGCTTTTTCCCAGTCAATGAAAGTCACGTGACACAGCACAAGCTAACCTCCACTCAATACAACGACTCATACCTCACATTGTTTAACACTGTCATTGTGCTTTCTTGGCCTTAACAGTTGTATCTGTTCTTTTTAATAACAAACCATTTGTCATAGGTGTCCTATAGAAATATTGGGAAGTGTTAGTTGTTTAAATATGGATTCTGAGGTTGTAATATGCTTATTCAGAGCTATTTAAATGGAATACCAGTAGAAAGGTTTCCTTATCGATTTCTGAAATAATTGAAATGTTTCTGTTCAATGAATATATATAAGTTTAACTCTAATAATTTCATAATCCAATAAAATTCAGAAATTTGCGACTCAACACCTATCCAATTCTTTCACTGTTAGAAACTTTACATCAGGGATGTGAAGACATCTAGTCTGTACTTGGTCTGTGATTGTTGCAGCTTGGACATTCTGATGTCCCTGTCCCTGCAGCATGATGACTCCACCCAGGAGCATGCTCTGGAGGCCATCAGGGAGCTGCTCACCATCCCCTCCATCCAGGTGACACATCTTAGGGGGTTTGTCATGTCATGGTAAACTATCTTAAAGAGGAATTTTAAATCTACCATTTCCAAACAGTGTAAGTGAGTAAGTATTGTTTTACGCGACTTTTAGCAATATTCCAACAATATCATGTCAGAGGACACCAGAAATGAACTTCATATAGTGTACCCGTGTGTTGAATTGAAGCACAAGGCTACCCCACCACCCCACAGAAAGTGCTAGTCAACAAGCATGGAAGCATATACCTCCACCACTGTAGAAAAACTGTCCTTTAAGCTTCTTATGGTCAGAATGGGTCAGTCTGGTCCAAACCCGTGAAGATCCGGGTTAGAATTGGTTTTCAGCAACCCATGCATGTTGTAAGAGGCGATCATGGTTGTAACCGCCATTATATAGCTGGAATATTGCTGAGTGCGGCGTTTAAGCAGCACACAAACAAACAGTCTGATCCAATTTTCCTGTCAGGATTTGTATGCATTTAGGTCAATACTAGTAAGTTGATGTCAGTCTGTGTATTTACTAAGGACACGTTTGTGAACATGGGCAACGTGAGCAAGCTGACAGCACTGCTCCACTCACAGTGCCCTCGGGTGATGCAGGCTGCTGCTTCCACCATCTTCACCATCGTCAACCAGTCCGAGGAGAACAAGAGTGTCATCATTGCTGACCATGGGTAAGTAAGACTGCTTCGTTGAGCGAGGCAGATGTTGCTTGATGTTGTTCTTTATACATACTGTTTCATGGATGGGAAAGGGGGAAAATAATTATCATGATCACAGCCATCTGTGAATTGTCCAATTGGAAATTTGATATTGGTGCTTCTAGCACAGGTCCACAGTACTTTGTGGGTAAAGCTGACTAACACGTGTTGGTTGGCCACAATTTCTCCGGAGAATTTGTATGGTGATCAACAGGGAAGACCTGATTGAACACATATCACTCTACCCAAGTGAGGCACACACTGTCCATGGATGGGTGATCACCAGGGAAGACCTGACTGAACACATATCACTGTACCCAAGTGAGGCACACACTGTCCATGGATGGGTGATCACCAGGGAAGACATGACTGAACACATATCACTGTACCCAAGTGAGGCACACACTGTCCATGGATGGGTGATCACCAGGGAAGACGTGATTGAACACATATCACTGTACCCAAGTGAGGCACACACTGTCCATGGATGGGTGATCACCAGGGAAGACGTGACTGAACACATATCACTGTACCCAAGTGAGGCACACACTGTCCATGGGTGGGTGATCACCAGGGAAGACCTGATTGAACACATATCACTGTACCCAAGTGAGGCACACACTGTCCATGGATGGGAGATCACCAGGGAAGACCTGATTGAACACATATCACTGTACCCAAGTGAGGCACACACTGTCCATGGATGGGAGATCACCAGGGAAGACCTGATTGAACACATATGACTGTACCCAAGTGAGGCACACACTGTCCATGGATGGTTGATCACCAGGGAAGACGTGACTGAACACATATCACTGTACCAATGTGAGGCACACACTGTCCATGGATGGGTGATCACCAGGGAAGACCTGATTGAACACATATCACTGTACCCAAGTGAGGCACACACTGTCCATGGATGGATGATCACCAGGGAAGACCTGATTGAACACATATCACTCTACCCAAGTGAGGCACACACTGTCCATGGACGGGTGATCACCAGGGAAGACCTGATTGAACACATATCACTGTACCCAAGTGAGGCACACACTGTCCATGGATGGGTGATCACCAGGGAAGACCTGATTGAACACATATCACTGTACCCAAGTGAGGCACACACTGTCCATGGATGGGTGATCACCAGGGAAGACGTGACTGAACACATATCACTTTTCCTAGGTGTAGTTCACATGTTGACCACATGTTTGTTCCGAACTTGACTTGAGATTGTTTACAGGTTGCTGTGTTAAAGTAATATTTCCGAAAATGTTATATGTAAATCACTCAGATGCTTGAAATTGTCTCCTTTCGTAGTTTTATTTTATTTTTTTATTTTATGTTAAGATGCTCCTTACTTTCATGTTTCAGATTGGAGGATTTGGCCCACGCTGCAAGGAATGGAACTATTGCCTGTCAGCAGTCAGTGGCCAGTATTTTCAATGAGCTGGCTATCAATTCTGACATCAGGGCACAACTGACTGCTGGGAATATCCCAGGTATGAGTCTAGAAGAGCAGGTCCCTGTCACCCATTTGTCACGAGCACCAACTGATGAGTGACTGGCTGTATCGCGCCATGGTGATCTATGTTATACACTTTACGTCTTCTTCAGTCTCAGACTGCCCCTGTGGTCTTGTGACTTGTGTGTCTGCCCGGAGAGCTGAAGGTCATTTAAAGACGTTAAAAGATTATAATTGTTGTTACCCTGTCTGGCGTTCGGTGTTAAGGTTAAAACAAGGACTGGTTGGCTCTGAGTCAGTTAACTGTGTTATAGTGGGGCACCCATGTGAAACTGCTGCAATGGTATCTCAGTGGGCAAGCATTATCAAACTGGACACATGTCGCTAAATAACTGCAATTATCTTGAATGTGATGTTAAATCCAATTTCACCTGGTTCAGTCTGACGTAAATTTCGCCTGCTTGGACTGGTGTGTGGTTGCAAATACTCCACTCTTTCCCTGTGTTTACCAGCCCAGGCACTGACAGAGCTGTGTCGCAGCAATGATTCCGACACACTGAGAGATGCCCTACAAGCTCTGGAGCTGATGGCCATTGAAAGTGCTGAAACCATCTGTGCTCAGGTTTGGAACCTAATTGGTATAATTTCATCCACCATTAGAATAATAATCAGGAATCTTTTGTTAAATGATACAAACACGTAGTAAAAAGGAAAAGGGAAATATTCATATTGTTATTTTACATTGTGTTTTCTAATCATGCAACCTCTAAAGCTCAACGCAAAAAAGCTCTACGAGCTGGAATGGAAGTCGCCAGTTTGAAACTTGTGCCACAATGCTCAAGAAAGTTGCTTTCTTAGTGGGTAATGTCAACTTCCTGTTAGTCATTTCATTGATCGGTCAAAGTTTGCAAAAGGTCATTCTGACGTGACCCATTGAGTGTTGGAATAAGGAGACATGACTGTATTTGTGACCACAATAATAATAATAAATATATGTGAGAAATGATAATAAAGTGACACATACAGTATGTTTAAGTAAATCATTCTTTGTCTGCTTAATAGCAAATAATGTATTCAAGGTAATTAATGCTCTTCCTTATTGCCACAATGCTAAAAGGGATCAACCTGCTACTGCAAGGCATTCACTGTTGCTTTTTATTGGATATAATTATTATTAATTAAGCTTGCTTACTTTTCTGATTAATATTAATACTATTGAATGATGTTCTCAGGGAGTTGATGTAAAGTTAGGTATATTTGGGATGAAAAGAGTACAAGGTTGTAATATCCACGACAGTGTCACAATGAGCACCACCATTGTGACATTACCAGCCCACTTGTTGGACTGAGTACTGGTATGGTACTCGAACTTCAGCACAATAAATAGAATGTGCATATCATGACTTGTGGTTCCCTCGTATCCTAGTCATCTCCTGTGTACTGTGTAGGAGGACTTGCTGCAACTGTTGCTGCAGCTGCCATTCCGCACCATGGACGAACGCAACTACCTGCTTGTTGCCAAGATACTCATCTACTATGCAGAGAACAAGGAGGTAAGTTGAGTAGCCTGATAGTATCAAGAAGTATGTTCAGTAACTTGAAGCTTACAGTATCAAGAAGTATGTTCAGTAACTTGAAGCTGATAGTATCAAGAAGTATGTTTAGTACCTTGAAACTGATAGTATCAAGAAGTATGTTCAGTAGCGTGAAGCTGATAGTATCAAGAAGTATGTTCAGTAGCGTGAAGCTGATAGTATCAAGAAGTATGTTCAGTTGCGTGAAGCTGATAGTAACAAGAAGTATGTTCAGTAGCGTAAAGCTGATAGTATCAAGAAGTATGTTCAGTAACTTGAAGCTGATAGTATCAAGCAGTATGTTCAGTACCTTGAAGCTGATAGTATCAAGAAGTATGTTCAGTAGCGTAAAGCTGATAGTATCAAGAAGTATGTTCAGTAACTTGAAGCTGATAGTATCAAGAAGTATGTTCAGTAACTTGAAGCTGATAGTATCAAGCAGTATGTTCAGTAACTTGAAGCTGATAGTATCAAGAAGTATGTTCAGTAACTTGAAGCTGATAGTATCAAGCAGTATGTTCAGTAACTTGAAGCTGATAGTATCAAGAAGTATGTTCAGAAGCATAAATTTGATAGTATCAAGCAGTATGTTCAGTAGCTTGAAGCTGATAGGATCAAGAAGTATGTTCAGTAACTTGAAGCTGATAGTATCAAGCAGTATGTTCAGTAACTTGAAGCTGATAGTATCAAGAAGTATGTTCAGTAACTTGAAGCTGATAGTATCAAGCAGTATGTTCAGTAGCGTGAAGCTGATAGTATCAAGAAGTATGTTCAGTAACTTGAAGCTGATAGTATCAAGAAGTATGTTCAGTAACTTGAAGCTGATAGTATCAAGAAGTATGTTCAGTAGTGTGAAGCTGATAGTATCAAGAAGTATGTTCAGTAGCGTTAAGCTGATAGTATCAAGCAGTATGTTCAGTAGCGTAAAGCTGATAGTATCAAGAAGTATGTTCAGTAACTTGAAGCTGATAGTATCAAGAAGTATGTTCAGTAGCTTGAAGCTGATAGCATCAAGAAGTATGTTCAGTAACTTAAAGCTGATAGTATCAAGAAGTATGTTCAGTAACTTGAAGCTGATAGTATCAAGAAGTATGTTCAGAAGCGTAAAGCTGATAGTATCAAGAAGTATGTTCAGTAACTTGAAGCTGATAGTATCAAGAAGTATGTTCAGTACCTTGAAGCTGATAGTATCAAGCAGTATGTTCAGTAACTTGAAGCTGATAGTATCAAGAAGTATGTTCAGTAGCTTGAAGCTGATAGCATCAAGCAGTATGTTCAGTAGCGTGAAGCTGATAGTATCAAGAAGTATGTTCAGTATCTTGAAGCTGATAGTATCAAGAAGCATGTTCAGTAGCGTGAAGCTGATAGTATCAAGAAGTATGTTCAGTAGCATAAAGCTGATAGTATCAAGAAGTATGTTCAGTAACTTGAAGCTGATAGTATCAAGAAGTATGTTCAGTAACTTGAAGCTGATAGTATCAAGCAGTATGTTCAGTAGCGTGAAGCTGATAGTATCAAGAAGTATGTTCAGTAGTGTAAAGCTGATAGTATCAAGAAGTATGTTCAGTAGCGTAAAGCTGATATTATCAAGAAGTATGTTCAGTAACTTAAAGCTGATAGTATCAAGAAGTATGTTCAGTATCTTGAAGCTGATAGTATCAAGCAATATGTTCAGTAACTTGAAGCTGATAGTATCAAGAAGTATGTTCAGTAACTTGAAGCTGATAGTATCAAGAAGTATGTTCAGTAGCATAAAGCTGATAGTATCAAGAAGTATGTTCAGTAGCGTGAAGCTGATAGTATCAAGAAGTACGTTCAGTAACTTGAAGCTGATAGTATCAAGAAGTATGTTCAGTAGCTTGAAGCTGATAGCATCAAGCAGTATGTTCAGTAACTTGAAGCTGATAGTATCAAGAAGTATGTTCAGTAACTTGAAGCTGATAGTATCAAGAAGTATGTTCAGTAGCATAAAGCTGATAGTATCAAGAAGTATGTTCAGTAGCGTGAAGCTGATAGTATCAAGAAGTACGTTCAGTAACTTGAAGCTGATAGTATCAAGAAGTATGTTCAGTAGCTTGAAGCTGATAGTATCAAGAAGTATGTTCAGTAACTTGAAGCTGATAGTATCAAGAAGTATGTTCAGTAACTTGAAGCTGATAGTATCAAGCAGTATGTTCAGTAGCGTGAAGCTGATAGTATCAAGAAGTATGTTCAGTAGTGTAAAGCTGATAGTATCAAGAAGTATGTTCAGTAGCGTAAAGCTGATAGTATCAAGAAGTATGTTCAGTAACTTAAAGCTGATAGTATCAAGAAGTATGTTCAGTATCTTGAAGCTGATAGTATCAAGCAATATGTTCAGTAACTTGAAGCTGATAGTATCAAGAAGTATGTTCAGTAACTTGAAGCTGATAGTATCAAGAAGTATGTTCAGTAGCATAAAGCTGATAGTATCAAGAAGTATGTTCAGTAGCGTGAAGCTGATAGTATCAAGAAGTACGTTCAGTAACTTGAAGCTGATAGTATCAAGAAGTATGTTCAGTAGCTTGAAGCTGATAGCATCAAGCAGTATGTTCAGTAACTTGAAGCTGATAGTATCAAGAAGTATGTTCAGTAACTTGAAGCTGATAGTATCAAGAAGTATGTTCAGAAGCGTAAAGCTGATAGTATCAAGAAGTATGTTCAGTAACTTGAAGCTGATAGTATCAAGAAGTATGTTCAGTACCTTGAAGCTGATAGTATCAAGCAGTATGTTCAGTAACTTGAAGCTGATAGTATCAAGAAGTATGTTCAGTAGCTTGAAGCTGATAGCATCAAGCAGTATGTTCAGTAGCGTGAAGCTGATAGTATCAAGAAGTATGTTCAGTATCTTGAAGCTGATAGTATCAAGCAGTATGTTCAGTAGCGTGAAGCTGATAGTATCAAGAAGTATGTTCAGTAGCGTGAAGCTGATAGTATCAAGAAGTATGTTCAGTACCTTGAAGCTGATAGTATCAAGAAGTATGTTCAGTAGCGTAAAGCTGATAGTATCAAGAAGTATGTTCAGTAACTTGAAGCTGATAGTATCAAGAAGTATGTTCAGTAACTTGAAGCTGATAGTATCAAGAAGTATGTTCAGTATCTTGAAGCTGATATTATCAAGCAGTATGTTCAGTAGCTTGAAGCTGATAGTATCAAGAAGTATGTTCAGTAGCTTGAAGCTGATAGTATCAAGAAGTATGTTCAGTAGCATGAAGCTGATAGAATCAAGAAGTATGTTCAGTACCTTGAAGCTGATAGTATCAAGAAGTATGTTCAGTAGCATGAAGCTGATAGTATCAAGAAGTATGTTCAGTAACTTGAAGCTGATAGTATCAAGAAGTATGTTCAGTAGCGTGAAGCTGATAGAATCAAGCAGTATGTTCAGTACCTTGAAGCTGATAGTATCAAGAAGTATGTTCAGTACCTTGAAGCTGATAGTATCAAGAAGTATATGTCAACAGCCTGTGTGTGTGTTAGTGAGAATGTTATAACATATGCTGCTGCTGTTCCAGACAAGTCAACTGCCTGTGTGTCTGTTAGTGAGAATGTTATAACATATGCTGCTGCTGTTCCAGACATGTCAACAGCCCAGGTGTCTGTTAGTGAGAATGTTATAACATATGCTGCTGCTGTTCCAGACAAGTCAACTGCCTGTGTGTCTGTTAGTGAGAATGTTATAGCCTATGCTGCTGCTGTTCCAAACATGTCAACAGCCCAGGTGTCTGTTAGTGAGAATGTTATAGCCTATGCTGCTGCTGTTCCAAACATGTCAACAGCCCAGGTGTCTGTTAGTGAGAATGTTATAGCCTATGCTGCTGCTGTTCCAAACATGTCAACAGCCCAGGTGTCTGTTAGTGAGAATGTTATAGCCTATGTTGCTGCTGTTCCAAACATGTCAACAGCCCAGGTGTCTGTTGGTGAGAATGTTATAGCCTATGCTGCTGCTGTTCCAAACATGTCAACAGCCCAGGTGTCTGTTAGTGAGAATGTTATAGCCTATGCTGCTGCTGTTCCAAACATGTCAACAGCCCAGGTGTCTGTTAGTGAGAATGTTATAGCCTATGCTGCTGCTGTTCCAAACATGTCAACAGCCCAGGTGTCTGTTAGTGAGAATGTTATAACATATGCTGCTGCTGTTCCAGACATGTCAACAGCCCAGGTGTCTGTTAGTGAGAATGTTATAACATATGCTGCTGCTGTTCCAGACATGTCAACAGCCCAGGTGTCTGTTAGTGAGAATGTTATAGCCTATGCTGCTGCTGTTCCAGACAAGTCAACTGCCTGTGTGTCTGTTAGTGAGAATGTTATAGCCTATGCTGCTGCTGTTCCAAACATGTCAACAGCCCAGGTGTCTGTTAGTGAGAATGTTATAGCCTATGCTGCTGCTGTTCCAAACATGTCAACAGCCCAGGTATCTGTTAGTGAGAATGTTATAGCCTATGCTGCTGCTGTTCCAAACATGTCAACAGCCCAGGTGTCTGTTAGTGAGAATGTTATAGCCTATGTTGCTGCTGTTCCAAACATGTCAACAGCCCAGGTGTCTGTTAGTGAGAATGTTATAACATATGCTGCTGCTGTTCCAGACATGTCAACAGCCCATGTGTCTGTTATTGAGAATGTTATAGCATATGCTGCTGCTGTTCCAAACATGTCAACAGCCCAGGTGTCTGTTAGTGAGAATGTTATAACATATGCTGCTGCTGTTCCAGACAAGTCAACTGCCTGTGTGTCTGTTAGTGAGAATGTTATAGCCTATGCTGCTGCTGTTCCAAACATGTCAACAGCCCAGGTATCTGTTAGTGAGAATGTTATAGCCTATGCTGCTGCTGTTCCAAACATGTCAACAGCCCAGGTGTCTGTTAGTGAGAATGTTATAGCCTATGCTGCTGCTGTTCCAAACATGTCAACAGCCCAGGTATCTGTTAGTGAGAATGTTATAGCCTATGCTGCTGCTGTTCCAAACATGTCAACAGCCCAGGTGTCTGTTAGTGAGAATGTTATAGCCTATGCTGCTGCTGTTCCAAACATGTCAACAGCCAAGGTGTCTGTTAGTGAGAATGTTATAGCCTATGCTGCTGATGTTCCAAACATGTCAACAGCCCAGGTGTCTGTTAGTGAGAATGTTATAACATATGCTGCTGCTGTTCCAGACATGTCAACAGCCCAGGTGTCTGTTATTGAGAATGTTATAACATATGCTGCTGCTGTTCCAAACATGTCAACAGCCCAGGTGTCTGTTAGTGAGAATGTTATAACATATGCTGCTGCTGTTCCAGACAAGTCAACTGCCTGTGTGTGTGTTAGTGAGAATGTTATAGCCTATGCTGCTGCTGTTCCAGACATGTCAACAGCCCAGGTGTCTGTTAGTGAGAATGTTATAACATATGATGCTGCTGTTCCAGACATGTCAACAGTTGCTGGACCAGGAGAATGTCCGCGACTCGCTGGATCAGTTTGCGAGGACCCGCGACCCCCTGCTGCAGCGCGTTGTGGCCAGGATCATCACCTGCATGATGGAGACACAGCAACTCAAGTGAGGAGCCTCACACATGAAAAGTCATGCAAGGGGAGATTTATGCCGTGCTGTCAAATGATATTGGCTAGCTGTCTAGGCCCACTTGCACTGTCTTAACTCCCATACTTCAACATTGACTTACGTTAGTCCTAGCACTAAGATGACTTTGTGCAAGTGGGTCCTGGGTACAAGAGTACACCGCCTTCACCTTATTGTATGAAGAAACTAGGCTTGGGTGAGATGTGGTGTGGCGTTGCATTGGTAGACAATGCTTCTGAAGCATGATGGTTACAGGGCTATAACACAGAAAGCTCCATCTCCATTACATGTTACAGGGCTACTATAACACAGGAAGCTCCATGTTACAGGGCTACTATAAAACTCCAGCCCTGCTGAATATTACAGGGCTACTGTAACAGAAATCTACATCCCTGCTCCATGTTACAGGGCTACTGTTACAGAAAGCTCCTTCCCTGCTCCATGTTACAGGGCTACTGTTACAGAAGGCTCCTTCCCTGCTCCATGTTACAGGGCTACTGTTACAGAAGGCTCCTTCCCTGCTCCATGGTACCACTCCATGTATGGTCTCAGGGTGTCTAGCACAGCAGAGAGCAGCGATAATATAGTCAGCCCTGTGTGATAACATAAGTTAAGATACTGCAAATGTAGCATTGCCCAGCCTGTCAGCATAGAAGGTAACTGATAATATATATGTAGGATTCTCTTTCTGTTTAAAGACGTCAGGCTAAAGAAGTTAAGATGAACAAAGTGTTGGAGTATATTCGTGACCACACTGCCGACAGAGACTTGTGGGTTGAAGCTGACCAAGGTAGGTAACTCTCAACTCATATGTCATACCATGGTCTATAGGTAATTTCATCTAAATGACTTAAGCTCAGTATCAAGTTGTGTAGGGATGAGTGCACTATGAAAGAAGGGTTCATTTTTCTATATCTGTAAAACATTTCTTCCCTGTTCTTATTGAAAACAGAGTTGTCATGGATTTCACCCTCTTTATTCTTCAGCCTATCAGTTCTGTTGAAGGAATTTAGTTTAAACCCTGTCAACACTGTTGTCATGAATACTACAGATTGTATACTACACTTACAGATACAATTCTTACTGTCCTCTACTTCTGTAACTGTTTGATTGGCATTCTAGAAGTTGGCAAAATCAGTAAGAAAAACGTCAATCAAAATCTACATCTAAACATTGCTATATGGAATACACCAGAAGTTGTTATCCATAAAATTGTACGTTTTTCTTACTCTGCTTTTGTAGATGGAAAAAAAAATGGAAAAATATAATCTTTTTGAAAAGTATGCCTAGGTATGATAACAACCCTTTTTGACCACTGAAAATGTCATTTTCACATCACTGACAACTCAACTTCTTTTTCAGTAAGATTTATGTAAGTGTGGTTACAATGAGTGCAAAAGGCTGTGTGTTTTTTTCAAGTGGAAATCTAAATTTTCACCATGTTTGTTCTGTCCTTACTCTTTGTCTTTAACAAATTTGCCACATTTTATCCTTATCTTAGTATTTAATGCTGCTGTGAGGACTGCAAAGCTTGGTTGTGTTGAAAAAGCAAAACAAAGCCTAATTTGCATTGATATGAACATTTCTGAAAATTCATAACAATTTTGATAGAGATATGCAGATCTGGACCCAAGAAGCCTTTCGTTACGCTCTCTCTGGCTGGCTGAAAATATTTCTCTCCTTTAAATCCATTGGCTTTGCCACTTTTGATTGCTGCATAGCAGGCTGGGTCTCAGGGCAATAACATGTTTTGTAGAAAATCATGTTACCCCTTCTCAACCAATGAAAATACAGATGTAATTTGTAAGTGTAATAATTCTGGCTACAATGATGATGAAGATGTGTTTGTTTGCAGCACTTCAGATGATGAATTCGGATGACCTGGGCAATCACTCATCTGTGTTAGACAAATCCAAACTGGAGGTCAAGGACAGTTTCGGGTCAAGGACATCCATGGGGTCGATCAAAAAGAGGCCAGCAAGTGTTTCCTCTGGGGCAGAGTCTGACAAGGGACTTGCCTAGGCATAGATTGTCACCTGCGTTTCTTTGTTTATATTTTCATCTTCAGTATTGCATTGTGTATTTACGAACCTTAAACTAACTTATTTCTGTCATAACTCAGTGAAGGGCTAATTATCCAACCATGAGCTTTGAAAACCTAAAAGTATCGGCTACGGTATATAAGAAGAGATATGCCATAATGAGTGACTGGAGATTTTACACCGGCCAACCACTTTCCTAGTGGCAGGTGATGTGGTAGGGCAGGACATACCTTGCCTTTTGCCAACACCAACAGCCTTTTACGCCCAGGAATCTGTTTCAGCGGATGAATAAAACTGGTTGTTCTCTAACACTGACATTTTATATTTGCTTATTGTGTGAACCTTTGTGTCTCAGTACATCAAGTTATTTTTGTATGGTAATGGGATTTCAGTTATGTAATTTCCTATCACTGAGAATGTATTGAGATTATTCTGAAAAATTGGAGAAAATTTGTTGACATAAAAGCTGAGTTTGCTGTTTTCCGTTTAGTTACTTAAACAATATGTCTGTCTGATGAATGATGCAATGCCTTGTCATGGCTTGATTTAGCTATACATGTATATAACATGCAATAGTGCAACCCGTTATTGAAAAATGCAATCTAATATTTATGTCTACATGCACCAAGTGAATGTAAAAAAAGAATTGTGTCTGACTAACCCGTAATTGTCCAAACAAAATTGATCTTTGAACACACTCAGTACCTGTAAAGTGTATTTGCCATACTGCATCACTAATCCCTGTGTTAATTTGTCCTGCTTGACAATAATGCTTCATTGATTTATGACAATGACAGCAAACCAGCCTGTATTTCAACTTTGTTTAATTTATTGGACTTGGTTTTGCTTGGTGCAACTTGCTTTCAATGTCCTCATGCATCTGGTGCAGGTTACATCAAATTCCTTAAATCGAGAGCTTGTTCAAGCTTTAATATATTTTAGGATATGTTATAGAGAAATTGAAAACGAAGGCAAAAACTGATTGATTTTGGTTCAATCGCTTTTTGATACCGAGTGTGTCAGTGACACATGATGAGACAGTAGTCATCACGATAAACCTCTGTTGAAGTGTACCATCGTGGATATGTTGACCTGACTTGTAGAGGGAACAAATGTACTGGGATGTGTATTGCTACAGAATGAGGTGTATGGTATAGTGACTCCTTTATGCCTTATAACTTTGAAGTGAAACAAATCTATGTATAAGGTCAGTTTTACTTGTTGAAGAAACATATACTTTGACACTGTGAAATATCATAATCAACTTTAACTTAAAATCAGAAAAGTGTTTTTGTGCATCTCCAAACCCATTAAATGAGATTTGAACCCATATAACGACATTGTTGCGTTTAATTACCTCATGCCTAAATACCAGGAACTAATTTGATTTTTATGGCCCTTTTGTCAAATATTACAAAAAATGAAATATGCATTTTCACAGTGTCTCAGTATTATTTTTTACTAAATGTTTTGACAAATGTTGTTTACATGCAAATGGAACTAAATTGAACTAGATATTTGCACAATTTTCATTCAGGTGATGGTATTTTCTTATTTTTATTCACTCAAACTGTCTTCAGATTTTTGACAGTCAGTGCACTTTGTACAAGGACAAGTACTATCCTTTATCATGGAAACTCTTTGAAAGTAAATTCAGTATTTGAAAGTATTTATCCATGATATTTAATCGTTGAGAACAGGAAAGATGTAGTGACATGTTGGATAGCATGATGTGACAGTACCGGTATTTAAGGCGGAACAAAGATATTTGGTTCTTGGGCATTGACTTTTGAAAAACGGGATGTGCAGTCTCTTTGTCATATGTTGTTCATAAAGCAGAAACTAGCTCTTTCCTGCAGGAATAATGAACTCACATGATTAGTGCCATGAACCAAACTTTGTGTTTGTTATCCTAAACTTGTGAATCACCCTCCGTCCTGCATCAAGATGTGGTACACAGATAGAACAGCACCCCAGAGCAGATCCTGCTGCAATGGTCATCTCCTACACTGGCATATATGTCAAAGGGAGGCAGTCACTGATAAATACTCTCTAGTTTATACATGTGTCATCAAAGTTGTTTCAATGAAATACTGACATAACTTTTATCATTAGAAACATCCATCAGGCAAGACCATTAGTTTTTGTTCTACAGTTGAAGTTATATTTTGCAAAATTGGATAAAAAATTAAAAATTAAACCAAATATTGTGTTTTTGAGGAATATAATGCCAGAATCTTTATAATTTACAAACATTTTGAAATAATATCCTTTTAATGTTGCAATCAGTTATCTTTCTTGTAGTTTGTAACTGTAAAACAAAACATTAATTTGGTATGGCCTCAGTGAAAGTTTAAGCTTTTGTTGACACAAAAGTTGTTTAGATTTGTCTGAAGAGTCAAGACTAGGATGTTCATGCCAATATCAAAACCACAAGCAGCATTTGTTATACTCCATTTATATCTTGATGTATGTGATTTTTGTTGATTTTTTCCATTAATGGCAGGTCCATAAAAGCATTTTGTGATATTTATTCTAATATCAAATAACTTTATTAAAACATTTACATCTTTTTACACTGAGTTGTGTCATGCAGTGGAAGTTATTGCTGTGGATATGATGATGTAATCTGACAACAAAGATGGTTGGTGTTGTTGTTGATAGAGGACAATGTATGGTGTATAATGAAGGATGACGAATAGTAGAAGTCAATGGATGATGTTAAAATAAGGATGACAAATAGCAGAGGACAATGGATGATGTATAATGAAGGATGACGAATAGTAGAGGACAATGGATAATGTATAATGAAGGAGGACGAATAGTAGAGGGCAATGGATGGTGTATAATGAAGGATGACGAATAGTAGAGGACAATGGATGGTGTATAATGAAGGATGACGAATAGTAGAGGGCAATGGATGGTGTATAATGAAGGATGACGAATAGTAGAGGGCAATGGATGATGTATAATGAAGGATGACGAATAGCAGAGGACAATGGATGATGTATAATGAAGGATGACGAATAGTAGAGGGCAATGTATAATGAAGGATGACGAATATTAGAGGACAATGGTTGGTGTATAATGAAGGATGACGAATAGTAGAGGGCAATGGATGATGTATAATGAAGGATGACGAATAGTAGAGGACAATGGATAATGTATAATGAAGGAGGACGAATAGTAGAGGGCAATGGATGGTGTATAATGAAGGATGACGAATAGTAGAGGACAATGGATGGTGTATAATGAAGGATGACGAATAGTAGAGGGCAATGAATGATGTATAATTAAGGATGACGAATAGCAGAGGACAATGGATGATGTATAATGAAGGATGACGAATAGTAGAGGGCAATGTATAATGAAGGATGACGAATATTAGAGGACAATGGTTGGTGTATAATGAAGGATGACGAATAGTAGAGGACAATGGATAATGTATAATGAAGGATGACGAGTAGAAGAGGGCAATGGTTGGTGTATAATGAAGGATGACGAATAGCAGAGGGCCATAGATAATGTATAATGAAGGATGACGAATAGTAGAGGGCAATGGATGATCTATAATAAAGGATAACGAATAGTAGAGGACAATGGATAATGTCTAATGAAGGATGTTGAATAGTAGAGGACAATGTATGGTGTATAATGAAGGATGACGAATAGTAGAAGTCAATGGATGATGTTAAAATAAGGATGACAAATAGCAGAGGACAATGGATGATGTATAATGAAGGATGACGAATAGTAGAGGACAATGGATAATGTATAATGAAGGAGGACGAATAGTAGAGGGCAATGGATGGTGTATAATGAAGGATGTTGAATAGTAGAGGGCAATGGATGGTGTATAATGAAGGATGACGAATAGTAGAGGGCAATGGATGGTGTATAATGAATGATGTTGAATAGTAGAGGGCAATGGATGGTGTATAATGAAGGTTGACGAATAGTAGAGGGCAATGTATGATGTATAATGAAGGATGTTGAATAGTAGAGGGCAATGGATGGTGTATAATGTAGGATGACGAATAGTAGAGGACAATGTATGATCTATAATGAAGGATGTTGAATAGTAGAGGGCCATGGATGGCGTATAATGAAGGATGTTGAATAGGAGAGCGCAATGTTTGATGAAGGATGTTGAATAGTAGAGGTCAATGTATGATGAAGGATGGTGAATAGTAGAGGGCAATGGTTAACGAAGGATGGTGAATAGAAGAGGACAATGGTTAAGAAAGGATGACGAAAAGTAGAGGGAAATGGTTAACATAGGATGGTGAATAGTAGAGGGCAATGTATGATGAAGGATGGTAAATAGTAGAGGGCAATGGTTAACGAAGGATGGTGAATAGAAGAGGACAATGCATGGTGAAGGAAGACAAATAGTAGAGGGCAATTGTTAACGTAGGATGACAATTGGTTGAAGGCAATGGTTAACATAGGATGGTGAATAGTAGAGGGCAATGTATGATGAAGGATGACAAATGGTAGAGGGCAATTGTTAACGTAGGATGCCGAACAGTTGAGGGCAATGGTGAATACAGGATGGTGAATAGTAGAAGGCAATGGTTGACGAGGAATGGAGAATAGAAGAAGGCAATGGTTGACGAAGGATGGTGAATAGTAGAGGGCAATGTTTAACGAAGGATGGTGAATAGTAGAGGGCAATGGTTAACAAAGGATGGTGAATAGCAGAGGGCAATGGTTAACGAAGGATGGTGAATAGTAGAGGGCAATGGTTAACGAAGGATGGTGAATAGCAGAGGGCAATGGTTAACGAAGGATGGTGAATAGTAGAGGGCAATGGTTAACGAAGGATGGTGAATAGCAGAGGGCAATGCATGATGAAGACAAATAGTAGAGGGCAATTGTTAACGTAGGATAACGTTTAGTTGAAGGCAATGGTTAACATAGGATGGTGAATAGTAGAGGGCAATGGTTGACGAGGAATGGAGAATAGGAGAAGGCAATGGTTGACGAAGGATGGTGAAGAGTAGAGGGCAATGGTTAACGAAGGATGGTGAATAGTAGAGGGCAATGGTTAACGAAGGATGGTGAATAGTAGAGGGCAATGGTTAACGAAGGATGGTGAATAGCAGAGGGCAATGCATGATGAAGACAACTAGTAGAGGGCAATTGTTAACGTAGGATGACGTTTAGTTGAAGGCAATGGTTAACATAGGATGGTGAATAGTAGAGGGCAATGTATGATGAAGGATGGTGAATAGGAGAGGGCAATGTATGATAAAGGATGGTGAATAGGAGAGGGCAATGTAAGATGAAGGATGGTGAATAGAAGAGGGCAATGCATGATGAAGGATGACAAATAGTAGAGGCAATTGTTAACGTAGGATGCCGAATAGTTGAGTGCAATGGTTAATAAAGGATGGCGAATAGAAGAGGACAATGGTTAAGGAAGGATGACGTAAAGTAGAGGGCAATGGTTGACGAAGGATGGTGAATAGAAGAGGACTATTGTCAATGAAGGATGGTGAATAGAAGAGGGCAATATATGACGAAGGATGGTGAATAGAAAAGGACAAATGTCAATGAAGGATGGTGAATAGAAGAGGGCAATGGTTAACGAAGGATGGTGAATAGTAGAGGGCAATGGTTGACGAAGGATGGTGAGTGAGTGAGTGAGTATGGTTTTACGCCGCTTTTAGCAATATTCCAGCAATATCACGGCGGGGGACACCATAAATGGGCTTCACACATTGTACCCATGTCGGGAATCGAACCCGGGTCTTCGGCGTGACGAGCGAACGCTTTAACCACTAGGCTACCCGACCGCCCCCGAAGGATGGTGAAATGTTGAGGGCAATGGTTGACGAAGGATGGTGAAAAGTTTAGGGCAATGGTTGACGAAGGATGGTGAAAAGTTGAGGGCAATGTTTACAAAGGATGGTTAATAGTAGAGGGCAATGTATTATGAAGGATGGTGAATAGTAGAGGGCAGTGTATGATGAAGGGTGACAAAAAATAGAGGGTAATTGTTAACGTAGGGTGGTCAATAGATGAGGGCAATGGTTAACAAAGGATGGTGAACAGAAGAGGGCAATGGTTGACGAAGGAGGGTGAATAGAAAAGGACAAATGTCAATGAAGGATGGTGAATAGAAGAGGGCAATGTATGATGAAGGGTGTTGAATAGTAGAAGGCAATGGTTAACGAAGGATGGTGAATAGAAGAGGGCAATGGTTGTCTAAGGATGGTGAATAGTAGAGGGCAATGGTTGACGAAGGATGGTGAAAATGTTGAGGGCAATGGTTGACGAAGGATGGTGAAAAGTTTAGGGCAATGGTTGACGAAGGATGGTGAAAAGTTGAGGGCAATGTTTACAAAGGATGGTTAATAGTAGAGGGCAATGTATTATGAAGGATGGTGAATAGTAGAGGGCAATGTATGATGAAGGGTGACAAAAAATAGAGGGCAATTGTTAACGTAGGGTGGTCAATAGATGAGGGCAATGGTTAACAAAGGATGGTGAATAGTAGAGGGCAATGTATGATGAAGGACGACGAATAGGCGAGGTCAATGGATGGTGTATAATGAAAGATGACGAATAGTGGACAATGGATGGACAGATGATGGATGGTGAATTGTAGCGGACCATGGATGATGGTAATGAACTGGATCAACACAAGATTTCACAATGGTACAATTCCTTCTAACTCAGCAATCAATTCTCAATTAATTAACAAACCCCAATAAATCAGATAATGTCCTTGAATTTTGAAGTTTGCAAACAAGGGATTTGAAGCCTTATATTTAAGAAACATTCTCAGACAAAAATCAGTTTCCCATATAACCCACAATATTTCAAATTTCAGGAACCATCAATTTCTTTATTTTCCTGTACGGACACCATTTCATTCAGGTATATCGATGATAAGATATCGTTCAATAACCATCAAATAGCCAATTCCCTCCACTGATTTACATTCCTGAATAGAGCAGAACAGTGAGATCGCCTCATCTCTTTCATATTTAGATCTATGCATAGAGAGTCGTAGTGCCAAAATACTCTCCGCATGACTGTATGACAAGAAGGATGACTTCAATTTTCCAATGGTCAACTTCCCTTATTATCGAGCAATATTGCCGTCAGTGACAAACATATACGATGCACTTCCCTTTTTTGACTTATACCACATGTTCCCGTTCTTTTTCAAGTGAACATTGACTTGCCTTGGCATATGTTTGTGACGGGTGGGCAGGATCCACTCACCTTTCCGCGAACATCTGGTATCATCACTATGCACCACAAACACATACGCATGACAATAGTCGTACAATCGACTGTTTTCAGCAAACATTTCTTTAGAACATGGAAAGGGATTTGTACCTTTTATTACACACATGGTACTACCTAAACAGGTGTCAAACAAACGTGGCATGCACCTGTATGGGATTTGATTGGTTGATACGCGAACTTGGCTCCCTGGTTCTACATTAGATTCATTCACACGTTTAGAAGACTGGACACGTCATAAAGCAGATTTATTCACTGACAAAAAATTGTACACAGTGCTTTTGGGAATATATACATAAATGTATCATAATCGTATTCTGTATCCTCACCGACTGTACTGTGTGTGGTTTCAGGTACAGAGCAGATGTGTGGAGAAAAGGACAAAATAAACTGACACAATACATCTGGAGCCTGTTTCTTTTCCCTTGAAAATCTAAAATATTTGTATGACCTGCCGATCGCGATGCTGATGACGTTGTAATGCCAACTGAATATTATGTCAACAGAATTAAACATGTTGTTTTATCGGTGTACGATAAGTAGAGAAAGGGAATGAAACCCAAGTGTGTCGTGCCCCCAAATTCTTTCAGCTTTCAGATTTCCCCTTGGTTTCTTACTTCCACTGATCTCATAGTAAGGACATAATTCGTAAAAAAACGTCTATTTTATTTGCATCTAATAGTTGTGAGTACACTTATACAATGGTTAAATGTGGTTTCATTGTATGGTTCTGAAGTAACTCGAACGTTTAGCAGGTCTATTAACGTGACAGAAATGAAACAGCATGCGCCCTTTGTTGCATCGACATTCTCATAGATTAAGGGTAACCAATCAATGTTATTGACAAAATGCGTTCCTGTAATTCTCGGGTTAAGTAAAACTTATTCCACTCGGGACACAAACGTGACATGAATGGGAAGTCAGTATTATATCCTATTATCATGTAACATGGGTTGTGGATCTGGGTGTGGCAAATATTTGTATTCCTGTCTCTGTGGTCATGGTGATGTGTGTCCATCTTCTCACCGTGTGTGAGGGGACCAGTGTTAAAGTGTACCTGCAACACAAGCCAGAATATATGTCATAGGCAGCGAATCAGTGCATTGGAATCTCTCTCAGCTCCCTGGGGAGTATAGAAGTTAAAGCTGAGGTTCTCTAGTTCCCTGATCTTCGTAATATTTCTTACTTAAAGATGAAATTATTTTTTTCATTCAAATAAGAATGAAAGGACCAAAACATAAGATAAGATACTTGAATACAATTTCTGAGCAACAATTTCATAATTCTGTGAGCAAAAACAGACACTATTTCTGAGACCGTGTACTAAAATGTCCACCTGCCGACAAGGTCTTCAGCAACCCATGCTTGCCATAAAAGGCGACTATGCTTGTCGTTAGAGGCGACTAACGGGATCGGGTGGTCAGGCTCTCTCTGACTTGGTTGATGCATGTCATCGATCCCAATTGCGTGGATCGATGCTCATGATGCCAATCACTGGAATTTCTGGTCCAGACTCGATTATTTACAGACCACCGTCATATAGCTGGAATATTGCTGAGTGCGGCGTTAAACTACAACCAACCAACCTTCCGACATATCATGGTTTAACAGCAGATATAACTAGACGAAGGTCACGTTAGCGCAAAAGAATAAGGGCTGAACAGTGGTGTATTGTGTTACATAGTTTCCATTGTTTGCAAGATCCGGGTTAGAATTGGCCAGCAAACCATGCTTGTAAGAGGCGACTAACGGGATCGGGTGGTCAGGCTCGCTGTCATCGTGTCATCGTGTCCCAATTGCGTAGATCGACGTTCATGTCAATCACTGGATTGTCTGTTCCAGACTCGATTATTTACAGACCGCCTTCTTACAGTTGGCATATTGCTCAATGCGGCGTTAAACACGAAACAAACGAACAAACATTGTTTGTTATTCAGCGCGTACCTGTGTGACATGGTATACCAAAAGGCAAGAATGTGACCTCCACCAATCTACCACAGACGACTGTATGTGGTTGTTCCAACAATAGATTGATCTTAATTCAAAGTCACTATTTGTAAAACAAATATTAAAACCTACTCGCAAGTGATAATTATGGATTATTTTCCAGTATGAAATAACGTTGGTCGTCTTGAGTCTTGCCTATCACTCGGACCAGATAATCTATAACTCCTCATAGGATATTCTGTTAACGTTTATATGTCAGAATTATAAGAATTTATCATAATAGGAATTTACCTGTGAAGTATTCTTGACACAAGAACCTTTATTTCATTCAGCGCAAAGTTCTGTCCAATACAATTTCTGAAATAAACATAAAAGAAAATCATTCTCGGTTCATCATGAGTGAGTGAGTATGGTTTTACGCCGCTTTCATCTTTATTCCAGGAATATCAGGCCGGAACACCAGAAATGGGCTTCACACATTGTAGATGTGGGGAATCGAACCCGGGACTTCAGCGTGACAAGCGAACGATTTAACCACTAGACTCCTCCACCGCCCATCAGCGTAGGTGAGTGACTTGAACTACTCGCTCTTTTAAGTATTGACATATTGGCAAGGTATATGAAACACCGGTTCCTCAAATCTCTGGACTTCTTTACGATTCTAGTGTAAAATATGTCGCCAGTATTCCATGATTGCAGTAAAAGCCGCCTATCGGTGACAGGGCTGATTGTCTGTCATCAGACCCTGCCGGGTTTCGTTCACACTCTGAAGGTACTGAATACCGGGGATTAAACACATTTGGTTGGTTGTCAGGCATTACATAGAGGACTATTATAAAAGTGCTACACCCACCGTGGACCAGCCGAGAAGGGGACAAAGGCAAAAGGATCCATGCCCCTGGTATTCTCTGGTAGAAAGCGCTCCGGGCGGTAGTCCTGGGGGTCGGTCCAGACATGGGGATTCAGACCAAGGTTGTGGATGTTAACAGCCATTATCGTGCCGGCGGGAAACTGAGTACCTGGAAGTGGGCGGGAGTCATCAACATCACGGAGATTGTGTCTGGAATAATGCTACAAAACTATCACAAGAATGTTTCTTTGTTAGATCAGAAAACATGGGTTAGGTCAAGGGTAAGACAAAATATGTTGTGCGCATATAAAATTTTATAAATAAATATTAAATGCAGAAGCGGCCGAGTACTGGACAAAAATGTGTTTTCAATGAGGCTGCCCTGCCGTGCCGAACTTCTGCAAGCGCCATAGCTGGGATTCTTCATGCAAAGTTTCAGATTAATAGGCCTTGTGGTTTCTGGAAAGACGTTAAAAATGCAAAAGTTTCAGTAAGGTAAGTTAATAAGTGTCACCCACGCGCCCTGTCTGGGACCGCGTCCTCCGTATATGTACCAGTGTTTCCAAAACAGGGACTGTCTGTACATGAGACTACTGGTCTCAATACCTGGTTTAACATTAACAACAAATATCTGGTAGGTGATTGAACTTACACCTACCGTGCTTGACAAAACTAAGTGGCCATGAGACCTGTATATATCTTGTCGAGAATTAGGTACAGTGAATATTATCGTACGTTCCTCAGGATGCAAAGTATTTTTTTCTGCGTCCATTCTATACTTTCGTGCCTTACAGGACTCACATTGCAGCGTCATGTACAACCCTGTAGCTGTGTGGATGGTGCAAGGGACCTACGTTGTATTCTGTCCATATTACCTACCCTGGATGTCCATGGTCCGGGTGAGCTGTCTCTGTATCGTAGGTACTGGAGGGCACAGTCGGAGGGACTCCTTCACGCACTGCGTCAGGTACACCAGCTGGGGCAGGTGCTCCCTACAATACATCAGTGAGTGAGTGAGTTGGGTTTAATTCCGCCTTGAACAGGATTCCAGTTGTACCGCGGCGTGTCAGTTTAATATGTAAGGAAAGCCCGTAGTAGTGCAGGTCTCAGACGTTTACCGCTTTGGTGAAGCCCATGACCACGGGTCTGGTGCTGACAAACCTAGAAACATAATCGGGGCGAACCAGGATTCAATCCCATGATCATAGGTTTCTGGCGTGCCCACAGGGACGCAACTCCGACCTTAGCGACCTTAGACGACTGGGCCGACGGTGCCCCTACAAAACATCAGCTGAGAACAGTGTTCGAAATAGCTGCCTGTCCAAATGCCAGCGACTTGTAAATTGGGCTAGTAACACTTCCATCAAGCTGGTACGACTATCCAAAGGAAAATTCTTGACAATACATATTCATTTCTACAAATCATCAAGTCAATTTAGGTGTCATGTAGTTTTCATTTCGTTGTGTATGATGAGGGCTTGCGACATTTTTTGTCAACAAGCCTTTCTGGCCAAGTAACTTTGGTTACTAATTCATACACTGGCTGTGTTTTTTATTCGTTTGCCGTTTAATGCAGCACTTAGCAATATTCCAGCTATGTGACGGCGGTACGTAAATGATCGAATCTGGAACAGACAATCCAGTGATTGGGCAATCCACGCAATTGGGAGACGATGACATGCATCAATCAAGTCAGCGAGCCTGACCACCCGATCCCGTTAGCCTCGTACGACAAGCACAGTCACCTTTTACGACAAGCATGGGTTGCTGAAGACCTGTTCTACCCCGGATCTTCACGGGTTGGCTGAGATTTGTCTCACTGCAGCACATGCTGGGAAGCAGTGGGAAGACAAATTAACATGTACTGTGTGAGGAGACGGATGTACCTCACTGTAACACTGTGGCCCATGTGCTCATCGGGAGTACACGAGTCATACCACGTCCGAACACGTGCAATATATGCAGGTACGAACACCTGTACATAAACAAATTTAAATTCAAAGGAAACGTTTCCATTTAATAATCTGACAGTTTGAGTATTTTAAATATTTAGGTGTTAAGATTGTGACAACTAATGTGTTTTTGTTGTGTTATATAATTAGGTTGACACACAAACAGACATGGTGTAGCACATAGTTTACGCGTGAAAGCGGAAGACGGAGAAATGCTGTAGATATGACGTCATATACCACTCAACATAATCCAGGGACTGCCCAGCGAGGACTCTGTCGACTTCCTGTTGAACACGTAATTGGTGATCCGGGTACTTGGCCAGGTGGTACAGAAGCCAGCTGATCCCACTAGTGGTGGTATCATGACCTTTGACAACAACAACAACAACAACACTGACAACAACAACAACAACAACACTGACAACAACAACAACAACAACACTGACAACAAGAACAACATGAAGGAACTGGTGCTGACCAAGTCAAAGTGAATTCAATATTACATATGTCCTGCATTCTGAGTGAGGTGCGGGGCTGGGACATTGGTTCGAGACAGGATATTTTTTCGGTTACTTCTTCATTGAAAACGGCAAAACCCGTTCCATAATCGTAACAAACCTCTGCTGAAAGTGAAACACGTTATTGGTTTATTGAAGGAGGAACCAACTAGTATCAATGGGATGAAACATTCCTGTGATGTATCCATGGTAACACGGTCTATCTGAAGTATTAATGGTAACAAAACATCTATTTGGTATCTATGGTAACGAACATTCACATGGAGTATCTTTGGTGATAAACATTCGTGTGAGGTGTCCATGGTAACAAAGGTCCTTTTGAAGTAACAATGGTAACAAACATTCATGTTAAATATCCATGGTAACAAACATCCATTTGGCATCCAGAGTAACAAACATTCAGTTGAAATATCCATGGTAACAAACATTCGTTTTAATGTCAATGGAAACACCTTTAGTAAGGCATTTGGTAAAGCCAGTTGAAGTCAACAAGCATAATATCAGCTCTCTGAAATTTCACTTCGCTGAAAAGATGATGCTAAACACTTTCCACTGTTGGAGAATATTGTATAAATTCCAACTGAAACAAGATAACTAAATGTTCAACTCCAGACCACGCACTGAACGACACATTCTAATAAAGATGAAGCTCGCTGGGTCTTGTGGTTCAATGGGATATTCTAAAAAAAGTATTTTATTAAATTTTACTGGCATGAATAAACATGAATACCATCGTTTTGCTATATATTTGTGTTTCAGATTTCTTGACCTTGTGGCTTCTTAGAAAATTCTTCAAATAATTCAAAGTTGTTTTTTAAAATATTTTTATTGTAAATTGTTGTAATGTTTTCAACGACATGTACACATCTGAGTAAATAGAAATATCCACACAAATTACAAAAATACAATCCCCATAAAGTTTGTTTCGTAATGAAAAGAACCGGCATATTTTTAATATGGTCACATGCTTCGTGATTTAAAGTGTCAGGTTCAAATGAAATTATGGCGGGTTCTTATCATTACGATGTTAACTTTAGGCGGATTATGTTTTTGTAAAATGGGCGTCTATTTCTAGTGTGTACATTTTCCACAGTTTGATAGCTCTCTGCGGGTTTTCTGCGGGTTTTCTTAGGTAGGCCTGAGTTAGGGGAAAAAGAAAGACAGACGACAGAGAACACAGTTTCCCAGAACACATACCACTAATGTTATAAATCCTATTAACGCCGTCGAAGTACCCAACACGATGCAATGTGTCGGACCTACCTGCGAACAAGAACGTGTCCACTTCATTCCGCATCTCCCGAAATGTGAGTCCATGTCCATTCTCATCTTTAGCCATCAGCAAGATATCTATAAAGTCGTGTTGTTGTTTTGATTGTACACGCTGAAAAAGAGGAGGCCTGGACGTTCATACCCTCTACACACACGAGACACGCGTGATGCAACCCATTGATCACTCTGTGGAATCCGTCCGCCGCGAGTGTGCATCCCGAGTACCACGCGTTAGACGCGCCGGTTCAACTTGTGAAAAACACGTGGCCCATGCGTTCGGTACGCGTGTGAGAAGCATGTATTCTTGTCAGAGTGAGCGAGTTAAAATTTTAAGTCACATCGGCAATATTTCAGCCATATCGTGACTATCAATAGTTAAACATAATACATATATTGAATCTTACATAAATACCTGCCAACGAAGGACAGTAAAATAACTAGACTTATCACAGAAAAATATTTAAAACTAGTATGGAATCATAAAATTGATAACATCACGGTATAAAAACGGTCTGTAGATCGCCAGCAACTGAAGGTAGATCACCATACTAGGTACCATGGGGACTTACAGTACTTTAGCTTCCTGCATGGAACCCAGCAGGATTTACATCATCCCTTCAGCAACTGGTGATTGTACGCAAAGTTAGCCACAATTAAAATGACAAATATACTACGTTTAAAAGAGTAGTAGGCAGAACTATTCTTTGAATGAAATGGACTTACTATATCCTCTCTTACTATATCCTCTCAGGGGGACAATAATTTTACACTACGTCAACCCCCTTTGAGGATACTGCCAGTAACAAACACAGATATAAATTCATTCTACCAATTTTAAAAGGTCATTCATTTTATACAAGACATATAATCAAAATTTACTATACAATTCTATTTCTTTTAAAAATCCAATCATTAAATGAGAATTAATTTTGTTAAAAAAGATCCTTTAGAGAGGATGATTTGAAATATTTATCGCTTGTGATGGCAAAATCAATACAGTCAAGCAGGACATGCTTGACTGTGATTCCCTCATCACAAGGGATACAAAATGGAGGATCTTCACCTTTTAATAAATATTCGTGACGATATCTACTATGGCCAATACGACATCATCGTAAAATGACCTCTTCAAATCTTGACTGACAACCCAAGTAGGTGTAACCGATATTTGGTACTTTATTGATACCTTATTCTTGTAAGAGGTATCCGGGGTAGAATTTGTCTTCAGCAACCCATGCTTGTCATAAGAGGCGACTAACGGGATCGGGTGGTCAGGCTCGCCGACTTGGTTGACGCATGTCTTGTAGATTGCTGATCCTTAACTTGTTTTGAATAGAATACTACACTGTCCTCGCAATCCGCAATCAATTCTGAGTGGCTATGCGTCGCGAGTTACCAAGAAACAGTATTTTAAATGTACCGTCCATTTCCAAGTCCAACCAAATACTTTCAATATCTACAGCGTAGGCAATACAGGTGATAACTTCATATTGCATTGCAGAACACAGTTGCAGTCAGTGTACCCACCTTGGTAGCTTTTCGTTTCTGTATGATGTCCTCGGCGAATCGGTGCACATATTTGCAGTGCCTTAGAAACTTTTTCCCGTTGCTGGTCCTGTAGTAGACGAGGTCGAGGTACAGCAGAGGGTTGCTGTGGATGTTTAAGATGCTGCCTTTAGACGTGGTGTTCATTTTAGATGCTTCGTGCACCCTCTCCAGTTTTCACACATGTTGGCAGAAACTCTAACAAAGGCCTAACAAAGCGACATCTGCCTGGACAGGATCATCGTCGCATTACATTGCACTACGCACCAGATTCTGATATGCTCCTATTATCAATAGACAATTCCGTACAAAACAGGAAGGCGAATTTCAACATATACCGTTAAAACCAACCCGAAGGCAAGGCGTGACGGTTACAGCTTACCCTAGACGGCACAAATTGGGGTGGGATAGACAAGACAGGGTTACACCATGTTCACAGACGAATCAAGGTTTTGCCTCCGATTCACAGATGTAGAAGAACACGATGTTGGCGACGGAGCCGCGAGCGGTCTGCCATAGCAACAGTACTTGACCATCTCCAGATGGGGGCGGAAGTACCATAATGTGGGGCGGTATCACACATGACTGATTTAGTTATTGTGAATGGACATTCGACTGGCCAGCCATATGTTGACGAAATTTTGCCTCCTGTCGTTGGGCCTAGTAGTTAAAATGGTGGAATACTGCTAAAAGCGGTGTAAAACCATACTCACTCGCTCCATTCGGTAGAATTATCGGCAGAAAGTTTGAATCACCGATTATCTCCGACGAGAAGGCATAGGGACATTGGGCCCGCTAAGTACCCTGACATGTCCCCCCAAAAGCATAGATCTGTGGGATGTTCTCGGGCAGAGAGTGTACGCCAGAGACGAACCACCCGCCAGCGTGGCCCAGCTTGAGGCAGCTCTTCAGACGGAATGGCGGGCAATACCAAGGGCAACCATACACAAGTTAATCAACACCATGCCATCAAGGTGTCATGCATGTATCGCCCAACGTGGTGGACACTCCAGATATTGATCTTCACGTTCGAAATTAATTTACAGACATTTATCATCATTACACCTTCAATATCATTTCATCAGTTCCCTTATGTTTGTCGGTAGTTCATATTCTTCATAACATCGCCAACAATGGCCACAGTGGGGCAGATGGTGTGCATAACAATAACTTACAATCTTTATCTTCAAAAATACTTCCGTTGGATAACTATTCTTACCTTTTTAATTTAATTGACAATCGAAATGTATGATGAAATCTGTACTCCATTGTAATGCTCACCTTAGCTACCCAAACAGGCGCAACATTTCACACATAGAATATAATGTAGGTTGCACCGTACATGCGCTGTTAAAATGTTATAATTACTCAATTCATCTGTAAACTATTGTTAGTAACTGTTGTATCCTTTGTATAATCATACAGAAATGTACTTCACATCATGTTTCAGATCACACGACCCTGCGGTTTTTTCGCTGACATTCTTTAAGATTCTTTCACAATTAAACTAAGCAACTAAAATGTTTATTTTAAAGCGATGATAACATTCCATTCAGATCTTTGAGCTAGACATCATCCGACAGTTTCAGGTTCATCTCTTAACCGCTTTAATAATAAGGGAAGAAGGAGAAGTTAATGAACCAGAGGACGGACAGACGAGCCAATATAACGGTGACAAGCGCCCTGATTATATGACTACACGAACATTAGCTTTCAGGTGTTCATCGACGTGTACAGCATGAGTGCGACTCATGTGCCCCAAGACGCAAGGCTTGTTAAACGAAGTTATTGTTACTCATAACTCTACACTTTCTAAGCACTGTTAAGAAACAGTTTTTTCAACTCATATTTCATTTTTGCAGGGATCAGACTGTTTGCACAAGTCCTGTTTTACTCCTGTAACCTGAGACGTCAATTATTCACACTGTCTAAAAGAGCTAATATCTCACTAAACGGAAACTGGGTCGCCCTTTCCCGCATAGCAATATGCTGTAGGCTTGTTTCCGTCCTTTTCGACCGACAGACCCTCTTCACGGAAATGGGTCAACGTTTCACCGCAGCGAAATGCTGTATGGGGAAAGAGGTCGGAGAGAGATACACTGGTAACCTGCTCCTCGCTTCCTAGCGGCTGCAGGCGAGGAGCGCAAGCGCTAGCGCTCAAAACCAGTTTAGAACAGGACGTGGACGTTATGATAGTTGCCGAAAAACATAAACATATTTAGCGTAATAATTAACAGAAAGGAATGTTTTGAAAAACATTTTCATGAATATTTGTGTATTTAGAATGTACGCATATCATCATTACACACATGTGAGACAAAAATAAAATTTTGGTTACATCTATCCAACGATTACCCATCCCCATGGCCCATGCCCCCGTGTAATTTTCTCCAACCCATAGCAAATAAGGCGTGGGGCCCTGCAATTACCATTAGGGAGGTAACTCTCATACAGAAGTATGGTTCATGGCTTCAACTTTATCAATATCTGCAAGTCTCCATGAGCAGATCTACTTCATTATACAATAATATTACAACATCGTAGCTATTACTTTGAAAAGATTATTATGAAAAAAATATGAATACCTTTATCATCGTAGCTATATCAATGTCAACAGTATCATGTATACTACTGTGATTGTGTCAACTTAATACCCAATGTTCCTTGAAACCAATAACAAATGTTTCAGGAAGTTCTGAAAACATTTTACTTGTTTGGTTTTCACAATATGTTTGTTTTCTACTTTTATATGACATAAATATTTAAACTGAAATGTGCAATATTCTCATTCCTAATTCTGAAATTCACGGGACAAACTTTAGTGTGTTAAAATTGTTAAAACTAGTTCGTGAAGTTTGACAAACTGTTGTCGAGAATTGGAATTGGTCTCCTTTTTCACCAATATGTTGGCCAACCTTGTTCTTAAACTCGATTTGGACGCTTACAACGCTTTCAACCAATCAGATACTGCATAGATATCACGTGAATTTTACTTTCGTCTGCTAGAAAATGGCGTCGGCTTATGGGAGAAGATAAGAGAATCGAGAATCTAAGGACTTTTTTGGAGTTTGCCAACCTTGTGTGGCAAGGTCACTACAACACCGCAACCTGTTTTTGCCTGCGTGAAGCCCCCAAGACCATATCAATACTCACAACGCACGGTCGCCCCATAGTCGGATCATCTCGTTCACTGCTTGTACATACGGGTGTCTTTCCCTGGAACAAGTGTGGGCAAGGGCAGTGAGCAGAACGCTGAAGGTAACGCTCGCCAGGAGTTTCAATGACTTAAAGAATTGTCATTTCATTGCTGGCGGAAGTCATGTGCTATAAGTAACAGATAATGTGAATTATTATAAGCACCACTGTAAGCGAGTGTTTATTTGTTTGTTGTCTAACGCCGCACTCAGCAATATTCAAGCCACATGACGACTGTCTGTAAATAATAGAGTCTAGACCAGACCATCCAGTGATTGACATCATGAGCATCGATCTAAACAAAGGGGATATGATTACATACATAAAGCAAGTCAGCGAGCCTGACCACCCGACTCTGTTAGTCGCCTCTTACGGGTAAGGGTCGTTTTACGGCGCGTCAGACTTCTCGCGTATTAGACCAAGGTCGCGCGAACGCTTTAATTTAAAGGCAACCAGTCCGAAGCCTCTACAATGTAAATGCAAAGCTGTTTATGTAAGTGGATAAATCAACAGGCAGACGGGCATATGGAAGTCGATGAAAAAAATTCAATCAGCAAAAAATATTTCAGTTCCATTTCATTCTTATTTCGAAGTGATTACACGTGTCATTGGTGCATACGTGGTTGGCAGTTGATTGCATTGAACACCATAAGTGTGGCACAGTAAAGTCCATATGTCGGCAGTCTGTTAATAATCGAGTCTGGACCAGACAATCCAGTGATTGATACCATGAGCATCGATACACATAACTGGGATATGATGACATGCATCAACCAAGTCAGTAAGCTTGACCACCCGATCCAGTTAGTCGTCTCTTACGACAAGCATGGGTTGCTGAAGATCAATTCTACCCCGAATCTTCATAGGTAGCCCAATTTGGGTCCCTCTTACGACCAGCAATGAGATGTTGGGGACACATTCTACCCCGGGTCTCCACGGTTTTATTTTTAGTCATGTAATGAAACGAGTCCGTGTGTAACTCACGAAAGTTAAATGAGTGAGTTGGGCTTCACGCCGCTTGAGCAGTATTCCAGTTACATCACGGCGTGCCAGCGTGATGTGGGAGGAGTGAGTGAGGTCTAAAGCCGTTTTTAGCAATATTTCAGCAATATCACGACGGGGGACACCAGAAATGGGCTCCACACATTGTACCCATGTCGGGAATCGAACCCGGGTAACCACTAGGCTACCCGACCGCCCCTGATGTGGGAGGAAAGCCTGATGTGATGCAGGTCTCAGACGTTTACCACTTTGGTGAGACCCACGAGCACGGATAAGGTGCTGACAAACATAATCGAGGCGAACCGGGGGGCAAACCCACGACCATAGGTTTCAGTTGTACCCAAGGGTCATAACTCTGCACAGCGAAGTACGGCGCCATAGACAACTGGGGAACACGTGCCCCGAAAGTCAAATGAGTCCGACGTGCGTGGCTAACCCTACCTCTGCCTGAAATAGTAGCAGTGTGTAGAGTAGATGGTTGCTGCACATGTTGTGTGTGTGATGTGACGTGTGTTTTCACGGAAGATTGAGGTACGTAGGGTATACAAGCCCCTGAGGTGCTGACGATGTAAGCCCATTTTGCTCACTCTGTTTGACAGTTGGTCCTATGTGAGAAGGCACACTGCAGGAGGACGTCTAGGGAGTACAGCGCCACTGTGCTGAAACACTCGAAGGGTTCACCCGTCTTGCTTAGCCTGTTCATCTTACCCTGCAATAGGTGATTGAGTGAGTGAGTGGGTGGGCATGGGAAGAGAGAGAGAGAGAGAGAGAGAGAGAGAGAGAGAGAGAGAGAGAGTGTGTGTGTGTGAGTGAGTGAGTGAGTGAGTATGGTTTTACGCCGCTTTTATCAATATTCCAGCAATATCACGGCGGGGGACACCAGAAATGGGCTTCACACATTGTACCCATGTCGGGAATCGAACCCGGGTCTTCGGCGTGACGAGCGAACGCTTAAACCACTAGGCTACCCGACCGCCCCGAGAGAGAGAAAGAGAGAGAGAGAGAGAGAGAGAGAGAATCTACAACACGGCTCTAGCCCAGTTTATGTCCACTAAAAATGAAGATATTTTAAGAATCTTGAATAAAGTCTACAGAACTAAGAAGAGTGATAGAACACAATAACACTGTCTCTCTTTTGTAACACTATGTGATATTGGCCGCTGGGCTACATTCCTTTGTGAATAAATATAAATTCAATGCATATGTGTCACAATATCAAACAGTTATAGTTTGAATATGACGGTACTCGCCAGTAACACGTCGGCTGCTTGGTTGTAGACTTGCATGTACCGGCGCAAGATGAGGAAATGAAACGCCGGTGTCAGCAGGCGCCGTGTCCGCTCCCATCTCATCCCGTTTGAAAACAGAAGACCTTGTCCAAGCCATGGCATCCCCATCTCCATGGGCATCGAGATGTAGCGGCTGTGAGGCTTCGGTTCTGGGGAGACGGAATAGAGAATGCCACCCTGGCTTAGGGACCGACCCTTAAAATTATCCCCGAAAATGTTTGAAAATTATAATTATGCATCAGACTGCGGGTAAAAACACAAATTGTCTGCCTCAAAAATTACATTGCTTTTAATATATATCAGGCTCGTAGTTTTAATTTAACAATATCTGGATTTGCATCTATAGGTGAACAAAATATCTAGTCTCCAAACAAAATCCCAGCAGTTCCAAGGAGTAATGCATGAGGCCTTAAGAATAAAATATTATAGAAACGGCCATTCAAAGTGTATCAAACTTTCTACACTTGATAATAGACACATAAGGTCAGACTTTATATTTTTCTAATTAAAAGTTAAACTATTTGAATTTGTAGATTTGTTTGTTTCCTGTTTAATGCTACACAATATTCCAGCTATATGAAATAATCGAGTCTGGACCAGAAAATCCGTGATTGATAACATGAGCAATGATCCACGCAATTGAGATACGATGACATGACTCAACCAAGTCAGCGAGCCTGGCCACCCGTTAGTCACCTCTTGCGACAGGCATGGGTTGCTCAAGACTTATTCTCTACTCGTCGCTTCACGTGCAGGAGAGGTGTTTACCTCAAACACATTAATACAATGGTGAGTTACCTGAAGACTTGAGGATAAGTTTGACCGTGTCTGGGTGGTGGACAACGATGAAGGGCAGGAGAGATCCTACCCATACCCTCACGAACATGGGGAACTTCTTAACGAGGTCAAGGTTGTAGGCAACACCCTCTTCATTTGGACCCGGAAACTAAATGGAATTGAAACTTCATCATAAAGTGAGTGCCAATACTAAAACGTGTTTAGTAGTCACAGAATACTAGAAACTCGAATATTGGAACATATTCAGAAATAATACCAACCAATTCATTTCAACCTATTTATCCAAAACAGAATGGAATTAATTCAAAACTTCATGATAATGTGAGTGCCAATCCATAATTCTTGAATACTAAAACGCATTTTGTAGTTACAGAATACTAGAAACTAGAATACTTGAACATATTTAGTAATATTACTAACCCATTCATTTCAACATTCTCCCGACAAGTACTGCCTAATTTGTTGTCGCTGAACGCTTCTGTAAGTGGTAACCAGATTAGTAGTCACTGACCATATGTGTTAAAACGTATTCAGTAACTGAGAAGGTATTCCGAAACACGTTGTCAGAATACTGAACAGGTAGTTGGAAATCTTTATTGTAATCATTGAAGTGTAACTTTTAGTTTGGAAACTTATTGAACCCGATTTGATCGTTGTGTATGTAGTATTTTGTACTCAGGATGCACACGGTCCTGTAGCATAAGATACACCATTGGCTAAATGACTTTCCGTTTTACATGCAATCAGAACATCCGCATCTGAAACCCTGAACATCCGGGTGGAATTGGTCTTCAGCATCCCATGCTTGCCTTAAGACTTGGTCGATGCATTTCTATCTTATCGCAACAACTACATAGATCGATGCCCATGATGCCAATCTCTGGATTTCTTGGTCAAGAGTCGATTATTTACAGACCGCCGTCATATAGCTGGAATATTGCTGAGAGCGGCCTTAAACGACAAATAAACCAACCTTGTGAAGATTGCCATATATATAACTGTAGTCTTCCTCTCCCGGACATCCATGAAATAGCTGGCGTAATTTCCACAACCTTCCGCATCGCCACATACATTTAACCACCACGTATCCAAGCACAGCCGCCAACACCACATGCCAAGCACATACGGCGATGAACATTGCAGGGCAGGTAACACCAAAATGACAATATTCTGCTTCTCTTTACGCATATATAATGAAACGGGGGTGTCACATGTCAACTCACTTGATGCCACACAGAGTTAGTTAATAACCACGTATAGCATTTGGGACCGGATGCGAATTCTGCATTTTTAATTGACAAAATGCAATATATACTTAACGGTACAAACAATCATTAATTAAATTAAACAGCATGGGAAGCAACACGTGGACAGGTGCGGTTAAACATTAGCAATTAGACAAAACACGTAGGGGTGGCTTTGCTATCAAGAATCCAATATAAAAATTTAATGTAATATAATGAATTCTGTTCAAACAATAGCTGTAATAAATGGATAAAATGTTTGGAAAGTATTTGTAATGAAACCGACTATAGTTTTTGTTGGTTAAGCCTACAAGCAGTCTTCCTAATGTCCTTAAATCTACAATTTCTTACAGATCGTCTGATACAGCATCTCCAACATCGAATGCAGAGATTACAAATTCCTTTGCATATTTAAAACTGAGCTCGTCTTTGAAAAGTATTTATTATTTATCCCTTTCTCTTTGACTGTAAAATTTAGAGCCTCATGCCATCATTTAAGGTAGGTGGCACAAAATTCATGTCCATGAACGAAACTGGTTATAGACGAACGCGACATGAGCGATGTTGGTGAAGAATTCCATTATATTTTTCTTTCTAAATTTGTTAAACGCCAACGGAAAATATAAATGCCCCAATTTCATATGCTAAAAAATGTCTAAATTTAAAGAACGTTTTAATTGTAAAAAAATAAGTGTTATAAAAAATATATGTACATTCTGTAATGTCATTATGAAAACTGTAAAATCTTCCATGTAAACCATCCCGCAATCTTATGTATTTACTGTTTTGTAAATTTGTACCTCATGTGCCGTGGATCCCGGCCTGAGTGGAAATAAAGCTCTGTTCTGTTCTGTTCTGTTCTGCTGGTTAGACAAAGCAGGCATGTTGGTCAATCCTTTCTATTGTAAGCACACGTGGCGCGAAACAATGCCAGTATGGGTCTTAAGGTCACTGGGGGCGGCCGGGTAGCCTAGTGGTTAAAGCGTTCGCTCGTCACGCCGAAGACCCGGGTTCGATTCCCGACATGGGTACAATATGTGAAGCCCATTTCTGGTGTCCCCCGCCGTGATATTGCTGGAATATTGCTAAAAGCGGCGTAAAACCATACTCACTCACTTAACGTCACTGTACAACGCAAAATCAGGATTACATGCAGGTACAGATGTGCGCGTTGTGCACAATACTCGCATGTAAAACTAGAGAGACAGTACATGAGTACTGGGTGACCTATAGTTTAAAACATTTCAGGGCTAAACACACTTTCAGTTTTATTCTAAAACCCATTTCTCCAGCAACTCTCCACGCTGGGAACGGTCTCAGTTGAGGGTATTTATATTTCAATTTGCTCTTTTAATGGCCACATAGGAAGGAAAATGGAGAAAAGAAAACAATGCCAGGATTAGTTAGTTGCTCGTCATTTATTGTGTATATGGTCCAGATCCCTTCCTGCAAATGACATCCTTTGACTTTATTCAGACAAGGAACACAATGATATGTGGCCTTCATAGCCAGTTAGTATTCACCACATGTCAGCTCATGTCGGACCCCAGGCTCTGTACTACAACTTAGTGAGTGCGTTGGGTTCAACGCCTTGAACAGTATTCCAGTTGTATCACAGCGTGTCAGCTGAATGTGGGAGGAAAGCCCGAAGTGTTGCAGGTCTCAGACGTTTACTCTTTGATGAAACCCACGAGTATGGATATGTTGCCGACAAACCTAGAAACAGTATCGAGGCGAACCGGGATTCGAACCCACGATCACAGGTTGCTAGCGTGCCCAAGGGACGCAGCTCTGCACGGCGACTTTGACGACTGGGTCACCCGTGGCCCCAACTCCAACTTTGTAACCATCAATTGCTCATCTTTAATACTATATATGGTCCAGCTACTTTCCTTCAAAGAGACAGTCTTTATTCAGCCAAGGATGGTGGAACATCACAGTCTTGCACATCGAGGATGTGCGTCAGGTCGGAATGTGAACATCACTGTCGATTCCCTTCTTTCTCTATTTATATACATGTCAAATCTGTGATATGTTCATTAATAGATGCACGGACGTGGGTGTTGACAACATCTGGAGCATACAGCCTGTTTATTCTATACATACTGGTTTACTGACTGATCCGGGAACAACTATCAACGTAATCATGGAAATTCATATGAATATCCACACACTTTTAATAAAATGTCAATGGAAATAAATGATGAAAAATGAGCGGATGCCTACCGTGATTTCATTTGCATATTAATTTAATCAAAAACAAATATGCTATTATTAATTATGATATTGCGATGAAGCTGCATTGATTCGGGTAGCCCAGTGGTTAAAAGCGTTCGCTCGCCACGACGAAGACCCGGGTTTAATTCCCGACATGGAAGCCTATTTCTGGTGTCCCCCGCCGTGATATTGCTGGAATATATCTAAAAGCGGCGTAAAACGATACTCACTCACTGCAAAATGTCAAACGCACTTGTTAACATAAGTTTCATTCTAAATTCTCGTGGTGGTGGTCATTTGATATATTCTGGCTTTAGGTATTCAGTTATGACTACGAAAGGTACCAGAATTCACGGGAAGTACTGTCTGGCAGGTTGTCCAGCAACCATAAACACATTCAGTGACGTTTTAAGTAGTTCTAGAGATGACCATGACCACTTCGACACCCAAGGGCCACGTACGGCCAACCACGTAGAGGGATGGCATTCCAAAATCGTGAAATTGTCAGCAAGCCATCTCAGCAAGTATAAATTCATTGACTTGATAAAGAAAGAAAAATCCAAAATTTGAAATTACACTGTGCCAGTTACGGACGGGCAGTTCCATCCGTCTGCTGCGGGGAACATATTCTGCCATTGAATATGGAGATGCTGTTTCCCATCTTGATGGTAGTCCAGTGTAAAAAATGACTGTATATGTTATGCTGATGTGAATAATACATGAATATTGTGTTGTACATACTGATTGCCTGGCTGCTCTATTTGTGATTAAAATATGAATACCGAATGATAAGAATGAAATATAAATACATCACCATAATTATGTGACGTGAATACAAAAATCACTATGACATTTACTATTACTTTTCATTATTTGGCTGGCTATAGGCTACAGGCCGACACAGACTACAATCTAATGCCCTATTGTTTCGGGGGTCATCACCCCCACCCCGCGGAGTTACACACTGTATTCTAGAGGTAGGCCAACATATCTTCCATAGAAACACAAAAACTAATACCTCAAGTACACGTATGTATCCACCGACCTGGGCCAATGGCCTAAGAAAACTACTTGACTTGAAGTCATACTTCTCCCCACCGCTCCGAGGCAAGGGAGTTAACTGACTATAAAATATCCAGTTTTCAAGTGGAAACTGAGGGTCCTGACAGTACGAGAGTGTCCTGACAGAACGAGAGCGCCCTGTTAGTACGAGAGCGTCCTGTTATTACGAGAGTGTCCTGACAGTACGAGAGTGTCCTGACAGTAAAAGAGCGCCTTGCTAGTACGAGTGTCCTGTTAGTACAAAACTGTCCTGTTAGTACGAGAGTGTCCTGTTAGAACGAGAGTGTCCTGACAGTACCACAGTGTCCTGACAGTACAAGAGCGCCCTGTTAGTACGAGAGTGTCCTGTTAGTACGAGAGTGTCCTGACAGTAAAGAGCACCCTGCTAGTACGAGAGAGTCCCGACAGCACCAGAGCGTCCTGACAGTACAAGAGCGCCCTGACAGTCATTTGATTCCTAGCAGAACACTGCCATGGCTGGACAACAGCATACTGTAACATCTTCTTGGGATGAAATAGCATGACATGTTGATGGTCCTCCAGACCATCCATCACCTTAACCAAACAGGGATGGAATGGAATGGAATAAAATCTATAGTAATCTATTTATGAGTATGTATTCATTGGTATGCATGAATTGGTGTTGACAGATGGTAAGGGTGTTAAGCAGTGTACCAATTAGTTTCCAAAGTTCACTGGCCAGGAGGCTTTGCCAACAAAAAGTGTTGCTAGACCTCACCATATTTTACAAGGAAAAATCACTTCAATAAATTATGAAATGATAACAAAATGACAGCAGACTTTGACATTAAATGACGTCTTAACTGACTTAAATATGTCATATTGATGTGTATTGACAACAGTTTTCAACCAGACAGTCAGGCCAGCTGGAAATGCTAGAAAACTGATATTTTGCCCTTAAACAAAACAGATATGGAAGATGTTTTATTTAAATACCTCATCAAAAAGGTTTGTCTTAGGGTGGGTGTGAATAATTTGAATATGCCTCATTTCTATATGCAACTTTAAAGGAGGGATTTTCCTTCAAAATAGATGTTTTATTATTTTTACTAAGTCCAATGAAGAAAATCAGAAACATACTATAGATTTAAGAAAATGTTTTGTATCCCATAATAATATTTTGCGAACCTAATGGTATATTGTGTATATGGTATATACAATGGTCATTGTGTTGCACGCTGGAACCTGTGAAAAAGGGGTGTGACTTTGTCTTTGAGGCTCAAAAGGCTAGCGGAACTTTAGCCTGGTATAAAGTCACTGGCATTTGGCTAGTGGGCAGGCAGTTATTTCTTGCCTTGGCCCCACTCCATCCTGTCTAATTGTGTTCCACTACATCTAGTCTAGTTACTTGTGGTCATTTGTATTATTTTACTTACTCATCGAGTACCTAAAAAGTTTTTTAAAAAAACCCTGACTATCAACCATGTTGTATTCAGTTATCTTAGATACATCTCAAGATGCATCAATAACTATTGTATATGTTGCCTGTATATCAGTGTCTGCAGAATATACTACTATTGTACAACTTATCCATGTAACATACACCTCAACAATTTGTAGAAAATAAGATATAATTTATTCATATTTGTTTTTACAATAATTGCAAATAATATCTTCAAACAGACATCAAGTTTTCTCAGCAGTGATCAGTCTCCGGATTAGTGGAATCAACATGTCCTCTAAAAAAAACATGGGGAAACTTTCGTCAAATACAGCAATGAATAGATATACCCACAAGCATTGAGCAAGACATGTTTCTTATTCAATCAGTCATCTTGACCAAAGACAACTGTTTGACTTTTCCATAAAATTAATGCTGTGTTATGAATTATTACATTCCAAGTATTGATCCACATTGAAAAACACACCTTTCAGATCTAGAGCTGGATCTTCAAGTTTCTTCTGTAACATGTCTGCCAGTAAATATCGAAGTTCCTTGAATATAACACCCGTCTTTGCCTTTGCCTGAAAAAGTAGATCCGATATAACACTTATATCAAATGCGGACACTTTGGTTCACATACATCAGACATATAAAGTTATATCAGACATCAGACATATAAATATACTGAACAATTGAACCATTGAGCAGAGATATGGTGCTGACAAACCAAGGATAGTAATCAAGGCATGTGTGATGTTCGAACCATCCAACAGCACTTGTTGTCATGGTAATGGTACACAACACTGCAAAGTTAGAGATGGCGACAGGTACCAGGGATACGGGGTACTGACCTTGAACTGTATCCACGTATCTATGGAGACAGCCTGCTGGGTGTGCTGCACGTCGATGTCGCCCCCAAACAACATGAGTGGGTATGAGGAGGTGAGGGTGGAGTCACGCAGGTACACCCGCGACAGCTTCACCTGCACAACAAGGTGATCACTTGCACATTTCAATAAATATGGAGCACCTAAGCTTCATCTGGCATCAGAAATATTTGTGTGGTATTTGTAAGCTCTCTTTCATTGTGAGAACATAGTCTGACTTTTCACAAGAACCTGCTGTATGTTGTTTTATCACAAGTGCATTGGTATTTTGTATTATCACAAGTGCATGGTATGTTGTTTTATCACAATTGCATGGTATGTAGTTTTATAACAAGTGCAAGTGCATGGTATGTTGTTTTATCACAAGTGCAGTGGTATGTTGTTTTATCACAAGTGCATGGTATGTTGTTTTATCACAAGTGCATGGTATGTTGTTTTATCACAAGTGCATGGTATGTTGTTTTATCACAAGTGCATGGTATGTTGTTTTATCACAAGTGCATGGTATGTTGTTTTATCACAATTGCATGGTATGTTGTTTTATAACAAGTGCAAGTGCATGGTATGTTGTTTTATCACAAGTGCAGTGGTATGTTGTTTTATCACAAGTGCATGGTATGTTGTTTTATCACAAGTGCATGGTATGTTGTTTTATCACAAGTGCATGGTATGTTGTTTTATCACAAGTGCATGGTATGTTGTTTTGTCACAAGTGCAGTGGTATGTTGTTTTATCACAAGTGCATGGTATGTTGTTTTATCACAAGTGCAGTGGTATGTTGTTTTATCATAAGTGAAAGGTTTTTATCAAAGCTGACAAGAGCTAGGACTTCGAGGGAACAACCAATCTCAATGTTATTCACTATTTTGACCACTCAGTCTACATTTGGTCGAAGGTTAAAAGCCTGACAATTGACACTGCCATAAGGACTTGTGCTGAATCAAGGGTACATTTCGAAAAACAGTGAGACTATTAACTGGAGCCTTTGTCACTTGATATCCAACCACTGACAATGTTTGTCTTGGTAGATCCATCTTTGTGCTCATAACACAAACTGATCGTATTTAACGACACATCTGATAAATTGACACATGACCGCCTGTGTGGTATCTTGAATCCATCAATGTTTTACACTTTCAACTTCTCAGAAATGGCTTGATGGCTTCACACTGTGAATTGAAGTAATGGTGATTGCTCCCGCTAACATGCTGGAAGATTACCAGAGTCAGAAGTAAACTGAAAATCTTAGTAAAATCTAAATATTTTTTATTGGTATACTTATCCTGCATTACTCCTTAATGCATTCACTGCTTACCTGCTGACAACTAGATGGACAGTGCAACTGAGAAGGTCCTGGGTGAAGAAATAAAGTTGTTGTTCTGAAGTCCCTTTACTGACCTTCCGTCGCTGTCCTGTGACCTTGATGACACCTAAGGTCATCTTCTTCACATTACTGCCTGTCGCCCGACCTCTTAGAAAAACATACTTTTGAGGTTTCTGAAGCCAAAGTGGGGAGGCAAGTCTAACGACGGGTGGGCCTTAAACGTAGTAATGCAGGATAAGTATACAAATGTAAATAATATTTAGATTTTACTATTTTTTTTACTATCCTGCATTACTCCTTAATGCATCTGTATCGGACGGTTTGGAGGTGGGTAAACCTTCAGAATACAGAAACCTCAATAATTCACACCCTGAAATACGACACCAGTTGGTCGATAAACCGTGAAGAAGAAGAGTTCAGAAAAACACTATCACGGTAGGGTTGTTCAAATATCAAAACGATTGAACATAGGAATTAAAGAGAAATTCCCTATACACACTTAGTAATTAAGAAAATAATAGCTAATCAGCTAGTTCTTTACTTACGACATCATAGAGCCGTCATTGTCCATAGTTCAAGTCCCAAGCAGGCTGGCAGAACTTGGCCTTCCGATCCTCAAGCCTGAATGAGCGTAATAGGGCCTGTAGTTCCGTGACCTTAATCACCTTGTGATTTTCCGGAACAGCTAACACTGAGTTAAGTGCAGCCAATTACGTACTAATGGTGCTACCTTCCAAGCGTCTTTGGGCACGCAAATGTAGGAGGTATGCTGCTAGGAATTGTTGTGACGCAATCGTGGGGTCTTGATTCTTTTGCCTTGCAAAAAGTCGTAAATGATCCCCACTTGTCATTGTATAGTCCTCCGGGAGAGGAACAATGAACTGAAGCTATAGCTTTGCTGCCCGTGCCAAATTAACCCATCGCACTTAAACGCCATTTAAAGATGAACCATGCGTGCAGATGAGTAGGTTGGACCACTTCTGGTAGTGAATCGTCTTCTGTTAGATTTTTCTGAGCTTGACGAACCACCCTCTCGCCGGCCACCAGGGTGCGACAAAAGTCAGAGCAAGATACCCTGTCTCCTTGATCCCCTGTATCACCTTGGGAAGTAAAACTGGTGGCGGTAAAGCGTATGTGTTGCTCCCTGATTGCACAGGCACCACACCGCAGTACTGTTTTCTGTGGATATTGCAAGTTGGGCTGACTGTAGTTGATTCTGCCAATGTGATATGGCCAGAATTAAAGCCTCCAACACTAAGTTGTTTATGTGCCACTCTCGCTGAGTGCCGGACCATAGCCCTGAGGTTGTCTGGTTTTGCAAGTGAGCACCCCACCCCTGAAGGGTGTAGATTCAGGGATAATCCGAATAAAGAGACTCCTCCTAAGGCATTCAACTCTACCAATTGAGGTAAGGCCTTAGCTTAGCTGGTATAGTGATGGCCTTGAGTGGATCCTGACTCCTGATGTAAGGGTTCAGGAAAAGATAAATTGGTCGCAGTTGTAAGCGGCCCATCCTAGTTAAGTCCTGTGCCGAGGTGTGTAATCCTAGCAACACTTGCCCTTGGCAAAGCGTGTGTGGTTGGTGTAGAGCAGATGACAACAGGCGTAGAATCTTGTGTCATCTGTCCCTCGGTACTGAGAGGAGATCCTGGTCTGTCTGGTCTTGAACAGGTCTCCTATGAACTGAAGCTGATAGGAAGAAGATAACACCGACACTACCATTGGTAGTGAACCCCATTGAACTAAACCTGAGGAGTCTGTGGTTGGGATAAATAGTTGAGAATGATCAAGGATCAAACGTATTGATGTTGAGTATGAGCGGTCTTATTTACCCCATTACCAGGGGAGGGCGTCACTGACATGAGATGGTCTGCTACCCAATCGGGTATTTGCGCTAAACCGGTGATCTGCTTCGGTGCTCAGTGCTTCCTCTATCAGCAGCTTTTGATGACCCATCTGAATAAGGAGTCATGTGCCGATGTTCGCGTACGCATCGGCGTACCAGCACTGCCCAGCGATGTATCATGTGCCGGTTGCGTAACGTACAGCGCAGGTCTATGAGAGAGGGCTCATCGGTGAAGACTGGATCATTGTAAAAGCGCTTGGGCCATTGTCCAATTAGCCTACGGGAACAATGTTGACGCCTGAGCGTACATCTGCTGCGCTGAATATGTTGGAACAGCGCTAAGCTGATCGTGTGTCGCCTGCGTAATAGAGGAGCTTGGGTAGTAGTCAGGTGCTGCGCTCAGCGCAGGTAACTGAGACACAAAGCTCATTGGTATTGACTGGACCATGGCTTGCATCTGCGCTACCCCCATCAAAGTGTCTTGAGATGCTGGTGCTGTCGTCGGCGTTGCATATTTAACAGATGTGGATGTGTCAGGCGGCTGAAAATTAGGAGCAGTTACGAAACTCACAAAATCCTCCTGAATTGTTGATTTTGGTGGAGGGTGCACTTCTGTAGTCCCAGTTGTGGGTGTCATTTTACCCACCGATAATAACGGCTGGGTGGTAATGACCGAACCAAGTCCTTCGCTATTCAGTGATTGTGCCATTCCTCTCGGCTCACGACAGGATTGCTGTAAAATATGATTGTGAGTAACCTGCCTTTATATTGTGAAACTCGTTGGAGAGAGATTAACATTTAGAAAAACATTTAGAATTTGGCGAGCACATCTACGTGCATGCCCAGGAATGTGAATAAAGATCTAGGGGCGATTTTTTCCCCGACAATATGTACAACGCGCAAGCATAAGTTACGCAATTAAACCATTGTTGATGGTACTGGAAGAATGCTGTAGAATTAAAAAATAATCTTTCAGCAATAATATGAGTTGAAAGTGTATACAATATTTTTAAATATGCAACTCAATGTAAACCAAAGCTATTTTCATTTAGATTTTGGTGAGCACATGTGCTTGCAAGCCAAGCAACGTTGATGATAATCTTGGTAAGATTTTTTCCAAGACAATTAGTACAATTGCGCAAAAATAGGTACGCAAATAAAGAATTGTTGATGAAGCAGGACTGGAAGAAAGCCATAGAATTTATATTAATCTATCGGCAAACATATTTTTAACGAGTTGAAAGTGTATACAATAATTTATATGTACGCAACTCACTGTTATGCCAAAGCTAGTAGTATTTAAGAACACAAGAATATGTTATACATACATAGCTGAGAATTGTAAACAATTTGACTACCTTGGCAGGCAAACAAATGTAACACAATTCAAAATGGCGGCGAACAACAAATATGTGGCGGGAATAAAGACAGAGTCTTTTTACGCCTAATTAATTAAAAAAAAACTACACAACATAAAGAAAGAAATATGAAAAGAATACATCACCCATCACAGATCAATTTTAGGATTGTAGATGAAAACTGAAGGTCTAAATTAATCCAAAAGGAAGCTCCGCTGGGACACGTCCTTGCTGTAGCGCAACAAGCAGTGATGTGAAGAAGATGACCTAAGGTGTCATCAAGGTCACAGGACAGCGACGGAAGGTCAGTAAAGGGACTTCAGAACAACAACTTTATTTCTTCACCCAGGACCTTCATAGTTGCCTTGTCCTTCTAGTTGCCGTAAGGTAAGCAGAGAATGCATTAAGGAGTAACGCAGGATAAGTAAAAAATAACAATATTCCACCTTTCTGTGTTTTCTACTAACCTTTTCAAGATAGACAAGCCAACCATTAGCCTGGAGAAACCTGTTGACGGAGGACGGATGTATCTGTGCAATTCCCTGGGATGTTTCAGCAAGGCAAACAATTTTCTCTGGATTGGCTGCAGCGTCCACTGCAGGAGTGAAGCTGATCTGGGCCACGCTGGGGTACAGCCCGGCAGTGATGACCGCTCGGACCACTGCGATGGTGTCCGTAGTGAGGCCCTGGTCGATGGTGGTGCTGCTGCTGATATCAAGCACATCTGGCCTCTTCCCCTTTGACCTCCGCACGCTTGACATGGTGATGTTCTCAAAACCAATTGAGGTCACCAGCTTCACGAGGTCATTCTTCACATTCTGTAACAGCATCAAAAACTCTTGCAATACTTTATGCCATTCCAACATTTATTTTGCCATAGTCATGCCTCACATGAACAGTTAGTCCATGAATGTTGTTTTATGCCTGAGTCTGCACATACCTCTATGTCCATGAGGGGTTTCACATACCTCTATGTCCATGAGGGGTTTCACATACCTCTATGTCCATGAGGGGTTTCACATACCTCTATGTCCATGAGGGGTTTCACATACCTCTATGTCCATGAGGGTTTTCACATACCTCTATGTCCATGAGGGGTTTCACATACCTCTATGTCCATGAGGGGTTTCACATACCTCTATGTCCATGAGGGGTTTCACATACCTCTATGTCCATGAGGGGTTTCACATACCTCTATGTCCATGAGGGGTTTCACATACCTATATGTCCATGAGGGGTTTCACATACCTCTATGGCCATGAATGTGTTTCACATACCTCTATCTACATCAAGGTGTTTCACATACCTCTATCTCCATCAAGGTGTTTCACACACCTCTATGTCCATGAATGTGTTTCACATACCTCTATGTCCATGAATGTGTTTCACATACCTCTATGTCCATGAAGGTGTTTCACATACCTCTATCTCAGTGAAGGTGTTTTTCATACCTCTATGTCCATCAAGGTGTTTCACATACCTCTATGGCCATAAAGGTGTTTCACATACCTCTATGTCCATGAGTGAGTGAGTGAGTATGGTTTTACGCCGCTTTTAGCAATATTCCAGCAATATCACGGTGGAGGACACCAGAAATGGGCTTCACACATTGTACCCATGTCGGGAATCGAACCCAGGTCTTCGGCGTGACGAGCGAACGGTTTAAGCACTAGGCTACCCGACCGCCCCCTATGTCCATGAAGGTGTCTCACATACCTCTATGTCCATGAAGGTGTTTCACATACCTCTATTTCCATGAATGTGTTTCACATACCTCTATGTCCATGAAGGTGTTTCACATACCTCTATCTCAATGAAGGTGTTTTACATACCTCTATGTCCATCAAGGTGTTTCACATACCTCTATGGCCATCAAGATGTTTCACATACCTCTATGTCCATGAAGGTGTTTCACATACCTCTATCTCAATGAAGGTGTTTCACATACCTCTATGTCCTTGAAGGTGTTTCAAATACCTCTATTTCCATGAATGTGTTTCACATACCTCTATGTCCATGAAGGTGTTTCACATACCTCTATCTCAATGAAGGTGTTTTACATACCTCTATGTCCATCAAGGTGTTTCACATACCTCTATGGCCATCAAGGTGTTTCACATACCTCTATGTGCATGAAGGTGTTTCACATACCTCTATGTCCATGAAGGTGTTTCACATACCTCTATGTCCATCAAGGTGTTTCACATACCTCTATGTCCATGAAGGTGTTTCACATACCTCTATGTCCATGAAGGTGTTTCACATACCTCTATGTCCATGAAGGTGTCTCACATACTTCTATGTCCATGAAGGTGTTTCGCATACCTCTATGTCCATCAAGGTGTTTCACATACCTCTATGTCCATCAAGGTGTTTCACATACCTCTATGTCCATCAAGGTGTTTCACATACTTCTATGTCCATGAAGGTGTTTCACATACCTCTATGTCCATGAAGGTGTTTCACATACCTCTATGTCCATCAAGGTGTTTCACATACCTCTATGTCCATGAAGGTGTTTCACATACCTCTATGTCCATGAAGGTGTTTCACATACCTCTATGTCCATCAAGGTGTTTCACATACCTCTATGTCCATGAAGGTGTTTCACATACCTCTATGTCCATGAATGTGTTTCACATACCTCTATGTCCATCATGGTGTTTCACATATCTCTATGTCCATCAAGGTGTTTCACATACCTCTATGTCCATGAGTGAGTGAGTGAGTATGGTTTTACGCCGCTTTTAGCAATATTCCAGCAATATCACGGCGGAGGACACCAGAAATGGGCTTCACACATTGTACCCATGTCGGGAATCGAACCCAGGTCTTCGGCGTGACGAGCGAACGGTTTAAGCACTAGGCTACCCGACCGCCCCCTATGTCCATGAAGCTGTTTCACATACCTCTATGTCCATCAAGGTGTTTCACATACCTCTATGTCCATCAAGGTGTTTCACATACCTCTATGTCCATGAAGGTGTTTCACACACCTCTATGTCAATCAAGGTGTTTCACATACCTCTATGTCCATCAAGGTGTTTCACATCTCTCTATGTCCATGAAGGTGTTTCACATACCTCTATGTCCATGAATGTGTTTCACATACCTCTATGGCCATGGAGGTGTTTCACATACCTCTATGTCCATCAAGGTGTTTCACATACCTCTATGTCCATCAAGGTGTTTCACATACCTCTATGTCCATCAAGGTGTTTCACATACCTCTATGTCCATCAAGGTGTTTCACATACCTCTATGGCCATCAAGGTGTTTCACATACCTCTATGTCCATCAAGGTGTTTCACATACCTCTATGTCCATCAAGGTGTTTCACATACCTCTATGTCCATCAAGGTGTTTCACATACCTCTATCTCAATGAAGGTGTTTCACATACCTCTATCTCAATGAAGGTGTTTCTAATACCTCTATGTCCATGAAGGTGTTTCTAATACCTCTATGTCCATCAAGGTGTTTCTAATACCTCTATGTCCATGAAGGTGTTTCTAATACCTCTATGTCCATGAAGGTGTTTCACATACCTCTATGTCCATCAAGGTGTTCCTCTTCAGGAAGTTTTTACTACAGTACGAGTGTTCCGCTTGTCTCCCTTGGCTGCGAGCAGTAACCCAACTGAGCAGACACAAGCAGTTTTAGAAACACACAAATACATCCTTCACATGGCCAACAGTTGCAATGTAATGTGAGACCAGTACATCATAGCAAGGCATACCACTAGTTCTCATTAAATCTAACTGTCACTGACATTGCAATGCATAGTCACAATTCCCAGTCATTTATAAGTGTTACATTCTATAGGGCATTGTAAAGGTAATTGAAAAATGTAGTGAAATCTATTCCAGAACTGAGTTTGTCATTCTTACAGCATAAGACTCTGGAGTGAATAAGGACACACACTTTAATGTACAGGCATGGAATTGATAGGTGATAATGACAGCACACCTTACCCTTCAAATGCTTTGTACACAGTGAGATGGTCGGAGCAGGCAATGGACATAGCCCTTTTAGCTGTGTCGGCAAGATCCCGTTTGCCAAGTGGAACAACAAACGGTGACTTCTCAGTCATTGCTGCTGCAATAACTGCCTGCAAATATTCACATGTTCATACTTCATAAATACTGCATCCAATAGACTTGTATTCTGTCTGTCTACATACATGCATTGGAGAAAATGCCAAGAAAGAGGAGTTCAAATACTGCATTCCATAGAATTCTATCCTGTCTGTCTACATATTGGAAGTGAAATGCTGCAGACACTCCTCATGTTCAGAGGATATAGGTCCATCTCAATTCCTCTGTGAAATGTCCTGGTGGGAAACAATCATGTCCAGATATACAGGCTTTTCCCCAGATTCTGAGACAGGTTCATCATTAAAGTCATGGTACACAGGGGCACTTCTTGATGTCTCCAACCATAAATGCATAGAAACTTTGAAAACAGATTTCTGAACAAAATTTTGTTGCATCCAACATGTTTTATGTACTTCTTGAGAGGCATTTAGAAGTTAGAGGACTGAGTAAAGATGAGATATATGGATGAACAACTTCTTTATTACAATTAGGAGCGACGTTTCGGTGTAGGTTCTAACACCATTATCAAGCAATTTGGAACCTACACCGAAACGTCGCTCCTAATTGAAACATCACATGCTTGATAATGGTGTTAGAACCTCCTTATTGCTTCTAATTGTAACAAAGAAGTTGTTCATCCATATATCTTATCCTTACTATGTTTTATGTATAACTTGTGCAGTGTATGAGGGATTTAACAGTCAATAACAGTCCTTTTTCAGCCCTTGCTGAACTAGATTGGAACTTCATGTCTGATTGTAGCGCCACCAGTAACTATTATGACTAATATCCCTTCTAGGTCCTTCCTTCTGACCAATCAGATTCCACCTCCCATCATTTGCATTTGCTTCAGTATAAACGGCTGTGTCCAGTCAAGATGATCTGATTAATATTCAACATCTCTTTTGTAATAAATTTAGGCTCTCGTACCTCGCGAAGTGCATCAAATCACTTGAGCACCTTGTTTAAAAACATCAAAATATTTGGAAAATATATTTGTCGATGCCAATATGACGGTACACATGCTTTGCAAATCCTGCAATCGACCAACATCTGCACAGGAGATGCCACCTTGTTTACGAACTGGATGTCTACTTTGTTACATGATGCATTGACTAGTTAATCCAGCCAAAATAGAACTTCGAAATTCCAGCCTAGTTCAGCAAGGGTGGAAACTGGACTTTAATAGTTGGGTAACTCCCTAGCCTCCGGTAGATGTGCCTTGTGAAATGGAGCCCTGGTCTGGTGATGAATAGTTTAATTAAGTATCATGAAAGCTAAGCCATGCTCTAAGCAGCAATATTGTTAAACATCTGTAGTGGAATTTCTGCACCTACCACTTGTTCCAGACATCCAAAGATGGCTGCAAAGATGAGCATCTTGCCGATGCGGACATGCACTGGGAGGGCGGCCAGGTGGTGGCCCAGGGGGGTGAGGCTCCCTCCCTCCAAGTCACACGCCCCCACATCCCGTAGGAGGGCCAGTGCTCTGGACACCACCACAGACTGAGGAGGGTCCATAGCTCGGCTCAGGAACTCAACCGGCTTGCCAAACTTGCATTTCTGAAATAGGTAATGATAAGCATGGTGCCTTTCCTCACAACAATGTATTCATGTGCAAAACAAATATTCATCTGAAGACATCATCACAAAAACATTTTGAATTTCTGTTTAATTGACTTTCATCTTATTGCAGTTTCTGGACCCATTTCTCTGTCGATCTGTGAGTATATATGAATATGAGTGCTGGTCCAATGATGTATCAGTGATGTCCTAAGCTGTCCCTATGATATACATATCAGTGATGTTCCTATGAAGTATAAGTGATGTTACCTATGATGTATAAGTGATGTTGCTATGATGTATAAGTGATGTTCTAGGCTATACCCTATGATGTATAAGTGATGTTCCTATGATGTATAGGTGATGTTCCTATGATGTATAAGTGATGTTGCTATGATGTATAAGTGATGGTCTAGGTTGTCCCTATGATGTATGAGTAATGTTGCTATGATGTATAAGTGATGTTGCTATGATGTATAAGTGATGTTCCTATGATGTAGCAGTGATGTTCTAGGCTGTCCTATGATGTAGCAGTGATGTTCTAGGCTGTCCTATGATGTAGCAGTGATGTTCTAAGCTGTTCCTATGATGTAGCAGTGATGTTCTAGGCTGTTCGTATGATGTATCAGTGATGTTCCAAGCTGTTCCTATGATGTAGCAGTGATGTTCTAAGCTGTTCCTATTATGTAGCAGTGATGTGACTATGATGTAGCAGTGATGTTCTAGGCTGTTTCTATTATGTATCAGTGATGTTACTAGGATGTAGCAGTGATGTTCTGAGCTGTTCCTATGACGTTACAGTGATGTTCTAGGCTGTTCATATGATGTATCAGTGATGTTACTAGGATGTAGCAGTGATGTTCTAGGCTGTTTCTATTATGTATCAGTGATGTTACTAGGCTGTAGAAGTGATGTTCTGAGCTGTTTCTATGGTGTAACAGTGATGTTCTAGGCTGTATCTATGATGTATCAGTGATGTTACTAGGCTGTAGAAGTGATGTTCTGAGCTGTTTCTATGGTGTAACAGTGATGTTCTAGGCTGTTTCTATTATGTATCAGTGATGTGACTATGATGTAGCAGTGATGTTCTAGGCTGTTTCTATTATGTATCAGTGATGTTACTAGGATGTAGCAGTGATGTTCTAAGCTGTTTCTATGACATAACAGTGATGTTCTAGGCTGTTTCTATTATGTATCAGTGATGTTACTAGGATGTAGCAGTGATGTTCTGAGCTGTTTCTATGACGTAACAGTGATGTTCTAGGCTGTTTCTATTATGTATCAGTGATGTTACTAGGATGTAGCAGTGATGTTCTAGGCTGTTCCTATGATGAAGCAGTGATGTTCTAAGCTGTTCCTATGATGTAGCAGTGATGTTCTAGGCTGTCCTATGATGTAGCAGTGATGTTCTAAGCTGTTCCTATGATGTAGCAGTGATGTTCTAGGCTGTTCGTATGATGTATCAGTGATGTTCTAAGCTGTTCCTATGATGTAGCAGTGATGTTCTAAGCTGTTCCTATGATGTATAAGTGATGTTCCTATGATGTGAAATTGATGTTCTAGGCTGTCCCTATGATGTATCAGTGATGTTCTAGGCTGTTCATATGATGTAGCAGTAATGTTCTAAGCTGTTCCTATGATGTAGCAGTGATGTTCTAGGCTGTTTCTATTATGTATCAGTGATGTGACTATGATGTAGCAATGATGTTCTAGGCTGTTTCTATTATGTATCAGTGATGTTACTAGGATGTAGCAGTGATGTTCTGAGCTGTTCCTATGATGTTACAGTGATGTTCTAGGCTGTTCGTATGATGTATCAGTGATGTTACTAGGATGTAGCAGTGATGTTCTAGGCTGTTTCTATGATGTATCAGTGATGTTACTAGGCTGTAGAAGTGATGTTCTGAGCTGTTTCTATGGTGTAACAGTGATGTTCTAGGCTGTATCTATGATGTATCAGTGATGTTACTAGGCTGTAGAAGTGATGTTCTGAGCTGTTTCTATGGTGTAACAGTGATGTTCTAGGCTGTTTCTATTATGTATCAGTGATGTGACTATGATGTAGCAGTGATGTTCTAGGCTGTTTCTATTATGTATCAGTGATGTTACTAGGATGTAGCAGTGATGTTCTAAGCTGTTTCTATGACATAACAGTGATGTTCTAGGCTGTTTCTATTATGTATCAGTGATGTTACTAGGATGTAGCAGTGATGTTCTGAGCTGTTTCTATGACGTAACAGTGATGTTCTAGGCTGTTTCTATTATGTATCAGTGATGTTACTAGGATGTAGCAGTGATGTTCTAGGCTGTTCCTATGATGAAGCAGTGATGTTCTAAGCTGTTCCTATGATGTAGCAGTGATGTTCTAGGCTGTTTCTATTATGTATCAGTGATGTTCTAAGCTGTTCCTATGATGTAGCAGTGATGTTCTAGGCTGTTTCTATGATGTGAAAGTGTTGTTCAAGGCTGTCCCTATGATGCGAAAGTGATGTTCCTATGATGTATAAGTGATGTTCTAGGGTGTCCCTATGAAGTGAAAGTGTTGTTCTAGGCTGTCCCTATGATGCGAAAGTGATGTTCTAGGCTGTCCCTATGATGTGAAATTGATGTTCTAAGCTGTTCCTATGATGTAGCAGTGATGTTCTAGGCTGTTTCCATGATGTATCAGTGATGTTCCTATGATGTGAAAGTGATGTTCTAGGCAGTCGCTATGATGCAAAAGTGATGTTCCTATGATGTATAAGTGATGTTCTAGGGTGTCCCTATGATGTGAAAGTGATGTTCTAGGCTGTCCCTATGATGCGAAACTGATGTTCCTATGATGTATAAATGATGTTCTAGGCTGTCCCTATGATGTGAAAGTGATGTTCTAGGCTGTCCCTATGATGCGAAAGTGATGTTCTAGGCTGTTCCTATGATGCGAAAGTGATGTTCCTATGATGTATGAGTGATGTTCTAGGCTGTCCCTATGATGTGAAAGTGATCTTCTAGGCTGTCTCTTTGATGCGAAATTGATGTTCTAGGCTGTTCCTATGATGTAGCAGTGATGTTAACTACCATGATGTTAAGGCAAAGTTCTTCTAGCGGAACCCTCAGCAGCTCAGGGACAGTGAAGGGCCGGAAATTCTCATACCTGTAAAATAAATCATATCCCATTGTGCGAAGAATGATCCCAACCTAGAAACAGATATGAATAGACCTATCTGGACATATCCACAACATCCACTGTCATGGCTTCATGCAACATGGCAGGAGACACACCTACCATCCAAGTCTGGCACAGGTCAGCATGAACTCCAGGTCAGCATGAACACTGTGGTGATTCACAAGATGGTAAACGACATGCTTTAGGTCACAGATGTCGTTGCACTCGGTCCCTAACTCCAGGTCAGCATGAACACTGTGGTGATTCACAAGATGGTATACGACATGCTTAGGTCGCAGATGTCGTTGCACTCGGTCCCTAACTCCAGGTCAGCATGAACACTGAGGAGTGTGACTGCATTGTGTACCAATCCTTGTGTTACCACTTGTACAACTTTTCACCCAAACATCACGCCATTTTTGGGGTATTTTATATGTCAAAATACTGATCCAAATATTGTTTGACTCATAACTTGTTTTAAGAGGGTATATGCCCTATGCCCTGCAGCAAAAGCCATGCCCTGCCATGATATTGCTGGAATATTGCTAAAAGCGAGTAAAACCATACTGACCCACTCATGCATGGTATAGCAGAGATCTTACATTTGTTGCGTATACAGCCTAAAGCAGTAGCCCTCCCGGACACGACCTGCTCGACCTTGGCGCTGCTTGGCGTTGGCTTTACTGATGAAAACTTCCTCCAGGGAGCTCATCTGACTCGACTCGATGTACCTGGAGCAGAAACACCACAAACATACTAACCGAAAAACACAACACTAGCTTCCTCCAGGGAGCTCATCTGACTCGACTCGATGAACCCGGAGCAGAAACACCACAAACATACTAACCGAAAAACACAACACTAGCTTCCTCCAGGGAGCTCATCTGACTCGACTCGATGAACCTGGAGCAGAAACACCACATACATACTACCCGATAAACACAACACTAGCTTCCTCCAGGGAGCTCATCTGACTCGCCTCGATGAATCTGGAGCAGAAACACCACAAACATACTACCCGATAAACACAACACTAGCTTCCTCCAGGGAGCTCATCTGACTCGACTTGATGAACCTGGAGCAGAAACACCACTAACATACTACCCGATAAACACAACGCTAGCTTCCTCCAGGGAGCTCATCTGACTCGACTTGATGTACCTGGAGCAGAAACACCAAATACATACTACCCGATAAACATTACACTAGCTTCCTCCAGGGAGCTCATCTGACTTGACTCAATATACCTGGAGCAGAAACTATGGGAGGCCATTCGGTCAAAATATACAAAGTTTAAAAAAAGGACAAAAATACGCAATTAAGGTCAAATATTACGAATAAAGAACTAAATGTTACTACTAAAGGTCAAAATACAATATAAATAGTCAAATGTTACGAAAAGACGTCATAAGAAAAGAAAGAACAACGTGTACGAAAGAACGTTTTCAATAAAGAACGTCAGTGAGCACGAAAGGACGTTGACAATAAAGAATGCCAGATGGCGCTGCAATTTGTAAAACATTCCGAGTTTAATCGGCTTGTTCCGCTGTGTATATAATAACTGTATGCCGAGGTGCACAATGTATTAGGTCATTCCTCGTGCACTCACCTTCTGACGTCACACATATATATACAGAATGCAGGAATTTCAATCAATATAATTATATGCAGTTATTTATATATTGTGTAATTTGTAGGTATTTTTGTCCTTTTTTTAAACTTTGTATTTTTTGACTGAATGGCCGCCCATAAGAAACACCGAAAACATACTACCCGATAAACACAACACTAGCTTCCTCCAGGGAGCTCATCTGACTTGACCTGATGTACCTTGGGGCAGAAAAACCACATACATACTACCCGATAAACACAACACTTGCTTCCTCCAGGAGCTCATCTGACTCGACTCAATGTACCTGGGGGCAGAAACACCACATACATACTACCCGATAAACACAACAGTTCCTCTAGGGAGCTCATCTGAGGCAAACTCTACATCACCAGATCATCCTTGCATAAAAGCATCATATATTTCAACTTTAAGACAAATGAGGAAATTAGGACACCCAGATAATCCTACCTTCTCTCCCTCAGCTAAATTAGACAATGACTATGATGACTGAATACCAACCATGTTTAAATTTTCTTGATATTAAAATCCTTGACAAGGAACACAGGTAAAATAGGGTATTTTACATGTATAGCTCCTGATAACACACATGCAAGATGTACCTGTGAAGATTTCGGGGTAGAATAGGTCTTTAGCAACCAATGCTTGCCGTAAAAGGTGACTATGCTTGTCGTAAAAGGCGACTAACGGGATCGGGTAGTCAGGCTCGCTGACTTGGTTGACGCATGTCATCGATCCCAATTGCGTGGATCGATGCTCATGATATTAATCACTGGATTGTCTGGTCCAGACTCGATTATTAACAGACTGCCGTCATATAGCTGGAATATTGTTGAGTGCGGCGTTAAACAACAAACCAACCAACCAACCAACCAACATGCAAGATGTGATAATATATTAAATATAGAAACTTAAAAGTGTTTTACCTGTTTTCCTTTGCCTTCCCTGCATCAACGACAAATACAACATCAGGTATGGTGATGCCGGTCTCTGCAATGTTTGTTGCTATGACGATCTTCCTGACCCCTGCAGGTGGCACTGTGAAGGCCTGGTTCTGGTCCGTGGAGGACAACACTGAGTGAAGTGCCAGGACTCGGTACCTGGGACAGAAAATACTATGTCGTTTACCACCTACAGCCTATCACACAACAACAAAAAACCTGATTACATTGTCAGCTTTGTGTAAATCAGTCCCAACTATCCTGCTTATTTCTAACCCATGTATTAGGAGTATAGAAAAAACATTGCAGATGTGTATCATGCACAGGAAGAGATACATGGACAACAAGAATATAAGATCAATCTTGTTCAGTAAAACCTAAGTAACTGACTGGTTTTAACACAATTTTCAAAACCAAGACACCATGAAACACAGGCCTATACATTCCACACACCTTGAAACACAGGCCTACATGTTCCACACACCTTGAAACACAGGCCTACATGTTCCACACACCTTGAAACACAGGCCTACATGTTCCACACTCCACACGCCTTGAAACACATTCACCTTGGTTTTAGCCTGACTGAGTATGGTTTTACACTACTTTTAGCAATATTCCAGCAATATCACGGCGGGGGACACCAGAAATGGGCTTCACACATTGTACCCATGTCGGGAATCGACTCGGGTCTTCGGCATGACGAGCGAATGCTTTAACCACTAGGCTACCCGACCGCCCCCTTGGTTTTAGAGGTGTGCGTCAAGAAGTGTGGAACATATATCCAGAATGTGTAGGCACAAGTTCCATCCATTATAGTGTCTGCTATGTCAGTAGGTACCGTGTCGTGTCTGAGAAGTGCCTGTCTGCCTGCAGGTTTTCGTACAGTTCCTGGATGTCGGACAGGCCGGGAAGGAACACAAGCACCGAGCCATCAACACTGCAGAACGGCTGCTTTTTGTCCAGGTAACGCAGGATCTCCTGGGAGGGAAACATTGATCAGAATGCATAAAATGTACTGACACACAGCATGGATTAGACAGAGATCACCCCTCAGTCCCATACCTCTTTCATATTGACATCATCAGTGTCAGACAAGTTTCTAACAGTGGAAGAAGACAACCGTTAATTTCTAGAAACTGCCTCAGACAAACACGAAGGACTGGGATCCCCCGAGGGTTTAATCTGTGAAGGGTTTAAGATACACAGAATTGCAGCTTCTGCTGCTCCTGACCCACCATGATGAGGTCCATGTTGATCCTCTTCATGTTCAGCCTCGTGACGGCGTTCCTGGTCTTCAGACTGTACTGGTCAGCAGGGAGGTCAGTCTGGAACATGACACCAAGAGTGAGTGAGTGTGCTATACACACGTACCAGTGGTGGTGTGCCAGTGTTGTGTAGTGTGCCAGTGTGTTGTGGTGTGCCAGTGTGGTGAGGTGTGCCAGTGGTGGTGTGGCAGTGGTTGTGTGGCAGTGTGGTGTGCTAGTGTGGTGTGCCAGTGTGGTGTGCCAGTGGTGGTGTGGCAGTGGTTGTGTGGCAGTGTGGTGTGCTAGTGTGGTGTGCCAGTGGTGGTGTGCCAGTGTGGTGTGCTAGTGTGGTGTGCCAGTGGTGGTGTGCCAGTGTGGTGTGCCAGTGTGGTGTGCCAGTGTGGTATGCCAGTGTGTTGTGGTGTGCCAGTGTGGCGAGGTGTGCCAGTGGTGGTGTGGCAGTGGTTGTGTGGCAGTGGTGTGCCAGTGTGGTGAGGTGTGCCAGTGGTGGTGTGGCAGTGGTTGTGTGGCAGTGGTGTGCCAGTGTGGTGAGGTGTGCCAGTGGTGCTGTGCCAGTGTGGTGCAGTGTGCCAGTGTGGTGAGGTGTGCCAGTGTGGTGAGGTGTGCCAGTGTTGGTGTGGCAGTGGTGGTGTGGCAGTGTGGTGTGCCAGTGCGGTGTGCCAGTGGTGGTGTGGTGTGCCAGTGGTGGTGTGGCAGTGGTGGTGTGCCAGTGGTTGTGTGCCAGGGTGGTGTGCCAATGTGTTGTGGTAGGCCAGTGTGTTGTGGTGTGCCAGTGTCATGTGGTATGCCAGTGTGGTGTAGTGTGCCAATGTGTTGTAGTAGGCCAGTGTGTTGTGGTGTGCCAGTGTCATGTGGTATGCCAGTGTGGTGTAGTGTGCCAGTGTGGTGTAGTGTGCCACCGTGGTGTAGTGTGCCAGTGTGTTGTGGTGTGCCAGTGTGGTGAGGTTTGGCAGTGGTTGTGTGCCAGTGTGGTATGCTAGTGTGGTTTGCCAGTGTGGTGAGATGTGGCAGTGGTGGTGTGCCAGTGTGGTGTGCCAGTGTGGTGAGGTGTGGCAGTGGTGGTGTGCCAGTGTGGTGTGGTGTGCCAGTGCAGTGTGCCAGTGCGGTGTGGCAGTGATGGTGTGCCAGTGGTTGTGTGCCAGGGTGGTGTGCCAATGTGTTGTGGTGTGCCAATGTGTTGTGGTGTGCCAATGTGTTGTGGTAGGCCAGTGTGTTGTGGTGTGCCAGTGGTTGTGTGCCAGTGGTTGTGTGCCAGTGTGGTGTGCCAGTATGGTGTGCCAGTGTGGTGTGCCAGTATGGTGTGCCAGTATGGTGTGCCAGTGTGGTGTGCCAGTGTGGTGTGGTGTCGCAGTGGTGATGTGGCAGTGGTGGTGTGCCAGTGTGGTGTGCCAGTGTGGTATGCCAGTGTGTTGTGGTGTGCCAGTGTGGCGAGGTGTGCCAGTGGTGGTGTGGCAGTGGTTGTGTGGCAGTGTGGTGTGGCAGTGATGGTGTGCCAGTGGTTGTGTGCCAGGGTGGTGTGCCAATGTGTTGTGGTAGGCCAGTGTGTTGTGGTGTGCCAGTTTCATGTGATATGCCAATGGTGGTGTGCCAGTGGTTGTGTGCCAGTGTGGTGTGCCAATGTGTTGTGGTGTGCCAATGTGTTGTGGTAGGCCAGTGTGTTGTGGTGTGCCAGTTTCATGTGATATGCCAATGGTGGTGTGCCAGTGGTTGTGTGCCAGTGTGGTGTGCCAATGTGTTGTGGTAGGCCAGTGTGTTGTGGTGTGCCAGTTTCATGTGATATGCCAATGGTGGTGTGCCAGTGGTTGTGTGCCAGTGTGGTGTGCCAATGTGTTGTGGTAGGCCAGTGTGTTGTGGTGTGCCAGTTTCATGTGATATGCCAATGGTGGTGTGCCAGTGGTTGTGTGCCAGTGTGGTGTGCCAGTATGGTGTGCCAGTGTGGTGTGCCAGTGTGGTGTGGTGTCGCAGTGGTGATGTGGCAGTGGTGGTGTGGCAGTGGTGGTGTGGAAGTGTGGTGTGCCAGTGGTGGTGCGGCAGTGGTTGTATGCCATTGTGGTGTGCCACTGGTTGTGTGCCATTCCGGTGTGCCAGTGTGGTGTGGTGTACCAGTGGTGGTGTTGTGTACCAGTGGTGGTGTGGTGTGCCAGTGGTGGTGTAGCAGTGGTGGTGTGGTGTGGCAGTGGTAGTGTGGTGTGGCAGTGGTGATGTGGTGTGGCAGTGGTGGTGTGGCAGTGGTGGTGTGGTGTGCCAGTGGTAGTGTGGTGTGCCAGTGGTTGTGTGGTGTGGCAGTGGTGGTGTGGTGTACCAGTGGTGGTGTGGCAGTGGTAGTGTGGTGTGGCAGCGGTAGTGTGGTGTGCCAGTGGTGGTTTGGTGTGGCAGTGGTGGTGTGGCAGTGGTGGTGTGGCAGTGGTGGTGTGGTGTACCAGTGGTGGTGTGGCAGTGGTGGTGTGGTGTGGCAGTGGTGGTGTGGTGTGCCAGTGGTGGTGTGGTGTGGCAGTGGTGGTGTGCCAGTGTGGTGTGCCAGTGTGGTGTGGTGTGGCAGTGGTGATGTGGCAGTGGTGGTGTGCCAGTGGTGGTGCGGCAGTGGTTGTGTGCCATTGTGGTGTGCCAGTGGTTGTGTGCCACTGTGGTGTGCCAGTGTGGTGTGGTGTACCAGTGGTGGTGTGGTGTGCCAGTGGTGGTGTGGCAGTGGTGGTGTTGCAGTGGAGGTGTGGCAGTGGTGGTGTGTCCTGCCAGTGGTGGTGTGGTGTGGCAGTGGTTCTGTGGTGTGGCAGTGGTGGTGTTGCAGTGGTTGTGTGCCAGTGGTGGTGTGGTGTGCCAGTGGTTGTGTGGTGTGCCAGTGGTGGTGTGGCAGTGGTGGTATGGCAGTGGTGGTGTGGTGTGCCAGTGTGGTGTGCCAGTGTGGTGTGCCAGTATAGTGTGCCAGTGCGGTGTGCCAGTGTCGGTGTGGTGTGGCAGTGGTCGTGTGGCAGTGGTGGTGTGCCAGTGTGGTGTGGCAGTGGTGGTGTGGCAGTGGTGGTGTGCCAGTGTGGTGTGCCAGTGGTGGTGTGGCAGTGGTTGTGTGCCATTGTGGTGTGCCAGTGGTTGTGTGCCATTTTGGTGTGCCAGTGGTTGTTTGCCAGTGGTTGTTTGCCAGTGTAGTGTGGTGTTGCAGTTGTGGTGTGGTGTGCCAGTGGTAGTGTGGCAGTTGTGGTGTGCCAGTGGTGGTGTGGTGTGGCAGTGGTGGTGTGGTGTGCCAGTGGTGGTGTGGTGTGGTGGGGCAGCGGTGGTGTGGTGTGGCAGTGGTTGTGTGGTGTGCCAGTGGTAGTGTGCCATTGTGGTGTGCCAGTGGTTGTGTGCCAGTGTGGTGTGGTGTTGCAGTGGTGGTGTGGTGTGCCAGTCGTAGTGTGGCAGTTGTGGTGTGGCAGTGGTGGTGTGGTGTGCCAGAGGTGGTGTGGTGTGGTGCGGCAGCGGTGGTGTGGTGTGGCAGTGGTGGTGTGGTGTGCCAGTGGTGGTATGGTGTGGTGTGGCAGCGGTGGTGTGGTGTGGCAGTGGTTGTGTGGTGTGGTTGTGTGGTGTGGCAGTGGTGGTGTGCAAGTGGTTGTGTGGTGTGGCAGTGGTGGTGTGGTGTGCCAGTGGTGGTGTGGCAGTGGTGGTGTGGTGTGCCAGCGGTAGTGTGGTGTGCCAGTGGTGGTGTTGCAGTGGTTGTGTGCAAGTGGTGGTGTGGTGTGTCAGTGGTTGTGTGGTGTGTCAGTGGTTGTGAGGCAGTGGTTGTGTGGTGTGGATGTGTGGTGTGGCAGTGGTGGTGTGCAAGTGGTTGTGGGGTGTGGCAGTGGTGATGTGGTGTGCCAGTGGTGGTGTAGCAGTGGTGGTGTGGCAGTGGTGGTGTGGTGTGGCAGTGGTGGTGTGGTGTGCCAGTGGTGGTGTGGCAGTGGTGGTGTGGTGTGGCAGTGGTAGTGTGGTGTGCCAGTGGTGATGTGGTGTGGCAGTGGTGGTGTGGCAGTGGTTGTGTGGTGTGGCAGTGGTTGTGTGGCAGTGGTTTTGTGGTGTGGTTGTTTGGTGTGGCAGTGGTGGTGTGCCAGTGGTGGTGTGCCAGTGGTTGTGGGGTGTGGCAGTGGTGGTGTGGTGTGCCAGTGGTGGTGTGCCAGTGGTGGTGTGGTGTGCCAGTGGTGGTGTGGTGTGCCAGTGGTGGTGTGGCAGTGGTAGTGTGGTGTGCCAGTGGTGGTGTGCCAGTGGTGGTGTGGTGTGCCAGTGGTGGTGTGGTGTGCCAGTGGTGGTGTGGCAGTGGTAGTGTGGTGTGCCAGTGGTGGTGTGGTGTGGCAGTGGTGGTGTGGTGTGCCAGTGGTAGTGTGGTGTGCCAGTGGTTGTGTGGTGTGCCAGTGGTGGTGTGGTGTGCCAGTGGTGGTGTGGCAGTGGTGGTGTGGTGTGGCAGTGGTAGTGTGGTGTGCCAGTGGTGGTTTGGTGTGGCAGTGGTGGTGTGGTGTGGCAGTAATAGTGTGGTGTGCCAGTGGTGGTGTGGTGTGCCAGTGGTGGTGTGGCAGTGGTGGTGTGGTGTGGCAGTGGTGGTGTGCAAGTGTGGTATGGTGTGGCAGTGGTGATGTGGCGGTGGTGGTGTGCCAGTGCGGTGTGGCAGTGGTGGTGTGGCAGTGTGATGTGCCAGTGGTGGTGCGGCAGTGGTTGTGTGCCATTGTGGTGTGCCACTGGTTGTGTGCCATTGTGGTGTGCCAGAGTGGTGTGGTGTAAGAGTGGTTGTGTGGTGTGCCAGTGGTGGTGTGGCAGTGGTGGTGTTGCAGTGGAGGTGTGGCAGTGGTGGTGTGTCGTGCCAGTGGTTCTGTGGTGTGGCAGTAGTGGTGTTGCAGTGGTTGTGTGCCAGTGGTGGTGTGGTGTGCCAGTGGTGGTTTGGTGTGGCAGTGGTGGTGTGGCAGTGGTGGTGTGGTGTGCCAGTGGTGGTGTGGCAGTGGTGGTGTGGTGTGGCAGTGGTGGTGTGGTGTGCCAGTGGTGGTGTGGTGTGGCAGTGGTGGTGTGCCAGTGTGGTGTGCCAGTGTGATGTGGTGTGGCAGTGGTTGTGTGGCAGTGGTTGTGTG